CAGCCCATGATGACTTTTCCAGAGTCTCATCCTCACTTAGTTGCACAGCCCATGATGACTTTTCCAGAGTCTCATCCTCACTTAGTTGCACGGCCCATGATGACTTGTCCAGAGTTTTATCCTCACTCACCTTGTTACGGCAGCTGCACCGACTCAACATACGGATATTTAGCTGAGGAATGCGCTGGTCTCCATTACATAGAACAATAACAATTGACCTTTTACATGAATTATAGCCATTTGCCTTAGCACAGCTCCACAGCCCATGATGACTCATCCAGGGCCCCACCATCCTATCCCTATTGCGCCCGCCATCTTCATATTGCAGGAGCGAGGGTCTACTTCTTCCTAAAATCTATACCGAATATGCTTCGCCCCTGCCTGTATTGAACCCCGCAGGAAGAGGCTTTCCTCCTCTTCCTCCTCCTCCTCCTCCTCCTCCTCCTCCTCCTCGCTCTCTTCTATTAGCTCTTAGACAGTTAGACAATGACATTAGGTGATCCTCTACCACTTCAATACTTCAGTCAAGAGATGGAGCCTCAGTTGCGAGGCGGTTGTTAGGCCGTTCCTGCCTAGAGTACATCCCAGAGTGCTGCTGAGCCGGAGCAACACTAGGCTAGATCTGTTTCTCTCATCTTTGATAACAGCTCGGCATAGATAGACAGAGTCCTTCCAGCGCTAGTTTTACTCAAACTCCCCCAGAATAAGCCAACCCCCTCACTCCCATGATGTCAATCATGCCAAACATGGACCACTTTATCCCAACACACCGCTCCTCCTACAACGCCGAGCAGCTGTACTTTGCCTTGAGCGCAGCCAATAACAACATGTTGGACTTTGATCCCACCTAGGACTACGCCAGCTTCATCCACCGCCCCCCCCCCCCCCCCTCCCCATCTGGTTTGATATATCATCCTCATGATCAGTATATTGAAAACGAGAAGAATTGCACAGCGCCCCCCATCGATTATGATATATGATCCTCATGATCAGTATCTGGTGAACGGGAAGATTGGAGGCGAAATCCATAATCACCCATCTATGACATCACAAGCCTCGACCCTAACTGGAGAATTTATGGATAAAAAGGCACGTTGCCCACGGAACCTTTGTTTGTGTTTGGATGCGTCAACATTGTTGCTGGACCTTTGATGCCGTCGCGGCAACAGCAAAGAATATTGATGCGACACTGTGGTTTTGTTGGTATCATTCAGAGCCACGTGGATATTCCCAAGGCCTTAATGGAATTTCACAAAGTGAGTGGCTCTCGCTTCTCTCCTTTAATCACTAAACTGACCATGACTAGGCACTATGAGCCCTTGTACTCACTCAACTCCACCGCCCATGATGACTCTCCCAGAGCCCGACCATCCTATTGCGCGCGCCATCTTCAGTGAAGAGATGGACCCACAATTTTTATTTTATGGGTATAATTCAGAGTCACGTGGTTGGCCATGAAGGGAGGCTTGGTCACAAGAGAGTCACGTGCATACACTGTCACGTGATCGAGATTTTGTCCTGCGGAGGGGGCGCTTAGCGGAGTAGGTTCAACTGTTCTATATTCAGTTTAGTGCCCTATTATAGGAGAATCTGGCATCCGGAAAAACTTTGCGCGATATAATTGGCCTAAGAAAAGAATTAGCTGAGAAAAAACCTTGGCGCTATCCTCTTCGTAAAATCATTGGATATAGACGAGTTGCGATCCCGTAACCCGGAACAACCCTCTAAATTCATCCGAGTGATCTTGGAGTGCCACGTGAGTGCCTAGAGAGAGTGCCCTGGAGAGGGTGCCCTGGAAAGAGCGTATAGGAGTGATATCTAGAGCTCTGTAGGCGACCTAGCGTTAGTCGAAGCTGCGACTCGCTACGTATATTTTATACTACCTAGGTACCTACTTAGTTGAGAGTTTACTTTGTACAGTGGCTCGACATAATTGAGATTAATTCACAGAAATGATTGCCCCCAAGCCCCTCGGTACCTCAGCCCCTCTTGAGTTCCTCAACCCTTTCGCCCCGCAATTTCGGCCCCCTAAATTCACCTGCGATTTGTCCACATTACGGACTACAACCAAACACGCTCCAAGAAACTCTCACCGCCAAAGCGAGAGGGCGATTAGATGAGTCTGGGCATCAACATTTTGACAATCAAGGGCTTTCTATCTCACCGACTCGCCGATGGTTCGTGTCTGACAGTCGTGCCTGACTGTTGGGTCGATGGCACACCAGGGTCCACGGTGGTGTACCAGTCAGATCGTCGTGAAAGTCTTGGGGCACGCGCACACAGCACACAGCACCGGACCATAGCACAGGACCACGGCATGCACCCGCACGATCCAAACGCATCCAAGAGTCAGAGCCCGTCTTTCTAAAAATTACCGTGTCGTGTCGTGTCCTGCGTGTTATTATTAGTGTCGGCACTCTGTTTGGCGGGGACTCTGGTGCGGCCCATCCGATCCTGCCACGCCTGACTGCCCCTGCCACTGCCCGAAAGGTCCTCAAGCCCCTGCCCCTGCCCCTGCCCACTCACCAGTGCCGTGCCACCCACCCACACAACACAAACACTCTCGCTCGATGGTCTGGTCGCTCCTTATTCTGACCACATCACCCTCTTCGATTTTATTTCTTTGTTTACCAGTTCCTCCCTGCTCCTTTCTGTTCCTTTCTGCTTCTGGCGGTCAATCCACTATCCATCATCCTTCATTCATTGTCTTGTGTTGTACTGTATATACATCACCCCAATCATCTCTTACTATCACCAGCTCCTGCCTCTCAACATCCAACCACAAACCCCTTTTATCTTTATTCTCTCCCAATCACCTCAAACCCCCCACATATCCCCCTCAGACTTTCTTTCGACATGGCTGCTCGACCTGATATCCGTCTCGATGGCAAGGTTGCCTTGATCACCGGTGCAGGCCGTGGCCTTGGTTCTGGCCTCGCTAAGATCCTGTCTGAGCGAGGTGCTGCCGTCGTCATCAACTACGCTTCATCTGCTAAGCCCGCCTTGGCCACTGTTGCTGAGATTGAAAAGTCTGGCGGTCGTGCCGTGGCTATCCAGGCCAACGTTTCAAAGGTCCCCGAAGTCACCAAGCTCTTCGAAGAGGCCATCAAGGCTTTTGGTAAGCTTGACATTGTCATCAACAATGCCGGTACCGAAGCCTTCGCCAAACCCGAGGATGTCACCGAGGAGCTGTACGACCAGGTCTTTGGCCTCAACACACGTGCCCAGTTCTTCGTTGGCCAGCACGCTCTCAAGTACTTGAGCGGTAAGATAGCCCTTCTCTACTCGTTCCAGCGCCCAAGTCCCCTTGACTGACCGAAACCACAGAGGGTGGACGAATCATTTTCATGTCTTCGATCGCTGCTGGCATGTCAGTCCCCAACCATGCTTTGTATGCCGGCTCCAAGTCTGCTGTCGAAGGTTTTACTCGCTCCTTCGCTGCCGATGGTGGTCCCAAGCGAATCACCGCCAACGCCATTGCTCCTGGTGGCATCAAGACTGACATGTTCGCCCAAAATGCCTGGCACTACGCCCCTGGTGCCACCAAGGACACCCCTCTGGAGTCCATTGAGGCTGGTATTGCCAAGCTGATTCCTCTCGGACGTGTTGCTGTTCCCCAGGACATTGCCAAGGTGGTCATGTTCTTGTGCCACGACGATAGCGAATGGCTCAATGGTGAGTTTGATCTGCAACCTTGACCCTGAACGCTGACTGACATCCAAATAGGTCAAATCATTCGTCTCAGCGGTGGTGGTGCTGCTTAGATCTTTCTCCGCAGTCTCCGCAGTCGAATCATTCAAATACATAGAAACTTTGGAATCTTTTGGACTTGATAGGCGACGACTCCTCTACATCGACAAAAGTTCCTTTTTGTGGTCTGGCAGATTTCGATCCGGTGAGGCAGAGGCTTTGCCGGTCGATGGCAGGGTAAGGATCGTCCAAGGGGATTTTTCGGTGACAATACACTGAAATCGGAGCATGAGCTTATTTCAAAACGCAATAGATATTCATCATGAAAGTGACTATAGAGAGGCCAACGGTGTGATAGCTCTCGATCGTCTTCTTCGCGTGTCTGGATTTGTTTGCATGCGCCTTGGATTTGATATCGTGGATAACTGAAACGCCGACGCCGTCCAGGCATTCATTGAATACCTTCTCTTTTTGAACCTCTGTGGCTCTCTTATTGACCAAGTTATCTTCCTCCAACGCAAGCATCCCTTACCTGATCTGCACTCGATGGCAGAGCATATCGCCCTCGATCCGGTACCTGTATACGAAATGGTCCCCTCCACAGACGGCTCTATCCCATCGCGACACCCTGAAACCACACGCCGAGTCAAGGTACATGTGGGTGTGGGTGGCTCCTTTCTTCGGCCCCAAGTCCTACGGGGAAAGCCTCAACAACCCTTTGGTGTCCCAGCCTTTGTGATGTGGTTTACACGAACAAAGGGCTCTCAGAAAGGCCTGATTAATCGCCAAAGATGCCCGTCGCTCTCTTTGTCTCATGAAATTCCCTTGTCGCCCATGATGGGGGATCAAACAAAGATCATCTGGAATTCGGCTATATCGAGACGCCTTATCAGCATCTCCCTCGCCTCGCCATGTCCAGAGAGAAGATCCGACTTTTCATCCTTCAGGCGATCGCTGACCATAATCTTTGGTCGAAGCATCTCGCATTCCTCGGTGCTCCAATTCGAAACACATAAACAACTTCTTAACTGACAGGACTACCTCATCTTCCATCTTATCCACTCCTGACATCCTTTCTCTTTATAACAATATCCGAAACTGCCACCTCAGGAGTCCCCGATGGGAGTGTATTCTGTGAGTTCCCCCGAACCTAACCGAGACCAAGGATCACACGTGCAAGATTTCCGAGGCCAACTGGCGACCATGACGGATTCAGTCAGAGGTGGTTTGAAGAAACTTGGATCCTGCGGCCATCCAGACGATTCCCCCTCGCGTAGCCCCATGATTTCAGTGCATCCTCTAACCGACAGCTCCTCATCCGTCTACCGCTTCGAGTCGCCCTCCAGAGTGGGAAGTCCGGCTCATTGCCAGATGGGCGTTGACCACGGTAGGCGAGGTGCCAGCAGTGCCAGTGGGAAGAAGCAACAAGCCCAATTGCCACAGCTCGTGCACAACCAGGGTGCTTACCCTCAGATTTACCTGCCATATGACCCCTCCCCAAGACTGAGGCAAATGTCACGCGAATCTTCAAACCTCCGAGCCCAACCGTCATCTCTCTCGTTGACACCGAAGGATCTAGAGATGGCAGACATGTGTGGCTCAAATCGACAAAGCCCCTTATCTAGACGTCCCAACCACGGCACCGCAGCTCATACGAAGCCAGTCAAGGCACAGGTCTTTGCTAACGGCCATCAAATGTATGACCATTTCGATACGTGTCGTACAATTAATCAGTCAAAAGCTAGTCAGGTCCGTGATTGTGCGCTTCGACTCCCCCAACATTCCAACCAAATTTCAGCGCACTACCATGGGAACAGATCCACGGCCTTGAACCCCGTCGCATGTGACAAGCCGTCAAATAATGGCATCGAGGTCATGCTTCAAGCTAGTACTTCGAATATAGCAACCTCGAAACCCTTGAAGCTCTCGAATAGGCTATCAAGGCCATTCAACTCTGGACCCTTCGAGTTCCTGGACTCGCTGCCAGGTAAGTCAGAACACCCTCAGACCCTGCGGCCGGGGACAAAGGTAGTTCCACAAGTATCAGCGGCCACCGAGTACGTCCCACTCAAAGGCCCTGAAGGTGCGTTGGTGTCTGAAGCGGCCAAGGGAGCGAAAGTCACGGGCACATCAGAAGTGCAGCAAATCTTGACTCAGATGGGTCCTGTTTGCGGCCCAGCGTCAGTTGCTGCACGAAATCGACGAGCCATTGCGCGAAAGCCGGTTGCCAACCTTGTCCCCGTGGCTGATCTGGAGGTGAGGCAGAATATACGTGCTCCTGTTGAACCAAACTCATCGACAGAAGCGTCCGCCGGTGTCACAGAACAATCTGCACCTGTCATTCCTACAACGTTAAGACCAGGTTGCCCTCAACATCACTCGACGTTTGACGCTTCCATCCAGACCGCCAAGGCTGCCGACAATTCTCAAGCACCGAAGATGCATCAAGAAGAATTGCATTTGGTGGACAGAGTCCGTGCAAGTGAACCCATCGAGCGTCTCATCGCGCCTGTTCCAAGGGGCATGCTCGCTGTGCCAACCCTGACTGCGGAAGGTAGAAGATCTGTGACAAAGTCAGAAAAAGGGCAAAGCTCTGCCACTCGGACGACTGCGACTAATCTAGCACTGTACGGACCCGCGGCGATTGCTCCGGCCACAGTTTTTTCGCAAGAAGTGGTGCCACGGAATGTGTCGCCGAAGGGGCAGGCCATGTCAGCCGTCAATCGAGGGGCAACGGTCAACTCCTCGATAGGAAGCCATGAACAGATATATTCAGTCCCCGATGTGTTACGCGTCGGAAAGCAGGTGGCAAATAGAGTCAGCAGTGGTAAGACACATGCGACAAACGTCGGCCATTCACAAGGTGGACGATCTCCTTTGGGGCATCATTCTAATAGATCAGCACCTGATGGTAAGGTCAGTGTGCATGAAGCCAACCCCGGCCTCGACTGTAAGCCGTCGAGGATTAACAGCTTTCGTTTCACCAAAGACTGGGGGACGAAGCTGGATGGCTTAGTGCAAGATGTGAAGCAGGAGCATCATGGCTCATCTGCTGCGGGCGCAATTCCCACCATCATCGTGTCCTACCATGAATTTCCCAGCGATAGTGGTGGCTTGGTGGTCAAGGTGTTCAAGCCCCGTGCTGCTCCTGCAGAGCTTGAGGCGACTTTGAGCAGCGAGACACAAGCAAAGCCTCCAAAGGCAGTCGAGATTCGGAGTTTCGTTCGACCATTGGCTCCTGGACAGACATCACGTGCACATAACGTGTCTACTATGGCTGCAAATAGCCTCGGTGTGGACGTTGGGGGCAAGCGGCCGACTTTCCACTGGCTGCGATTTGGTCGGCGAAATACGGCGCAGGATCCTGCAGAAGAACACTGCCGTCAGTACCGAGCTCGGAGAGATGCAGCACGGCGAGTAAAGCGTGAGGGAATGGAGATGAATGGCACGGATGGTCACATCTTGACAGTGAATGGAGGACAACAAGGCTGTCAGGGTAAGATTAGCGTTTGAATGGCGGGAAATGTTCCTTGGCACAAGGACGGTGAGTCACCAATACTGCACTTGTTCTAAATGGTGCAATAAGTTGCCAGGTCAAAAGGAGGAATTCGCAAGATGGGAATCAGGGAGCGGGTGAAGTCGGGTCACGGGTGTTTGGCGGAGACAACGACGCAAAGTGGACAGGTTTGCTCTAGGTCATGTTTGCCTGAAGGGTCCTAGGCGAGAGATTGACCATTCTCCTATAATCGATGTCGAAGGGATGGAAAGGAGAAGATTGCTGTAAGTGGTAACACGACCATAGTAATCCTAAAGGTGACCTCCGTCCAGTGTGGAGGAGAAGAAAGAAGAAGAAGAAGAAGAAGAATACGAATGATGATAAAAGCCCGACACGTGATTGATCGAGGGTTGGGTGATTTCGGAAGTCTTAATCAGGACATGCCGACGAAGGCGAGGCCTGATGCAAAATGGTCCATGTGCTCCTTGAGACATGATGAAGGGAAGTGGAACCATACGGTGTATAACACTTCAGGTAGTAATACCAGCGTCGTAGGACTGGAGTCGCGAGGGAATGACTGTTGATGCTGGTGGCAATCACATGTTTGCAATCTCCAGACTTTTCTTCTCTTCTTCACGTGTCAAGCAAGGGTAGGCCAAAAACTTATACTGTTTGATTGTGACATGTTCTAGCTGAGCGATGAGTCGCCTCGAATGCCACGTTGGGGTTCAAACCTCCGAAGCCAGGCGGACGTGCCAGGGTAACGTGGTAGCAAGGTGGCTGGAGGTGGAGGTGGAGGTTGCAGCCCATGTGAATCGAATTCGCGCGCCCAAAGGTCGGACTCATAGGCAGTTGTTAGGCCCGAGGGCCACGGGGCTTGGTCTAAGTAAGTACTCCAGGGGCTCCGGGTCCTTATTGGGCTTCCCTTGGGTACCGGTACCCTTGAATGCCCATTATTAGGGCCGGTGGCTTAGCAGCTTTTCTACCTAAGGTAGTTAAGCATCAACGACCTCTGCCTCCTCCTATAGCATGAAGCAAAAGACGTTACACATGACTCGAGAACGGTCAAAATCGAAAATCGCCGATGAGCTTGGTCAATCCTCGAGAATCGATTCCATCGGACATGATTGCCTTGTTTGAGCAGGACTGCTCGATCGATTGACATGAGTGATGGATGCATCAAGTAAGCGACCGACTTTATTGGTATCTAGTTAGGCACAGACCTATGTCTATTCGTAGGTAGGCAGCTGGAGGACCAACAAGAACCAACGACAGATGAGGAAATTGCGAGCATCGGCCACCATGGATTAGCGATCGCCATTATTATTGATAGGCAGCAGTTGATGTGCAGCTTCAAGCACCCCCACGTGAATTGGAGGTTCGCCTAGAATCTGTCATGATCGATAGGAGCTGATAGGCGTAGTATCTGGATCCTTAACCGAGTAGTCGAGATGCCCCTGCAACCCCGGAAAAGCTGTATCTGGCCGAGCTGGGACTTGGAAATGGGTGATCAAGCACGACAAGCATGAGAACGAGCACGGTCTGTGGTCCTATAGGTAGGTTGTGCCCTACGGAGTATATCGTAATTATGAAAATGTAAGGTATCCATTGCTCCTGTATGTGAGGTGTAGCTATAGTATCTTCGTAAATACTCACCTTGGATAGCCTGCATGCGTCTTCACCGTAGAATCCCTTTTCACCGAACGGCCCACACACCCGTCCGTTCGACCTCCTGGGTGTCAACGATACGAGGATTCTCAAAGAACGGTGTTCCCTCCTACCTGACCTTAGACCTGTAAGCAGGTACTGTGGCTTAGTTCATAGGTCCAGCTGCGCCAACGAGGAGGCAGCATTGGCGGATCATTTCCTAGGACGAATATGTGCCTAAGTAGTACCTACCTAGGTATGTAACTACGAAGTTAAGTTACTCGGACCTAAGGTAAGGTATGCATACCTAATGCAGGTGGAAATGCGTCGTCCATGGATACCTCAAGAACCCAAGTAATGCTGCCAGTTTGGGGGCAAGCCCTACCTAGGTTCCCTACCTAGGTTCTTTTAGGCAATCGATCTACTCAAGTAAAAGCCCGAGGGGCCCGAGGGCCCGCGGGTCTCTCGACCACTCGGGCCTATGTTATGCGTGGGGACGAGGGGACGAGGGGACTTGGAAGACCCCTCGACCCTAAACCCCTGCCCCGTGCCTTGCCCTACCACTTCTTCCTGGTCAAATCTTGCCGAAGCCAAAGTGGGGTGCAGACTTTTCCTGACGTCCATCTTCACTTCTCCATCAATTCCATCTTTTCCTTTTCCGTGTCATACTGTCTTCTCTGACTCAAACTTTTTTTTTTCCTGGTACCTGAGCCTCAGCCACTCGCAGAGTTGTCACTTGTCAATCCGAATCAAGCACGTTCCCGGTCCAGTTCCAGTCTCAGTTCCAGCAGATTGACCCAGAGGTCCCAGATTGTCCGTGTCTGAGACATTCATATCTTTATCTTCTCATCGACCCCTCCGCTTGCCACAATCCCCTCGTCACGTGCAGCTTCTCGCCCTTTGCCATCTCTCAAGTTCCATCACTTGAAAAGTCTCGAGTTCAAACATGTGAAGCTGTCTTACATCTTCTAATCGATCAAGTCCTTCCACATACCCTTCCCACCCCGTCTTTTCTCTACAGGTTTCGGCCCAGCGCTCCCTACCCCGACCTCAATTTAGCCGCAATCCCTACGAGGAGTCCAAAGTCCGCCCGGTCACGCAGGGAGAATTCCTTCACCATCGTCTGGATCTGGGTATACACCACGACATCCACTGCCCCAGATCGATCCTCATATATTTGTCGGTCAGAGAACAAACTCGCCTGATTTCCTCCCCGCTTATAGAGCATATACCTACCTTACCACACCTACACTCAGAACCCTCCTATACACATTGCGCTTCGATCGAGTCCCTTCGTGTCCCCTTCGCCTTCTCCGAATCGCCGCCGCCGCCCCCGCCGCCTCCGACCACATCCAGCTTCCCAAACCCAATTTTTGACTTTGTCCTCGTCACCGCCAGATTTATCCCTGTTGGACATCCCCACCCTCGTTTGACTCGACTCGACTCGCTTGGCTTCGACGCGTGCTGACCGCCATACCACACCTCACAGCTTTTTCTGGTCCATTTTCTTACACCACACCTGCCTCGACTATTACAACTTCTCACTGTTCACCAGCTCTCTGCAACATTCACCGGACTGGCTCCATGAATCAGACGTGGTCCATGTCCTCTCCTCTGCGGAGGTGACCACCCACGAGCCCGGAGTATTCGATTACTTCCGACAAGGACCCCGGAGCACCCCTTCCCTCTCGCGCACCGCCGCCCTACATCACTACAGTCACGACGCCATGTATCGCAATACGTCCCAAATAAACTGTTTGACGAAGCCCCCTTTCCCCTCGCCTGAACATACCAGCGACTCCGAGTCCGACATCATTGACACGTTGGATCGAAAAAGGAGGCAACTCGACGACGAAATCTTAAAGTTCAAAGCCCTCAAGGATCGAGAATTTCGCGATTTCGAGAAAGACCTTCGCACCAACAGGCATCGAGTTCGCGCATCCATCTCTTGCGACTGCGAACCCTCCCCTACTAAACAGCCTATCCCCGCCTCTGCCTCCAATTCTGCACTAAACCTCCTTGCTTCGAGTCAAAATAGTTTTTCAAATGGCCGCCTTGGTCAGAAATTCAAAAAATCCCCAGATTCTGTCAGTGAAAAGATTGTCAAACCGGCACCCTTGAGCAGGCCCACCTTGTCCCTAGACAGATTGACAATTGCGGGGGAAACCACTCCCCTGGCATCTACCTTTGGATCACCGCCCTCGACTCCGCTGAGCCTAGTCCGGCATACATCTCCTTCGTCTACCACCACATCACCCGGTCTGACTACCCCCACCAAGGAACGCACATCCCCCAGCCAGGCAAAAGGCCTGGCTCCGTCGGCCCCTGCAAGCGAACGTTCCGACTCTTTTGCCGGCGTCTTCACACCCACTTACCTCCCTCTGCTGGACTCTCATGACCGTCGATCAAGTGTTCAAAGCCCTCAACCTGTTACCCAAAAACAAGAAGAGGAACCTCAACAACTCCACCTCAATGAACAATCGAAACGTGCCGCTACACAAAACACCCCATCCCAGTCCTTACCACCGCAGCCTGTTTCGCCTACCGTGCTGACCACCAAACGTACCCGGTCCACCCCTGAATTGCCTAGCACAAGCCTTCCCAGTGCCCTTCGGACCCATCGTGGCTCATCTGCCAGGAAGAGGAAGCACGTCCTCTTCCAATTACCAGACTCCGCTATCGTTCAACCCAGTAGCAGCTATGAGGAAGGGCCGAGTCCCGACTTTCGGATACAGGATGAAGTTTCACTGGGAGACAATTTGGCCGAAGTCGGGACTGACAATGGCGACTCGGACTCAAGGTCTGGGAGGAGCAGGTCCGGGCGACACACCACCTCAAACGACAGGTCTCCCAAAGCCGGTGCCAGTAGATCCGGCGCCGACAAGCCCAACTCTAAATTTGGGCTAAAACCAGATTCCTTGACCTCGGTCAAGAGCCGACGGCTGCGCTCTCCTGCCATGTCTCCTCTTCCGTCGCCGTCACCGTCACCATCGCCAGTCATCAACGGCGTACCCGCCTCAACTGGGGATGATTCAGGCTTTGCCGGTGCCCTACTGGCGTCCGATGATGGCGGCAGCGGTGTCGGATTCTTCGAGCTGGATGAGGAATTGGCTAGCCCGGCGTTTACCGAAGATCGCTCCTTTGAAGCGATATTGGTCCAGGGGCAGCAGACCGACGCGGAAGAAGATGAACCCACAGACGGCGATCCCATTCATGATACGCACCGTGTCTCTAATTCACGTTTTTACGGCCAAGCGCCGGACGAGACTGACGAGAAGGGAGGGCGTGGGCGGAGGCGTGCCAGTCCCCGGCGTAGCCGGGCCTCGCCCAATGATGACATGACCGGTGACCAGGACGTGGATGGCCGGGGAGGGTGTGTCGACCCGACCGACGACATGACAACTGGTAGTTTTACCTCCGGCAGTGTTCCCATCAACATTGTGCGGCCCATGAGTGGAAGTTGGATCGGCAGTGTAGGACACTGATTTGGCGTCGATCCGCCACCAATTCATCCATGCTGCCACGTTATTGCCACGTGGTTGAACTTGTAAATATATATTCTGATAGCATCACCGCGAGGATGTCTGTACATGGCCCATATCAACTACTAGATCTACATGATAATTATGTTGTTTTACGAGTCGGACTGGCTTCATGGTCATCATTTCTACTTGGTCTCAAAGAGTGGCGAATGCATATACGTAATGGATCAACAGCAAAATCTCTTCCTGATTCGTTGAAAAGCTCAAAGCGTCAATCATCATCATGTGTGGTATTGCGCCGCTGGAGATTATTCTAGAATACACCTGTCCCTGGCTCTCTATGCAACAAAACCTGATATACATGGGGGTTCTAGTCTACAATAGCCGTCCGCAGCCCGGCCAGAATAATCCTGCGTTGTTCTTTCTGGTCCTCACCATGCCCACCTCAGATCAAGGCTTGACCTTTGTGCATGGCCTCACGCACTTCCCGGATAATGTCTTTGCGGTCGCCTCTTCCCATCAACACCACCCCTCGTCCACGTCGGTTCATGCGGCCCATTCGCCCCAGCCTGTGAACAAAGTCCACCGTCGTGTGCGGCACGTCGTACAGGACCACATTGCGAACTGCCAGAGTGTCAATTCCTCTTGATCCTAGATCCGTCGTCACCAACACTTTGGTGTTGGCCAGGTGCCGAGACGGCTTGTTTTTCAGTTTCTCCAGCGAGTCGTCAAACGGAATAAACGACGAGAAATTTCGGCCCCCAGCCTTCTTCTTCTCATGGTCCGCCTTTTCCTCGCCTTCCACGCGATCGGTTGAAGTGAATGAATCCAGCACCTCGGCCTGTCGCTGCTCAGTGGTATCCCGCGTCAGTGCAACCGCTTCAATCCCTTTGCTCGCCAGGAACTCAGCCACCTCCTCTGCCTTTTCGCGCTCATTCACAAATACGAGGATGTGTTTGACGGTGTGATTCACAAACGCGTCTTCATGCCGGGCCGATCCCAACGTCCAGATGACGTCAGCGCACGCCAGCTTCCGATTTCCCCGGTATGGATCTCTGTCAATGTCTACTGCACCGAGCTGGACGCGCCGAGGGATGGTATGGATTTTGGGCGTCACCAGTCGCTTGGTGTCAGGATAGTGCTTGTCGATAAATCGGTCGAGACTGTTGGGGATGGTAGCACTGCAAAAAACCAGTTGTTTGAGTGATGGTGCACATCGCTCGATAATGTCGAGCGAGGTTTGGGAGAAGGAACGGTCCAGCAGACTGTCGGCTTCGTCTAGAACCAAATGTTGAACTCGGGAAAGAATATTGGGATCACTCTGAGCAATAGACGAGATTAGATGAGGGGTCGAGATGACAATGTCAATGCCATTGGGGTTAAAGAGGCGGGACCGGATAACGGTGGGCGAATTTATGGAGGAGAGTCCCGCAGATCTGTATTTGATGCTGTGAGACAGCAACTTGACGACCTTGGTGACTTGGATGATGAGTTCCGTGGACGGAAGGAGAATGAGTGCTCGAGGACGTCCTGTACTTGGATGAACTTTGGATTTCTCCTCCGTCTCTGACTGGTCCGCAGCAAAAGGAGATGCCTGAAGCTTCTTTTGAAGCTCATCTGCCTCCTGTTGTTCCTTCTGAGCATGTTCGATCCGGTCGATTTCTTCTTGTTGTTTGACCGCATTAACAATAGGAAGGAGGTAAGCGAGCGTCTTGCCGGAGCCGGTCTCGCCCGCAATGAGAAACTTGTCAAATCGAGAGTTAGCTGTAGAACGCTTGCTTGTCTCTTTTTCGTTGCCTCCCCTTCTCCGATGCAACAGGCTGGGAATGGCCAACTTCTGAACCGGGGTGGGAGAGTGCTCGGTAAGATGAGGTAGAATTTGATTGTAAACGGCATCCGTGATCTGCGGCATTAAACCGAGGTCTTCGAATCTTTGGTATTGCTCCAGCTTTTCTTTGATTTTGTCTCGCTGTGTGTATGACAAAGGCGTCAGGGCTTGTTGCATTTTCAAGGCGTGGAATAAAGGTCGGTCATCCTTGTGCATTTTCTTCGGCTTGCTGGCGGTACTTGGTTGTCCTGGATCACCATCCTCGGGTGCATTGGAGGGACCTCGACCAACGCGAGACCTTTGGGCGATCTTGTCGTCGATGGCTCGTCTTGCCGGGGAGAGGGGAAATCTGGGAGGCCTTTGAGGTCTATCTCTCAATTTTCGATTCGGGAGCCTAGCTTCTGTCTGATTCATGGCAGAAAATGGGCCGACCTCCTCTTTCTTAGACTTCTTTTTGTCTGCGAGACCAAGGTCGACATTCTGAGAGAGGGTCATTCTGGCGGGCCGACGGCGAGACCGCATGGCCGAAGCCATAGTTCTCTGGGCCTGCCATTGAATCGGAACTGGCCTGAGGTAACGGAGAAAGGGTCGAAGCCGACAAGACGGGCACACGACGGACGAAGCAGACATGGACGGCCGCAGATGACCGGAAGGTATTTCGCTGCTCTTGTTAGACTGCAGGCGTGACTTGCACTCAGACCTGACGGCGGCGTGATTGAACTTTTTTCCTAGCGCAAGAACGATCAGATATTGCCAAATCAAGACTAGCGTATTATCGCGATCCCCAAATCCTTGGCATGTGCTTGGCTCGGTCTTGGCTGTTGTTATGGCAACGGATCGGATGTTTTGCTCCTTGCCAGATTCCCCACCAACAACTCACCACGATGCAGACTTCAGTCCTTGGGGTGGGCACACACACCTTGATCCAATATCGTCCTTTTAATTGTCCTTTTAATCCATCCTCTTGCGCCATCATCATCTTTCTCATATCTGTCGCCAACCACAGACATCCGTCTCACGACCTGGCCTCAATTGTGGTTGCAGGCTCGAGTTATCTCTGCTTTTCTCGACAGTCTTTACACATCATCTCTTATTACAACCCTTTCTCCACGTCGCAGCTGGTCTGTCTGTTCCAGGCTCAACCAAGCATCAGTCATCTGACGCCTTTGCATCTGTGCACCTTCCTTGCCAACCCACCTCGGTGGTCTAAGCTTGATAAACAATAATCCTATTGTTCAATACCTTCACCACAATGGCCTCAGAGGTGTGTCCACACTCATGTGTTGACACTGAATGGAAGCTCATCATCATCGCCACGTTTAGGTCCCACCTCTTCGCATCCAGAAGGGCAGCAATGGCACTTCACCATCAAAGCTGCCCCGAGTAACCAACCGTCCTTTGTCTGAGCTCAGCCCCATGGCTATTCGTAGAAACTCTCCTAGCTTCCCACAGTCAAAGGTAGGTTGTGTTGCCGTCGTGTTTGCATCGTTTCTCTGCTATCTCCATTGCTAACATGACCTGCAGTCACAATCCAAACTGCTCATCAACGAAACATCTCCAGCGGCATCGTCCCCATTCTCAAACTCCTCGCCCCGCCTCTTCTGGCAGGGAAGGGATCCCAATTCTCCCGCCAGAGAGAGCACCCTCGATCCCTCTCCATCCTCGCTCAACAAGCGATCCTCGATTGAGAACCTGAAGAGAGCTTCCAGAGTAAAGAACAGCAGCATGTTCGAGATCGAGCAAAAGAACAATTACGATCCATCGAGACCAACAATCCTCGACGGTCGACCACAGACAATGCAGCCCTACTCACCGAGATCTCACATTCGAGCCTCGGACACATTACGCAAAGAAAATATCGCACCTGTCGCGGTCAAGCCACCAGCGCAATCCCCACTCAGAGATGTGCATGATTCAGACAGCAATACCGTCAACGGAATCACGCCTCTTTCTCCCAGCAGACTCAACAGTTCCCCGGTGAAATCGTCTTTATCGAAGAAAACAGGCTCCAACTTCCGTCGCAGTGGCTTCAACCCTGATACAGGAATCTGGGAGGATGACGACGATGTCAAAAACAAGCAACTGCCTCCAGGTCGTGGACTACACCGCCATAACAAGAGTGTGACCTTCGATCAGGCCCCACCTCAAGTCAATGAGTACGAAATGACCACTCCAGCACCATCTTCTCTCGGATCAGAATCCCGCGAGGGAAGTTATGAGTCTGTGGAGGATGAGGATGAGGATATGAGCTTCGAGCGAGGTTCATCCATAGATCATGACGACAGTTTCGACGCTTCACTGGAAGACACCGACAAGACCCCAGTGGTCTTACCCGAGGACTGGCGGTTCATGAGTCCTGACACTGCCAAAAATGAATTGACACGCGCTGAAGATGACGTTTTCAATGACGATTGTGGTAGCCCTGAGCCTACCGCGACACCAGGTGCATTTCCCTATCGACCCCATCAGACCAGTGCTGGATCAGTCGACTCCAATGGCCAGACTCGTCCTCTTCCCCCGCTTCCCGCGGGAGTCAAGCCATCAAGTAACAGCCTCCTGTCTGGTGCGTTTGAACGTATGAGCATTGGACAGCGATCTCTTCCAACCCCGCCCATGGCTGCCGCTATTTCCAAGATTGACATCCTCAAAATTGGAAACAGCACGTCGCTGTCGCCTGAGGATCGTTTACGATTGATGGCTCTCCAGGAAGAGGAGCGAGAACGCCGAATGAGACGACTGGGCTCCAAGGATTCGAGTCCAGTTCGCGAACCCAGTGTAGAAGGCTCGGTCATCAATCATGGCGAACCTGGTCCTGAAATCTATACTCCGCGAGCAACCACACCGAAGTTATCCCGGGAATCCGTCTTGCAAGGTCTTCGGGCCGACGCAAATCAGGATAGCAGGGAGAGCAGCGCGGAGACGGAAATTTCACATGCACAGTCATCTAGTGTGTATGACCCTGATGTGCCAATCCCATCCACGGAAGACCAAACAGATGAGCGTCATCAGCCAGTGTTCATCAAACAGGAGGAATATGAAGAAGACCTCTACTCAATCCCTGATTTGTACGCCCGTGGCGACGTCTCCGAGTCTGAACAAGGTGGCAACCTCGATGATGACCTAACATCACAGTACTCGCAGGCCTCTACAGCGCCACTGCCTTTGCCAGACCTCAATGATGACGGACAAAACACCCCCAAGGCTCAGAGCCCTATCCGAGAGACGCCCAAAGTCAAAAGCGCGACTGGAGACCGGGTGTCTCTGCCTGAGTTCAATGATTTTGGCAAGGATACTGGTTTCGACATTGGACTCAGCCCTTTCCTGACACAGAATGAAGAGAAGCCGATGCCAGACCTTGCAGCGCTTCGTCAAACCATTCAGCGTTCGTACAGCCCCGAGGTGCAGACTAAAGGACAGCAAAGTCTCGCCACGCAGAGATTTCAACAACAATCGTATACGGTGGCTGAGCCCAAGACCTTTAGGGCTCAAGCAGGCACAGATTTTGGCAGAAGCCATGACCGGGCTCCTCTGGTGGAACAGTCGCGGTTTGATACCGACAGTGACAGATCAATGTCGCCATCCGAGAGTGGCTCGGTAATTGTGAATCCCAAAGAAGGATCACCTATCTCACCCATGTCAGCCGAGTTTCCAGACGATTTGGGCACGATGGAGAAGGAAACCAAGAAGGAGGGACTCGCCGGAGAGACGACTACTCTCCGTCTACCCTTGATGACGGACAGCAAGCGAGTGAGCAGTTTGGTGCCACTAGAGATTTCCCAAGGAGATTTAGAGGACGGGCTCGGACTCGGACCGGGACTGGAACAAGCCTTTGACCGGGTGGTCGAAGCACAAAAGGTAGAGTTTGAACTCTCTTTGCAACGTTTATATTACCCCTTTAACGGTCGATTCCCATCCTGTGAGGTGCCTAACCCCAAGGAGCCGAACGCTGTATGCCCATTGGAGAACATCCCTGTTCTTCCAAAACCGACAGGACGCGAGACATCATTCCCATACCCACATTTGAATTGTGCAGAAAGTCATCAGTATCCCGAGTCATTTGCTAATCGATCTCCCAAACGACAGCGAGGATATCTCATGCGGCAGAACACCAAGATCGTTGTGGCCAGCGAGCGGTTGTCCAACGAGGAAAGCAGGTCCCCCGGCTTGCCAGCAGTAGAGGGTGATCTGAACGACACTCAGGCACTCCAGGCGAACCAAGTGACGCCATCACCTCGTAAGACCAGTCAACCAACCTGGACGGCCGAGCCATGGAACGGCAAAGTTCGACGCAAGAGCATCCGTGTTGGTGGTGAAAAGGCCGTGGGCCATCGAAAGGCGGTGGGAGGGCCAGTGCCACCGTTGCCGGGGCAAGCCAGCAATGCTCAAGAGGCGCTCGATGCCGTGGCAGAGGATGAGGTCGGTGAAGAAGATGAGTGGGAAGACGGAGCAGAGCGGGGGCGACTGTTTGTCAAGGTGGTGGGTGTCAAAGACCTACAAATGCCATTCCCACAACGTAAGTTGAGCCAGAAACTTGACATTCGCCCACGACTGACAAGATTCAGATGAACGCACACACTTTGCTCTAACATTGGACAATGGGCTCCACTGCGTCACAACAGCGTGGTTGGACCTCGCCCGCAGTGCACCCATTGGTCAGGAATTCGAACTTGTGGTCTTGAATGACCTGGAGTTTCAACTGACGCTGCAAATGAAGCTGGAAGAACCCAGAGTGGAACGACCACAGTCGCCATCTAAAGCGCCAAACTCGCCCAAGAAACCAGGCGCGTTTGGACGTCTTTTTGGCTCTCCTAAGAAGAAGAAGGAAATGGAGCTCCGTGCTCAGCAAGAAGCACAAGCAACGAGACGGCCGGTGACACCACCTTCAGCGTATGAACTGGTGCAAGGATTGGTAGCCAAGGATGGGTCGTTTGCTCGGGCATACGTGACCCTCAGCGAGCATGAGAAAGAAGCGTATGGACGGCCATACACGGTAGACATTACGTGTTTCAACGAATGGGCATTGGAAGAAGTGGTCGTGGGCAGTTCACGAAGCAAGAAAGGGGTGACGCAATTGCAACGACGTCCTCCGTACGAGATTGGCAAGCTGGAAGTGCAGCTGCTGTACGTGCCCAAACCCAAGGGGGCCAAGGACGAAGACATGCCCAAAAGCATGAATGGGGCGATCCGGGCACTTCGGGAAGCGGAGCAGCGTGTGCAACAGCAAGCCAACATCCAGCCTTTCGAGGGATATCTAAGTCAACAGGGAGGCGATTGTCCGGTAAGGAAGACGTGGATGGCGAAAGGTCGAGTCAAGCAGGCTGCTAACAGGTGAATAGTACTGGCGACGACGATTCTTCAAGCTCTCTGGCACCAAACTCACGGCATTTCATGAGACGACGCTGCAGCCGAGGGCGACGATCAACATTGCCAAAGCGACGCGTTTGATCGACGACAAGAGTGCGCTGATGCAGAGAGAAACTTCGACCAAAGGCGGGGGACGTCGTAAGAGTGGTTTCGCGGAAGAAGAAGAAGGGTACATGTTTGTGGAGGAAGGATTCCGCATCCGGTTCGCGAACGGAGAAGTGATTGACTTTTATGCGGATGCGACCGCGGACAAGGACCAGTGGATGCAAGCTCTGTCACAAGTGGTTGGCAAGGGGGTTCAGGCGTCGAATGCTCCAAACCGCGGATGGATCGACATGGTTCTCAAGCGGGAGAAGAAATTGCAAGGAGAAATGACGCAGGGACCCCGAGCAAAGGGACACCAGCGCACGGAAACCTATCATACCAGCAGTGGGCTCACTCAGCATAGTCCGAGCAAGAACCGAGTTGCAATGGAAGAACGACATCGAAAGACCAAGAGTATGGTCGGATAGAAGGAGTCGAGGCTGAGGGTAGTGGGCGGAGCATGTGATATGAGCAAGACGCAATGACATTCGGGTGTCAGGGTGTTGATATCGGATTATGGGGCAACGGAAGGCGTTTTTGGTTTTGGGACAAGGCAGGACTGTAGCAGGGCTTGGTTTCTGTATGAATTGTCATCATCTTGTATGGGATACAACGAGGATTATGTGGCAGACGATTGGTCTGCCGTGATTTCGAATTGTGTTGAATACAACAATGTTGGGTCGTGAAATGTCAAAGTTCCAAGGTCAGTATGTGTGTGATTCGTGGCCAGAGGTTGAATCGTAAGCAGATGTGAGAGGGAGATGATGAGATTTGAAGATTGAGAGAATGAAGCAAGCAAGAAGAAGTGACTGCGGTGGTGATGATGGATGGTGGATGATGGGAGACTGACTGCAGTTGTAGTTGCCGTTGTGGCCGTTGTGGCCGTTGTTGCCTAATTTAATATTCATCACAAGGTAAGAGAAGAGGCAGGCACCGTTGTTGTTGACTGACCACCAATGTTCTTGCCAAGTTGGTCAGTACTTAGTCCCTAACCTGGGCCGAGGGGCGCGGAAGGTGCATCCCATCCTCTTCACCACGTGTTTTATATTCGTTGAAATATATTTGGCCTTGTCAGCCTTCTGGCCTCCATTCTTCATTAACATCATGTTTCGTTCCTGATCTCCCACACCCCCCTCATCGGCCATGGGAATCGTTCGGACCATCGCCCTCGTCATTCTGACCATCTCATTTATCGTCTTTGTCGCCTTATTTGGACGACTGCCCATTTTCAGGTAAGGGTCGCTCCGTCGCTCCCATCTTTCCGGGCGAAAAACCACTGACACACATCAAAGACGAACCCCAGTTCATTTCTTACATTCCTTACTATGGATCTACATCCCTGCTGGCCTGGGAATCATCGATGAGAAACTCACCGGTCGGAGACTCACCAACAGTCTATCTAGCCTAGCCAACTATCTCTTCAACGAGGCTCACCCTATCGTGCTGGTAAGCTGTCAATCTCAGCACCTTTCACCCCGCCTTTCCTCACACTTCTACCATCTAGGTTTTCTTCGTCCTCCTTCAAGTTGCTGGAGAAATCCTGTTCATCCCCTCCGCCTGGAGCCGATTCTCCCCAGTGGAGAAACTCCCTGTCCCCTTCCTAGTGGTCGCCCCATATCTGTTTCTTTACCTTTCAAGTACAACCTCCTCCAACATTACGGACAAGAACCATCAATCTGCCATCCGCGCCTACCCCTATGATTATTGTCTCTTCCATCCAGGCTACTTCTGTAGTACCTGCCACTTCGCCAAGCCCGCCCGCTCCAAACACTGTTCTCTTTGCAAGGCCTGTGTTCAGAGACAGGACCACCACTGTATCTGGATCAACAACTGCGTAGGCCGCAACAACTACCTCTGGTTCAACCTGCTTATTGCCAGTACTGCTGCCCTGATCGCTTATGGCGCTCTCAAGGGTCACTCAATCCTTGATGCGAGACTGCAAGCAAAGTTCGTTCCCCCAGCCCTGACGAGAGGCAGTTTGACGGCCAAGAGGTGGAGCACCGCCTTAACCTGGCACCAGTGGCTACAGTGCTGGGGCTGGGCTATCGGCGTCGAGTGGAAAATCGGTGCTGTCATGTTGCTCTCCGCCATGTCCTTCCCCCTCGCCACCGCCTTTCTCGTCTATCACCTCTACCTCGTTTGGGCAGGCATGACTACCAACGAGAGTGCTAAGTGGGCTGAGTGGAAAGAAGACGTCGAAGACGATTTAGTCTGGAGGGCCGAGATTGTCCGACTACGGGAGACCTATCCCAGACTACCTGAGGATGTCGAGCCCTCTCAAACAGAGGGTCGCTGGCCAGCCCATCTCACCGCCCGTTGGTGGATGGTCAGGACCAGAGATGGCACTCAACCTAAACACAAGACTCCGGGCAGTCAAGCGCCAGATGATGGAGACCCCTGCGACGAAGTCGATGAGAGGTGGGAAAAGGTCGAGAGCATAAAAGAAGTGGACAATTTGTACGACCAGGGATTTTGGGTAAACTTGGTTGACCATCTTTTCAATCGTGGTGGATAGTTCATGTATTTTCATAGTTGACTTGCAATGTTCTTCACACATGAATTTCCTTCTCCATGATCCTTCAAACAATCTTTGGTCTCTCTTTCCCCCTCCAAACACACGTCGTGCTGAGTGTCAAATTGCGTCCAAGGCGAGGGCCGTGAGGGGGCTGCTCATGTCACGTGAACACGCGTCATTCTAGGCCAACTGTCCGTGCAAGTGCAATAATCTGCAACCTCAACCCTTCATCGACACCCACTGACCTTTGTGAATCCCCGGTTCTAACCACCTGAGGGCCCGGTGAATGACGGTCGATCCATGAAACAAGCTGTTGGTACATCCACTATGCCCGCCAATGGCTTCTCGACCTGCCAAACGGCAGCGCCGCTCGACCCTCACCAACTCCGATGACAATCAAGACTATGTCCCACCTGCGACTCGAGCGTTTAGAAGTTCGACACAGCGCGAGATCACCCGGGATGGCAAGACCTCATCCAACCCATCGCCCACGAAACCAGCAAAGACCAAACCAGTTGCGAAACGGCAACCACCAAAACCCTCTCCCAAGTCCTCCCCCGATAAATCGAGAAAGAATAGTGCCAAGTCACCCAAATCGCCGGAAAAGTCAAAGTCCCTGCACAGTTTCTTCTCAAAAGTTACAGAAGAAGAACGCTGGAGGAAGAAGTCGCTTACCCCAGACTTGGTCTCTGAAAACGGCGAACTGGGCGACGACATCATCGAGGACGACGATCTATCTGATGAGACCCTCCAAGAGCTGGGAAGTCGGACAAACAAAGCTGCCACCTCTCTGGAGCGACCAAAGCCCCCAGTGTCTTCTGTCGCTAGTCTCAAAAATGGGCTTAGCTCTGCGCCCTCGAGCCAGAGATTCGTAAACCAGAATGTGTCAAATCATGTCAAGGTAAAGGTCGAAGATGAGGACGCCATGCTTTCGCAGACCCATCGCCCCTGGGCTGACCGATATGGGCCTCAAAGCCTGGACGAGTTGGTTGTACATAAGAAAAAAGTTTCAGACGTTCAAGGCTGGCTCCAAGGCAAAATCAGTGGGCGTAATCCTCAGGTATGCCTCCAATCATCTCATCCATTTTCGCCGTACTCACACCTCTTAGAAGATTCTTGTACTCAAGGGCCCAGCTGGAAGTGGTAAAACAACAACCGTCGCTTTACTGGCCAAATCTATGGGCTTGCAGCTTGTCTTTTGGCAGAATCCTGGAACCAATGAAGGCGGCCGGATGAACTCAATCGCCGTCCAATTCGGCGAGTTTCTCAACCGGGGCGGTCAATTTGAAAGTCTTGTTCTCGCCAAAGAGCACTCATCCTCCGCCTCAGACGTCCATGGCCGCATCCTCGTCGTTGAAGAATTTCCAACCTCAAACACGACTTTACAGTCTTTCCGGTCTGTTGTGCAACAGTATCTGGCTCGAGGAAGAGCGGGCCCTGGCCCTGGATTCTCCCCTCAACCACCGGTGAACGAACCTCCTGTTGTTATGATCATATCGGAAACTCTCCTTTCCTCATCTACTGCGCTCTCAGATAGCTTCACCGCCCACCGACTTCTAGGGCCTGAGATTCTCAACCACCCCTATGTCACCACCATTGAGTTCAACCCCGTGGCGACCACGTTCGTCTCAAAGGCGCTGGACCTTGTCATCAAGAAGGAAGCTCGGGATTCCAAGAGACGACGCATCCCTGGTCCGGCCGTCATTCAACAAATTGCCGAGATGGGTGACGTAAGAAGTGCTGTCAACTCCCTCGAGTTTCTCTGTTTGAGGAATGAAGACGGTTCTGAATGGTCAGGCAGGGTGGCCGGTGTAAAGGCCAAGAAATCATCCAAAGATGCTCTACCGCTCACAGAGATGGAGAAGAATTCTCTGCAGTTGATCAGTCAAAGAGAGACTACCCTTGACATGTTTCATGCTGTTGGCAAAATCGTTTACAACAAGCGAGAAGACCCGAGAGTGCAAGACACCCGTGCAGAGCCTCCACCGAAGCCTCCGGACCATCTCCTACATCTTTATACGCCCAAAGCGTCCCTTGTTGACTTTGATGCCCTGCTCAACGAAACAGGGACTGACATACAAACGTTCATCTCGGCCATCCACGAAAACTACATTCTCTCATGTAACGGCGACTTGTTCGATCAATCATTTGACGGCTGTTCCGAGATACTTTCTGCTTCCGATGTCCTCAATCCGGACAGTCGGCCCTCCCGCCGTGCCATCAACAACCCCAATGCGTCCATAATCCAGGCCAGTCTTCAGGCCGGTAGTTCTGACACCCTGCGCCAGGATGAAATTAGTTTTCAAGTCGCGACAAGAGGTGTTTTGTTCAATCTCCCTAATCCGGTCAACCGTGCAAGTGTACCGGGCGGCAAGCGAGGCGACAACTTCAAGATGTTCTACCCACAGAGTCTTCGCTTGTGGAAAACCATCGAGGAAACAGACAGTATTGTGGCCATGCTCTCGCATGATGTTGGCGCAAACCATTCCTCCGGCAGCAACAACACTTTATCAGCGGCTGCAGATCAAGGGGTTGCAACATGGCGATCTCGCGGGATTGGGAATGGTGTGACTCCCGTGCATATGGACGTGGGAGATGGTCGATCTGATGAAGAGGAGCCGCCTTTGACGTATCAACTCCGCCGCAGCAGAGATACAATGATTATGGAGATCCTTCCATTTGCTCAGCGCGTCCTCTCCGCCCGTGCACAGGATACCAGGACCTTGGACCGAATCACAAAGTTCAGACCCAGTGCTTTCAACCCCTCGCTCGCCGACCTGGACGGCGACGTTGATCTCGAGGCAGAGGGCGAGGTGGACGCATCGTTTCACGACGATCGTGTGGACGCAGGTTCGAATGCCACTGGAGTTGCATCCTTAACAATGCCTCCACCACCATATCCATTGTTGTCTAAGAGCCGATTCCAGACTGCTGGCCTCCCGAAAAAGGGATTAGGGTCGAACAGCGCCCAGACGACGACGGCACCAACTCCGGCGATTGAGACGTTGTATCTTGAAGAAGACGATATCGTAGATGATTAGTTGACATGATCATTGTCCTTGTATGTTGGCTCACGGGCAATAGCCAACGGCTTCATATAACCACTGTTTCGGTGTCCTTGGGGACATTGCATCGTTTGATCCACACACACTGCCATTCAAACCATCTCTAATTAAGTCTTGCTCATCCTCGATGGTTTTTCTGCAGAAAATACATCATGTTGGGGCAGCGGTGGTCAGAGACTGATCCTTCACCCGTGCTGGCGGGTATTTCTATTTACACTAATCCTGCCCGTCGGAACAAAGACTCTCAATTCATACTGCGCGGACTGTCACCGTCACTTTTCAAACCAGCCATCCTCCCGAATACGAAACGCAAAAGACACCGCCGTGGCTGCAAACAAGCCCATACACAGAGCAGTCGTGCCGTACTTGTCGTAGTACCGACCGACGGTCGCCCTTCTTTTCCGAATCATTTGCACCCGCAGCCAATAGATTGCTACACTATAGATCAATGCTGCACATGCCACAATGGTGAATCCCCACGCCGATATCAGGCTGACATTGTCGCCAAAATTGAGCAGTGTGGCCGCAATCGATCCAATAATGATGCTAAACTCGAGCCACGAGAGAAAAGTCCGCTCTGCCGCGAAGTAGACCTTTGGCTCGACTCGCACCGGCACATGGATCCGTTTCCCCTTTGGCGCCTTGAATCGTTTGACTGTCGAGACTTGACCGTTCAGAGGATTGACGCCACCAATCCCTCCATTCTGAGGGAGAGGCGTGGTGGTTGGAAGTTTGCTCAACGCACTGAACATTGTATTGCCGGCCAGTCGGACGTGGTGTTGCAGAACAAGAGGATAGAATTTCCAAGATCCCGATCGGCGAGCTTCTTCAAGCCGGCTCTCAGCACGGTCTCCGTCCTCCTCCTCTTCCGAGTCATAGAGGTACTCTTGAGGACCTACTGGCAATGCTGACACGCGTTCTTCTTCATCCAGTGAGTTTCCTGGTGCAGGTTGGAGACCTCGTGCTTCGTCCTCTTCCTGGGCTCTGCTATGCTCGTCCAAGGCCCTTCTGGCAGCCTTGAGACGTCTGGTTGCTTCATCGTCGCCTTCATTGGAGCCATTGGCGTACGGCGTGGTGGCGCCGGTGACTTCTCCGTCCTCGAAATCTTCGTCGTCGGAGTCGTCCACATCACTGGTGGAGTAGCTGGCGGTGTTGGCAGGTCTCTCGATGCCAAATTGGTGGGTGATGGGTTTTCGGATATCGACGTCCATCTGCGGCATCCAGAATGGCAGTAGATTGATTCTGTTGGGGAACATGGTGGCGGTACCGTGGATGAATTTGGAGAACTTGGGAACGGCTTCGACCAGGTGGCTGGACGTCAGATCTCGGACCCATTGGGGAGGTTCTTGCCCCGCCTGTGTTTGTAGCTTGACTTCGAGGACTGCGTAAGGAAAACGTTCGACATCTTCTGGAGGTAATTGGGAGAAAGGCCAGTCAATACCAATGTCCATGCGTCTCCAGTTATTGCCAGACCTTTGCCTCCCATCTAGATTGTCCTCTCGGGTCATGGTCAACTCAGTATCCAATGAGATACGCACGCGAGCGTCACCGGGAAGTTGAAAAGCAGTTCTGTGATAGAATGATCTTGTCACAGGCACGAGTTTTCGAGTGATGACTCGATATTGAATCTCGCGAGCCAACTGCTCTAGGTCTTGAATCTCTTTTAGACTCTTTTTGCCCTCCTTGCGCATTTTAGCAAAGGCATCCTCGACCGTGAATTCGCCTCGCATGAAGGCATTGACATTTTTCTCCTTGAGAGTAAATCTGGCTTTGACAGACTTTTCGCCAGTCCAGTCCTCACGATGTGTTTTCCTCTCGACAAAAATGGTTTCGTTCTCCATGCCGCCATACCAACGCAGACGGATGGCTTCGGCGCCTTCAGTCTTCTTCAGACGGCCTTCGTACAGCTCCCAGGTGTCGGTGTTGTCGTAGTAGATTGAGGAGATGGCAGAGTCCCTCTCCTCAAATTCTTTGTTGGGATTGAATACCAAGACAGGCAAGTGCTTGAGGACGATGAGTTTCAATTCGGTGATGTTGTCGGCATGAACCCAATACTTTGTGGTCTGACGGACAAAATTCTGCTGACCACCACCGGCGGCACTGTCACCTTTGACGGGATTGCCTCTTGTACGGACGAGGTCGTAGAGTTTGGAGAGAGTGACAATGAAGGCATCGTAGTTATCTTGAAAGAAAGGTTTTGCTTTGAGTCTGGTTGCAAAGGAGGGGCGAAGGTACATGTTGGTCTGTTTGTCATGCTTCTTGATGATCTTTTGGAAGCCGGTGTAATTCAGTTGGGTGTATTTTGCCAGGTCGTGAACGTCGGCGATGATATCGCTAAGGTCGGCTTCGAGAAGCTCAAAGTCGCCTTCGAGGTCTTCATCGCTCTCGGGGTCTGAACTATTGAGCTGTTCTTGCCTTTCAACCACTTGTTTGACCTCGGCTTCGGCGGCCTTGATGCGAGACACTATCTCCTGGCTCTTGAGCTTTTGGAAGGTGAAGACCTTGTCGAGTTCGGCCTCGAGTTGTCGAATGAAGGAGGCTTCGTCGTCGTCATTCCAAGGCTCCCGGTCGCCGCTCTTGCCAGAGATGTGTGGTTTTTTCAAGGCATCTTTTAGCTCGTCGTAGGAGATATAGTGCCAGTAGTAGTCTTTAATGAGGGACTGGCGCAGCTGTTGGCCGAACCTGCAGGTGATAAAAGAGTTAGCTTGGATGTCCCGGGAAACTCGCAGCGGACGGTCAGGATGGGGTTCACATACTTCATGCTGTCAAAGACCGGGGGTTGACTCAGCACATGAAGATATCGTCAATGCCGGTCCAGGATGAGGGTAGAGAGAGCTCAGAGAGGCGCAGGAGATGCGGATTGAAGTAGGAGAATGCAATGAAGCAAGAGTGACTGCAAGGTTTGGACAGTAGAATGAGTTTATTAATTTTACAAGAGTGAAAAGGATGAAAATCTTTGAGCTGTTCCTGAACACAAGGAACCTGGAGCTCGTTGGTCGCTGTGGTTATCTTCCATGCTGGTACTTGATCAAAGCAACTCCAAACGACGCATACGGGAGTTATACTTTGATGGCTTCCTCGTCTTGTCTCTCCAATCAAAGACGACGTTGAAGAACGTGCAGCTGCCGTCCAGGCCTGCTCCATAGATCTAGTCCAAAAAGGGTTAGACATTGAGGGGTGGAGATAGGGTGGAGCACAGGAGTTCTAGACTGCTTCACGTGCCGCTTCACGTGCCACTTCAGAGGCTGGAAACCAACGTCTTTTGCGTTTGCATCTTTTGTCTACTGAATTGTTACAACTGATGCCACTATCAAAATACCCGGCGAGATCAGCGCAAAGAAATCGTGTGTATTCCAGATCGAGTGAGCTATGAGTTATGACTACCACTGACATCATCCCATCATGAATCCTCTGAATCCTCGCCCCTTTCCTACCACACTTGTTTGAGCTTGGTTGTCAAACTCACGGTACACAGGGCGTAGTCCGTAAAGATCACGGAGAACGAGCTGGGAGTCGTAGTTCACCACCCATGACCATCCTCATGGCCTTTTCGTCGAGTAAGTGTTGCAAGTCGTTGCCTGGTGGGACAAAGAAAATCTCACGTGACATCCAGTCTCTGTGGGCAACTATGATGACTACCTACCTGACCGTCGATTTCGAATTAGCCAGACCCCGACCTCATCGATATCCTGAGGTCCACCAAGTTTCCAAATCAACACTCCAAGCACCACAAGTCCCCCTCTTCTTCTCTAGATCACAACTCGACTTGCCAAAATCCCAAAATCCCTTATGCGATCACCTTTCCCCCACCCTCTGAGCCATTCAAGTCAACTCTAGGCAGACACGCTCCTGTCAAGGATAGCCATGTAAGGCTGAACTTCCCACCCATCGAAATCGGCCAAACCGGCCGCATCTGGCTCAGATAGAGTAATCTTCTGCTGGATCGCTCTATCATTCGAGAGTGTTCTCTAGTGTTCTCTTTGCGTTTTCCTGTCAACTTTCATTCATCTCGCCTCTTCGATATGCCCTCTCCTCTTGATTCCCCCGCGTCGACGATGCCACCTCGCCAACTCCCACTTGAGATCATCTACTGGATTGCTCAATCATGTCCCGGAAAAACCCTCAAATCAATGCGCCTGGCATCCAAGACCATGGCTCAGATAGCCGAACCCCTGCTGTGGCGCCATGTCGTGCTTGTCCCCAATTCCTGGTGCATCAAAGCCTTCATCGACACTGTCAAATCATCCACATTCCTTCAACATGTCATCACACTTAGCTATGATGCTCGCTTTCCCACATTTTTTGAAGTCATCAGAAACTACAGGGCTGACTCGAGTATAGAGCAGCCCAAAGATGATGCTGCTCTTGTTGAATCAGTCTTCGACAGAGCCACTAACAGCTGCTTTACCACCAACGAAGACACCAGCATAGAGATCGCCTGGCTCTCAAAGGTAATTCGCATGTTCCCCCACCTCAACGAAATTATCATTCGAGAATGTGATCGCTTTGGCGCGATTATTGACCCAGTATCAATTCCACATTTCTACGACAAGATGTGCACAATGGTTAATATTAACCCCTGCAACGTCAACTTTGACAACATGGGCATATTGGCCGGTAGATCATACACAAGGTCAATGCTGATGGCAGTCTTCACCACGGGTTGCCCTTTAAAGATCGTCAGAAGTACCACAGCTGATCTCAATCAGACTTTTGCCATGCACCGTGGTGAAAAGGCCTCTACGAGTTATCTGCTCAGCATCTATGAAGACGTCGTGGCCAATCTCTCCATTTTGGAACTATCCTTCTGTCCCAGAGGCTCTGACCGTTCCCTCTCGGCAATTCAATTCATGCTGAGCGCCGCTACCCGACTCAAATCACTCTCCCTCAGTCTGGGAAATGATCCTTCCACAAATGCATACTTGGCACAGGATGACATGCCTTCACAACTTGGCGACATTTTCAAGACACGCGCGGGGTCCCGGGCCTTCAAACCAACACTTCCCAACCTGGAATACCTAGCTCTCGACGGCTGCATCAGCCAGGAAGAAGATCTGATTCATTTTCTTAGCATCCATTCTTCCACTCTGCGTCATGTGCATTTGTCGGATATGGCCTTGCTTGTAGTCCACGAACGACATGGCTGCTGGGTCGAGATCATCAAATCAATGCGGAGAATGCTCCAACTATCATCAGCCACCTTTGATGGATGGTTCAGTAATGGTGGACGTCAGCACTGGTTTGTCATCAAAGACAGGGTGAGCCCCGAGAGACTCAAAACGAAAGTCGAAAAGTTTGTTGTGAAACAGGGCTCTCGTGATTGTCCCCTCGAAAGAGTTGCAATCAAACCCTACGAGAACGACGTGGGCGCTGTTGTCAACGCAGAAGAGTGGGAAGGTGACCTCTCCTGGACCATGGTCTACAATAGGTTCGAGAATGGTGTAGAATTCTTTTGGGGACTCAACACTACAATCTTTTCTGAGGTATCCTCAGTGGCGGGAAACCCCATCTTGCCTCCATCGCCTCCTTCACTTGACATGATCAAAGCAAAAGAGCAGCCTCCAAGCCTTAATGAACCGGTATACAACGAAACACCCCTGCAGTTGCACGATCAAACGGGGCTGCAAACATGGCTTCCCGATGATGACTTGTCAGAGGATGATTTAGGATTTCACACGGGACTGGGAAATAATACTAATACTGGCTTCCTCACATTATGTCATGTCAACCCAGAGGCCTTGTCATATGTCAAGGGGAAAGCGACGAATTGTGAGTGGACCATCAATGGGAGCGTTGCCATCCCTCCTGAGTCTACTCTTTCTCCGACGACTTGGGCTTCTAGCTCATCTGCGTCATTTTCTGGCAGCATTGTCAAGCAGTCATGATGCATTACCCGCGATCAAATCATGGTTTGATCATGGGTCAGATGCGGATGCGCGAACGATGCCTCAGGGTAAATTTAGCTGCCCAAAGTTCATTTGACAACCCGCGCGTCGAGTTGGTGTAGCGAAGCCACAATCAATTTGCGGTTTTCGCAGTGGGCTGCTTCGATGATGGCAGAACAAAGTATGGAAAACGTCTCTCCGTGGAGGAGGCATGGAAAATGCAAATCATGGACAACAAGGGCAACCGGCAAAACTCTTCGCATGGGCTGCGGCTAGTGTATACGGGCTATGAGACAATTCCAATCTAGGCATTATCCCATAACAAGTCTTGATTCAAACTTGATCTCTTTGTCTTTCATCGTGAGAGCGCCAATCCATGGTTGGGCCGCTCGCTCGGCCTGTGTAATAATATATACAGTTTCGCTCCCGATGCAACTCCATTTCCCCGTTTCTGGTCCAGCGCTGCGGGTTCACAATTCTCCATCCGCCCTGAAAACATCTTTGATATGGTAGGGTTCACCCACAAGGCTGGTAAGTCCAGTCCTAGGCTCACACGTCGCCCTCTGATGGCCTTCATATGTTTGTGGTCCGGCCCGGGGAACCTTGCTCACGTCATAACCGGCAACGGTGGCGCTGTCTTTGAGAGCCTGCAGCAACTTGACTGTGGTCTCAGGAGTCAAGTCCTCATAATAATCATCATTGATTTGCACCATAGGTGCATTGACGCATGCACCGAGACATTCAACCTCGAGTAGGGAAAATAGATTATCCTCGGTGGTATGGCCAGAGTGGATGCCGAGGAAATCCTCGCACGCCTTGATGATCTTGTCGCTTCCACACCCACCCAGCATGCACGGGGTCGTGGTGCAGACCTGCACAAAGTACTTGCCCACAGGTGTTCGATTGTACATGGTATAGAAGGTGGCCACTTCGTACACTCGCATGGGTGGCATCTCGAGCATGCGTGCAACTTCGTTCATGACACTAATAGAGGTAAAGCCATGTTGACGTTGGCCGAGGTCCAGTAGTGGCATCACTGCGGCTTTCTTATATTGTGGTGGGTATCGTTTGAGGATTTCATCGATGATGCGGAGGTTCGTTTCATTGAATTTGAAAGGGATACTGGGATTGTTGTTGGGAGTGTTGCGATGCTGAGATGAATACCAGAGTTAGCGGATACACTAGCAAGGTGCTGTAATTGATATTGAAGGGTCTTTGCAACATACCACCGAGAGGGTTTCGCTGTAGGTTGTGGGTGTTGAAGAGAATTGTCGAGGATGGAAAGATGGGCGGCTTCTGGGGGTCTTGGACGCAGCGCGTGTCGCTGTGCGCATCAACTGAGGCACAAGCTTGGAGGCCATGGTGGAAGATGGGCGTTGAAGAAACTTGCCTCCTGTCCGTGGTCCTGGAGTGACTGCTCAAAACATGGAATTGATGGTGTAGATGTGCCGTCTACATTAATCATGTGGAATTACCCAGGGAGCTTCCTGTAGCAGCTTGAGCCAATCAACGTCGTGCGAATTACCGTCGGTCGTCACTGCATTAGGGATTGCGCTTTTGGTGGCTGAGGGAAGGTGCACCGAGACCCCATAGACTTCACCGTACATATCTCTACGGTAGAACATCCAGCCGCAGAGATGCAATATCCATCTCCGCAGGTCATGGACGACTCCACGCTGGCCTCATAATACCCTCGAAGCAGCGTGTTGGAGACACTTCTTACAGGACTGCACATGCCACCACATCCACCCAACCTTTTTGCTCAAGGATGAGGTACTCGGCCGTGGTCAGCACCGTCCTCGGCCTGCTCGCCAGCATCACAACAGCAGACTCCAACCTCACGACAGATCAGGAAACGCAACAGAAAATCCTCCAGAGTGATTTCACCCCTCCTTCGGTATTTGAAAACACAAATGTTGTTCGGACCATCAACTTGGAAAAGGGATATGTCAGAGAGACGGTCAATGTTCTCGTGACCAACATCGATAAGCTTGCACAATCGGAATATTACATTCCATTCGAGTATGATGTGATGGGCAAGATTGGTGGCTTTGATGCCCGTGACAAGAAGCATCCTGATGGCGGACCTCTTGAGACGTATATTGCCTCACTTTCAGGTCTTTCGACATTGGGCGGAAGTCTCTCAAGGTAATCATTTATTGGTCTTCGTGCTATTGTGAGGTGCTGACGCATATAGCCCAACCCAATACTATGTCGTTCAGCTCCCTGAGCCCCTCGCTCCCAAAGCCAGCATTACTCTGAGCATATCCTACCACGTTTTAGGCGTCCTCACTCCTCTGCCAGCGGCTATCAAGCAAGATGAGAAGCAGTATCTGACCTACAACTTCTCCGCATATCTCCCGAGTGTCTACAAGACGATCAAGCAAAAGACCAAGCTCAAGTTCCCGAATGCCGACGTGCCCGAGTACACCAAGACCACGGGCTTGACCTCGGCAGCGGATCCAGAAAAGCAGGGTTCTTCATTTACCTATGGAACATACGACACGACCAAAGTTGCGCCAGGGGCGACCTATCCGGTCAGCGTCCGATATGAATTTAACAGACCCGTTTTGGTGGCCAGCCAACTTGAAAGAGATGTCGAAGTTTCACACTGGGGCGGAAATCTGGCGACGGAGGAACGATATTGGCTCCGGAACGACGGTGCATCACTGGCCAACCATTTCTCGCGAGTTGCCTGGAGCCACCAAAACTTTTACATCAACGCCGGACAAGCAAGCACCTCTGCGGTGCGGGAACTCAAGGTGCCGTTGAAGGCGGGTAGCGTCGATCCATATTTCACTGATGACATTGGCAATGTGTCGACGTCGCGATACCGACCGAACAAGGTTCGAGAAGCCAGTCTTGAACTCAAGCCTCGTTATCCCATCTTTGGGGGATGGAAATACAGTTTCCGAATTGGCTGGAACAATGCGCTCTCGTCTGTACTTCGCAAGCTCAAAACTCCCGCCGATACTTATATCTTGTCGGTGCCTCTGATTGAAGGCCCAAAGCCGCAGGAAGGGATCCAGTATCAAAAGCTCACTTTTCGCGTGATCCTCCCCGAGGGGGCATCTAATGTTCAATGGCAAACACACGGTGGCCACGGGGTGCCACTGCTTCGCGCGGAGCAGGGCCTTCACAAGACGTTCATGGACTCGCTGGGACGAACTGAGTTGAAACTTTCGGCTAGCAACGTTGTGGATGAATCCCGGGATGTTACTGTGCTGGTCACATACGAATATCCGTTTGTCGCATCGTTACGGAAACCAGCAACGATATTTGCTGGATTGGCGGCAGCGTTTGTCATTATCCATCTGCTCCTCTCAGTGGATACCAGGATAGGAACAAAGGCGTAATGTCCCGTATATTCGATGGGTCGATGGGTCGATGTCTTGTCCTGGTGGCATAGGACGTGTAGATTACTCTTTTTCCTTTTGGGACCATAGATGGAAAATCAATGTTGCCGTGCAAGATCGAAATCGTACATGATTTGGCATGGCGTCAAGAAATTCTTCCAATGTCTAGGGCAACACTTCGGATTCGGAAGGGATTATGTCAAGTTCTGAGGACCAAAAATTATGACCATTTAAGCTACCAAACTCGAAGCAAAAGTCCACAGCAAATAACAATCACCATGATTTCGGTGAAAGCAGCAGGTATAGCTGTACTTGGTCCAGTATTAGTTTGGCCTTTGGCAGCCCATTCAAGGTAGTCGTCAATGTACTCCTGCATACCGTCCGCGTCTAGATCGAGTTGCGAGGGCTCCGAGAAATCTGGACATGAAAGATCCCCTCGGATGCTGCCGTTATTTTTCAAGTCAACGAACGGGCCACATATTGTTGGCGACGTCTCTACGCCAATCGTCAACTCCCCGCCTACTCTGTTTAGTTCCGGGAAAGTGATGTGGGAAAATGGTCCTTCCAAGGCAACATTTCCGGCCACACGCTCTAACTCTGGAAAATCAAGAACCTCAAGGGAGGTATTGTTCCGAATTGACAGGTCTAACCTGACGTCCTTCAACTGTGGGAAGCTCATAGAATCGAGCAATTGATTGTTGGTGATGATCAACCCACGATTGTTGGTGATGGTAATCTGTGGGTCATACCAGGTACCGACAGTCTCCAAGGTCGGCGCACTCAAAGTACTCAAGCTGCTTGCGTTGACAGTAAAATATCCAATGACATTTTTCAAGGCCGGCACCGAAAGGGAAGATATTTCTTGCAGTTCCAAGTGCCACACTTCTGTGAGGTCGTTCAAGCGGACAGCCACTCCTGGCCGATTCCTCCTCAAGGCGACGTTGAAAGATGCATTTCGAAGGGCCAACATCTCGAAGGTCTCCAAATTGGGATTATCAGAGATCTCGACAAAAGTGGAATACAGCAATCTGTCGTTGGTAATGTTGGCGAGGGATGTGTTACGTATCTCGTAGTTCCAATCAAGCCTGGAGACAGTGGACAGGAAGTGAGCCGTCGTGAGATTCGGAAGGTGATTTAACCGGACCCTTTCAGCGTGATCGAATCGAGGCATGTCAATGGTTGTTAGATTGACCCAGCGGGATAAATAAAAGTCGTTCACAACCCTCTCGAGCTTTGGAGCCGAAAGTCGCCAGGCAAGAATATTCTCGCCGACATCGAGGGAGAGCAAGGATCCATCTACTTGCTCAAGTATAGGGAATTCGATCTCGGGAGGCAGAGTTGGCCCATATTGAATCACGATATCACCTGAGACCGTGGTACAAGCTTGAGCGGCCTCTAATGTATCTTGAGAGTTGATGATGATGGTGAAGTTTGAGCATACGCTTGGTGATGACTGGGCATATACTGCCAGAAGTAAAGCAGATCCAGTGCCAATTATAGAAAGGAGACGGTGTAACATGATTGCTTTCTTGAGAGAGCCATATGAGAGAAATGATATTGAGAGTTGAAATGTCACTTTCCTGGGATGATCTCATTCATTTGTATCGCGTTTGGCCGGGCTGGGTCTTTCAACCGAACCGCGAAGGCTTGGGCGGGGCTTGGTGTCAAAGCAAAGAGGACCGAGGAAAGGAGAAGCTGTTGAAATCCTATGGCATTCAAGCACCACGGTGACAGTCTTGATAGCGCTGGCGGCATGGCAGTCTGGGCACCAAGACCTTGTTGAATATAGCGCTCGATGCACGGGAGGGGCCCCCTCGGCCCATGCGTTGAGCTCTTCGAAAAATATGCGGAATTGATGAATGTCCCTAAGGCTGACAAATGCTCCACATATATCAATCATATCATCGTAAGATGAGCTCAATACCTAGTTGAGAGGAGGCGAGGCGAGGCGAGTAGGGTTAGGGTTAGGATTGATGCTGCAAGCATGTGCAAATGCTAGTTGTGTATAATCCGTTCACCTTCAACCACCTCTCACCTCGACACTCGCGTAACTCACGTGTCCTATGGGAAAAAGAGGGAGAAAACAAATCTTTGTACGACAGACACCATTGACTTTGCGCCTCTCTAGATTCTCGTCGTCAGATGGGGATCTGCCCAGGCTTATTCTTGATGGCTATGCTAGAAGACTACTTCTCACGTTGCAATTATCCGCCACGGTAAAGCTTACATCCTTTTTTTGAAGTACAAGTTGCATTCTCCCGACTTTGGTCGAATAGTGAAGAACTCAACATGTGACATTGACTCAGGAGTGGTGTTGGCGGCGCAGGACACTTCGTACCTTCTGAAGATGTGGCCTAAATGAATCCGGAGCTGCATATTGCCCAAACTGCACCCCAAATTTAGCATCTCATCTTTGCATTGACAACCAACCGGGGAGGTGAAGGTGGAGCTGGAGGTGAATCAAACTTACTTCAATCCAATGCATGCTCGGGGTCCTGCGGAAAAGGGCAGGAAGTTCAGCTTCATTGCCGGGGTAGGATCAGCCCACCGCTCGGGGAGAAACCTGTATGGGTCCGGATATACGTCCGGGTTTCGGTGCTGGGTATAGGCCTGCATGCCAACTATTGTCCCTTCGGGAATATGCGTTCCTGCAAGATTCAGACCGCCTTCTGGAGAGATTCGCTCCAGGTATGAAGGGATAGGGGCATGAATTCGTAAAGCCTCGCGGCAGACACCGTCTAGGTAGGGTAGCTCGGAGAGCTTCGAGAACGTCAACGGCTCTGTCGGGTCTGGAAATGCCTGCACCAGCTCCTGGTAGAGCTTCTCTTGAAGTCCAGGTTGAGATGCAAGTTCGTATGACGCGAACATGGCCGTATTCGCCGTGGTGTCGGAGCCAGCGTTACTTATTCAACATCAGAACTTGTATGGACTTGATTTGGGACAGGTGCAAAGGCGGTACTTACAGTATCTCCATCATCTCAGCGATGATTTCCTCGGGTGAGAGTGCCTCCTTCGGCTTTGTCACCCGAATTTCTTCCAGTCGGGCCAGGATATCAACACGGTGCTCATTTCCGCCTTTCGTCCAGGCATCTCTGGCCCTCAGGGCATACTGATACGCATGTTAGTGTTTGAATAAAGTAAAAAGACGTTCATCCGCACCTTGGCTATTTCGTCGTCTGCATTGGTCCAGTTCCTGGCTGTCTCTGGGCTGATCACCTTGAGCAGTGGAAGAAGAAATGGGAAAGGACCATTCTGTGAAGCATAAGCGGATGACTTCCTCGCAGGTTGCTCTGCGTGTCACTCACCAAGCCGTTCCTTTTGTTACGATATTCTACGTGTCGGATGAAGTTGTCATCTTCCTTGACCAACATGCCAATTTGTTGGCCGAAAGCAATGTCGGTAATGACGTCGAAGGTGAGATACCGAAACCATTTAAAGCAATCGATGTACTCCCCGGAGCGATCGAAGGTCTCCAGCCATGTCAGGAAACGCTCTAAATGAAACCGAATCACGGGTTCCATCTCCATTAGGTTCTGGTGGGAAAATGCCGGCAGAAGACCTTTACGCCGCAGGTGGGCTGATTTGACGTCGAGGAGGCCAATGCACATTTTGACGTCGTGATAGCGAAACCCATTGTACGCGGAGGACTTGACCGCCTTGTTGCTGTATATCGCCTTGATCCCGCTGTCGTCGGCGACGCAAACCTTTGTTGGAGATATTCGAATCACCGGACCATACTGCTTGTGTAGATTTAGGATCCACTGCGCTCGATTTCCGAGAAATGATTGGTACAAGAGTGGGAGATGTGAAATCTTGACCCAGAACGGTCCAGGTATCCGGCGTAAAGGACTTAGGACAAGCTGGAGGAGTATGGAAAGAAGATAAAGCAACACCAAAGCAATCACACACACCAACGAAGGACGAGCGCCCAAGTGTTCCAGAACCGCCATGTTGTGGACAGATCTCTCTCAATGGCGAATTCGGGGCTTGGTTCAACAGTGTGCGAGTTATATCTGGTCCATGATCAACTAAAGAACCCACATCAGTAGCGTAATTGCTACGCGCGAGTCCCGTTAGCCATCAGAACTCATCAGGTCACGACTGGGAGGCGTGAGGATGTCTGTCCCGGCTATATCGGAATTGCTTTCCGGATGCCAACATCTCTCCCGGGAAGTGCCAATCTCGGCTTGAACCCGTCAACGCTCCGCATCAATTGCCACTCAGGTGCAACTGCAGCGTAAAATCGACGGAGAAGATGCCGCGCATGGACTAATATCAGAATGGCTTGTGCATGTGCTCAGAAGAGAAGGTTCTTATAGCATAACCATTTGCCTCGAGCAAGTTGGCTTGTTGGCGTATCATGGGCTCCATCGCCGAATTCGAGGACCTAGCGTCCGAGCAAACCATTCCCCCATTTGCACCGGCCGCGGTCCTGTTGGGAAAGTATGGAGATCCGTACTGCGTCAAGATGGTTCCCACTCCGGTTCCATCGCCATCCGAGGCGCTGGTTCGATTGTCATACACGGGAGTGTGCCATGGGGACATTTATACGAGAGACGGCGGAGGTCCAGCACCAGCGCAGCCTGTTAGACCATTAATTGGCGGTCACGAAGGTGTAGGCACAATTGTGGCCTTGGGCCACGAGACTGACAGTAGCTTATTCAGGATTGGCGATGTGGTGGGAATCGCCTGGAGAAGTTTCGTTTGCAAGACATGCGATCCGTGTCAAGAAGGTTACGAGAACCATTGCTATAACCAGAAGGTGACAGGCGCCCATCGCGATGGAACCTTTCAACGTGAGTCGATGCTGCGCCTTTACCTCTACTACTCTTCAGCTCTATTGACCGAATGCTCACTAGGCTACGTGGCTTTCCCCGTCTCACAACTTATTCGCATCCCCTCCGGCATACCTCTGCCCAGCGTCTGTCCAATCCTCTGTGCAGGTGTGACTTCGTATACGGCACTCAAGCGCATGGAACCGCAACCGGGGAAGTGGTGTACAATTGTGGGTGCGGCCGGTGGACTAGGACATCTAGCGATCCAGTACGCTAAAACAATGGGATTGAAAGTACTGGCGATTGATGGAGGATCGCCTCAGAAGGCGGAGTTTTGTTACCGCATGGGCGCTGATTCCTTTGTCGACTTCACAACACCAAATTTAGTCGAAGATGTACAGGCCAAGACAGGTGGCGGACCACAATACGTTCTTGTTTTGAACCCACATCAATCCAGCTATGAGTAAGTGCTATTGAGTCTTCACTAGATATCGTTTGCTGATTAACGCTTCGTCTAGCGCCGCCGGACAATATGCAAGGTTTGGAGCAAAGATCATGGCCATTGGAATTGGAAATGCTTGGTAAGTATACCATGTATCCGTCCAGTTGAGTCGTGGCGACTGAACATCGAGGGCTTACTTGCTCCACAGTTTTCCCTTGCGGCCGATCCTTAAGAAAGATCTCGTCATTATGTCAAGCGAGACAGGAACCTCGAATGACATGCGTCTCGCGCTCGAAACTTGTGCTTCTGGGAAGGTTGTTCCTGAGCTGGCAATCATCGGGATAGAGTCAATCAACGACGCTTTGGACCAAGTCAAGGCCGGCCAAGTTTTTGGGAGACTGGTTGTAGACTTTGGTCGCAGCGAGGTCGGACTATCATGGTAAGCCGGATAGTTGAGCTTCTAGGGTTTATCACTATGTTCCGCATTCGGGAAATCCTGAAACTTTGCTTTGATGCAGCATTAGAAACAAAATTTGGCGTACACCGGTTAGGGATACACATGTGCGATATTTTCCAAAGCGAGTTTCGGATTGGATAACGTCGCTGGTTGTCTTTCATCATCCTATGAGTCGACAAGGCATGCCAGGAAGGGGTACTTCTCCGATAAGGCTTGAGCCCCATGTTCATAAAGCTCAAAGTGTAGATTTATCGTCAGGGCACGGCGAACAGATCAGACTCATTCCAATTGAATGGAATATCGCCTGTCCACGCCATTAGACTGTTTGGGTCAAAGGCCTCAAAAAGGACCATTCCGGGAGGCGTTGCAGGCTCTGTCGGTCTTGTTCCACCATCCCCTGTTGTTCAAGAATTTTAGCGGCCTGAAACAGTGTAAATGCTGCAGTCAAGACTTACTGATCGCCGATGCAATTGCATAAAGCTTTGCTAAGTATTTTTGGCAACGACTTGCCATATTGGAACTATTTCCGAGTTTTCGGATTGTCTCTGATGCTTCTTCAATGCGTCTAATGTAGTCCTCAGCTTGGAAGTGAAGGATTTGTAACCCATGGTTCACACTCAGTACTAGAGTTGCGAATATGATCAAAGCTGACGAAAATGCTGGTTACATATTAGTCAAACGCTTCTCGCTCATTGTGTCTCACGGTGGGGCTACCATAGTAGATTTGGAACCACGATGTGGTCAAGGAGCGCAATTGACCAGCATTTGTGAACTGAGATCTCAGGCCATCGATGATGTGTACAGCCGAGCGAAGGCACACTTCAAGACTGGACTTGCCAAACTCCATTAAGAAGGGCAATTCGCTGTGGCCAGTCTTTACCGTGCGCTCGTGCCGCAGGAAACAGCTGATCATCTGCCGATGAAGTAACATCCGGGTGTGAAGATAACGTAAAGTAAGGACCATTCCTAGACCCTGCTCCTGGCCGAAGCCCACGCTCGTATCCATACCGGACGACACCGGGAATGGAATCATGCTTTGAAGCTGAGGCGGCACTGACGCTCTCCAGGCTGCCAGCTTCGACTCCACCAACATGATGCTGTGATAGACATCTAAGCTCGAAATCGTATCGTTGCCGTTCATATTGTTTTTGTATACTTCGTCTAAGATCATGGCGACGATCCCATACAGTTTTCTAAAGCCTGGTCAGTCTCAAAACCAGGTTTGGTAGTGGTCGACTATACATGGACTGTGTGAAAACGATCACTGCTTCTGAACCTGTTTGCCCGGTTTCGAAATTTCTAGCGGACGGATCGTCGTCTAAGGTGGCTAACTCGACTTCGCATGGCAAATCGATGGCTGGGGGCCGAACCTGTATAGCTTGTGGCCTTCCGAAGGTCATGCTGCAAGTTCTGTAATGACGTTTGGTTATCAGATAGACCAGCGTTGAATGCCAGATACTCACTTGTCCAGGATAGTACACATGTGCCAACATCTCGTCCGTATTTCTCGCTCCAGGGGCGTGTATTTCGCGTTCTCTGAGGAAGAATGGAGACCGATCTGGTATGCTGCATGCACCACAAGACCCTTCACGGCCCATGTTTTGGAAGAATACTGTGTTCCCTGTAGAAATTGAAGAAGCAGAAGAAGTGCCTGGACTGCAAGACGAGCATAGTTTGTGGTTAGTGGCCATGTCTGTTTGCAAATATGGCTACACTCACAAGACTCGAGATCTGCTGGCTGTAGCGCAATCTCTGGGAGTAGGTAAAGAGCCCGATTCAGAAAGGTCACAGTGTCAGAAGTAGGCTTTGTCTTCCAAGTGGGAGCAACACTTTCTGCGGAGAAAGCCATGATTGTGTTCAGGAGACAGAGCCAGGATCGTCGGACGCCACGAAGTCCGCCAATCCCAATCACTGCCAACTCATCTACCAACGGCTTTTTGTACAAATAGGGAAACAACACCCCTATACCACTTGAGAAGAACGAGTTCAGCGATGCTAAGATATAGCCCTTGGACGGTAGTAAGAGATGATCCATAATTCGCTTGTCGGGGTTGCGGATGAGTTGGGATCTGGGAGTTGGCGAGGCCGGCCGGGAGATCAAAGTCGAATCATTCACTTGAGGACCCAGATTGGTCCTATCAAGGTGATTGCTCTGCCAGATCTCAGCGAGTGCACCTCTGATTTGCGCAAACAAAGCCGAGTTGGAGGAAGACCCTGCTCACTAGGTCAGGATACTGATTGCATCAAAAGAGTAAATGATTGGAAGGATGAACCAAAATGAGCGTTCGCCGCTTCGTCCGCGAATGTGATAATGACCATACCGTCCACCGTGTCGCTGCTCAGTGTTTCCGGGTGTGGTGTCAGGGTCATCTCCGTTTCGCATGAGGCCCCGATGGTCTCATTTGTCCAAGGTGTTGATGCTGTCAGGCTAGCCAACGGTGCACTTCCCGACGGTGAGGAAATGGTATCCCCTTGACCGCGAGTTGTCTTCGGGCCATCTTCATTCTGAGTGACCAGCATTTGGAGGGTTTCTTCTATGGCTTTGAGCCTGTTTTCAAGTGGCAGATTATCTCTGCGTACGGTCAGTATGAATCGCCAACACTGGTTCCCATGATCTTACTCTGCATTTTGAGACTTCAAGTCTTTCCGCCGAACATACCCACAAGTCAAGTTCATATCAATGCAAGCTCCACATACTGGCTGGACCCCGTCACACTTGGTCTTTCGGACTCTACACGATTTGCACGCTAGAGAAATTCGTTTTCGCTTCGAACGTCGTTCTTCGGGATTGGCATGAGAATACGCAGGGTCGACCTGCTCCGTCATGATTTGTATTTTCCCACCAAGACGTGTGATATGTTTGCAACGGTATTAGCTCTCCAAGAGCATCATATATGAGTACGCAATATTTGTGCGCTAGAAGGAACTACGTGGTGCAAGTGCAAATAGCGAGACAACACAAAGGCAATGGGGAAGCTTCGGCTCTAACTCGTCAGCATTGGGGGGGGGGCGTGGGGGGGCCATGGAGCCCCTCGCCCCCCTAAGAGGTCCTGGAGTAACTGCCGAGGCTGCTTACGACTTTAGCTTAAGAATTAGCGAGTTAAAGGTCATTCATTCCCTAGGTAGACTTCTAGCTCCGAGAGTCGTAGAACCACTCTAACATCGAAAGAGTTTAGCGCTGGCGCGCCTCCGCACATCATCCCCGGGGGGTTTTGGATCGGAACTTTGTTCCCGGTTTTCCCGGTTCTAACGTCGCTCCCATTTGGCGGTCAGGTCAGGTATTTTCCAACCATCGTATACAGAGTAGGTATCTATCTCTCCACACTCTATAATTGGTTGGTCTAGACATGGCTACCGTTCAATTCGGTGGACGTATGCCACTGATCCTTCAATGCCAATGTGGTACTATCATTGCCATACTTCATGAAGACCGTCTTCAACTCCGTATACATGTTCAGGCCGTGGAGTGACAATTCTCTTCCAACACCAGATTGTTTCCAGCCTCCTACCGGCATGTCCACAGCACGGACAGGAACAGAGCAATTTATGCCCACTGCTCCTGCCTCAAGTTTCTTTGCAAACCGAATGGCTCGTTCGAAATTTGTTGTAAACACCGAGGCTAGAGGAACGCGCGGACAGTTAGTCACATATAAAATATCTTGGGGTTTGTGGAGAATGACTGACAGAAAAGCCCAAATTCAGTACAGTTGGCCTCTTCCAGCGCTTCTTCCTCATTGTTGAACGTGTTGACGATAATGACTGGGCCGAAAATCTCCTCACGATATGCTAGTGAAGATCGAGGAACATTCGTCAAAATCGTGGGCTGGATAAAGGCACCCCCAGAAGAATGTCTCTCTCCACCACAAACAAGCACGCCATCCTTCTTGCCCTCATCGATTAGACGCTGAATGTGAGAAGCTTGTTTCTCATCAACTTGTGGGCCTTGGAATACAGACGGGTCAGCTGGATCTCCTAACCTCACTGCTGCCATTAGTGACTTGAGCCGCGAAATAAACCGATCCGCAATAATCTTTTCAACGAGGACTCTGCTGTTGGCTTGGCAATGCTGTCCACTATTATGGTTAATAGAGTAATGAGTGTACCGAGCAGCAGCTTCAAGATCGGCGTCTGCGAAAACAATGGCCGGTGATTTGCCCCCGAGCTCGAGGGACACGTTTTTCAGGTTTGATTGGGCCGCCATCTGCAGGATCTTGCGTCCAGTGGCCACAGATCCTGTGAATGAGATCTTTCGAATCTTCATGTGAAGACCGAGCGCCGAGCCTGTCGGATCGCCAAATCCGCTCACCACATTTAGTACGCCAGATGGAAAACCGGCTTCTCGTGCTAGCGCGGCAAGCTTGAGGGAACTGAGTGGTGCCTTTTCGGAAGACTTCAGAACCACGGTATTGCCACAGATCAGTGCAGGTGCAACCTTGAACGCAAACATGATCATGGGAACCTGACGGGAATCTTAGCCAAGTTCCGCGCCACAGAAGCCATCACACTTACGTTCCAGGGGATGATCAGCCCAACAACGCCGTAGGGCTGTCTCATAGTGACATTCAGGAACTCCGGGGACGACAGGCTTGATTCCCCCAAGATGTGGTATGCACAGCCGGCAAAATAATTGAAAATGCCAGCACATGCTGGGACATCCATTTGCTTCAACAATTGAATCGGCCTATTGCAGCAGCGTCAGTGATTGTAAAAGACCGAACAGAGATAACTCAATTGACAGGGCATGGCTTACTTTCCCATGCACATAGAATCCAGCTCAGCAAGTTCCTGCGCATCTCGGTGGATCAAAGTTGCAAGTTTGAAGAGGCACGCCGCGCGCTCGTGTGCAGGAAGAGTACTCCATTGAGGGAAAGCTGCGTCGGCAGCATTAACTGCCACGTCGACGTCTGACTTTGAAGCAGCGTAGACATCACAGACCTTTCGTCGTTCGTATGGGCTATCGACAGGGAATGTTTTGGCTTCATCGCCCGTTACAAACTAATTGCCAGTTAGTTCCTGCCCTTGAGTGACAATGAACAGGGACCACTCACCTCATTATTGATAAAGAGCCGTGTCTCAATCTTTTTGGCTATCATGTTGTCGTTGCAGAGCAATTATGTGTGCCAAAATTGGTAAGTTCCTCGAGTGAATGGTTTTGACGTTCAAGTCAATACTGGGAGCATATGCATACATACCTTAGTAGCTAGAATCCTCTGACAAGGCCAATTACAGCATGCTAGGTTCCGGGCCGACCAACGCTGCTGTACGAGGTACCGGCTAAATCGGGAACTGTCCCGCATGTATGGCCCTTCAGTTGGAGGGGCCATCTTGTGGGCAGCACAGGATTGTTGACGGCTCGTGGGCTTTTCGATCAATGGTAACTCGAAACCAGCACTTCCCATTTCGTGGTGCTAACCCTTGTGTTCGAGGATATCACTTTAGCTAGTCTACCACCAACACAAGCATGACCTTTCTGCCGATATGGAGACCTGAATACTTCGGAGAAATGCTATGGATGTCAAATAGCCCAAGCCACACCCGGATTGCAGCCCGAGATTGCCGGCCTCATGCATGTTTGCTGTTAGGCGATTTATCTGATGTACAAATATGGATTCATATTCGCAACACCTCCAGAAATAGAGGATCTTAAATGAACTCTTTACACCGAGATAATATTAATTCCTAGATCTTGTTTCGACAGTTCATCGCCTGGGATACTGTAGCGCACAAATCACACAGAATTTCAGACAAAATGGCAACGAATGGATCCACGATCGCGTTGGAAGGGCGCTCGGAGTCTATATTTCCTCCCACCAAAGCAGCACGGAGAAGAGCCCGCTTGATCACCTTGGAAGAACACGCTGTTACGCCATTCCCAACTCCCGCCGTTTCCACGACCTTTGCCAGTTTCAAGGAGTCTTTCGTTGAAGGCCTCAAGGACCGTCTAGGAAATATTGAATTACGGGTCAAGATCATGGACGCCAACAATATTGGCGCGCAGATTATCTCGCTCAATCAGCCGACTGCTCAGGCCTTTACAGATCTCGACGATGCCATTCAATTTTGCCGGCAGGCCAACGAATTTGTATACCAGAATTACTGCCAGAAATATCCTAATCGGTTTTTTGCTTTTGCCACGCTTCCGACCCAGAGTGGTACAGCCGCTGCAGAAGAGCTACAACGTTGTGTCACCGAGTACGGTTTCGTTGGTGCTATGATTAATGGTTTCACCAATACCTCGGATCCCACAAAGGCTCTATATCTTGATGACCGCCAGTATGATGCTCTCTGGGAGGTCTCGGAACGTTTACAAAAGCCGATCTTTATTCACCCCCGGGTTCCACTGCAGTCTAATATTAAAACGTTGGAAGATATGCCAGTCTTTCATGGCGCTCCATACGGCTTTGCTCGAGAGACTGTAGAACATGTGCTTCGACTCATGTATAGCGGCGTCTTTGATCGCTATCCTAAGGTCAAGGTCTGCCTAGGCCACATGGGCGAGGGGCTCTCTTGGATTCTACCGCGGACGGATACGACATTCCGCATGTATACCGCAGGTAAGTTTATATTTAGGCCTGCCATAGTTCTACGCTCATATAACAATCACAGAAACACAAGGTCCAAAAAAGAAGTCATTCCAGCATTACTTCCAGGAGAACATCTTACCAAACACCAGTGGCATGCCCCGCACTTCTGCGCTTCTGAATCTTATGCAAGAGGCTAAGATTTCTAACATCATGTTCTCGGTGGATTATCCATATGAATCAATTGCCGAGATGCGTGAATGGTTTGAGACGGTGCCAATCGGTGATGAGACGTGGAAGGATATCGGCTATCGAAATGCTATCCGACTTTTCGGACTACCTTTAGACTATGACAGGGAGTAAATCCTCGTCTTCGAAATCGAGAAAAGGCAAAGTAGAGGTATCTGACTTCCGTTTGACTCCAACTTACATGTCCCCCGTCCTGTGTTCAGCTGTAATTGGCTGCGGTTGATTTGTTCCCATACATAAATAGTCCTTTTCCACTGCAGTAAGATGGCTTGCCATTACTGACTCCTGCAGCGACACGATATTGATCCGGCTATGAAGCCGTTAGCTTCTTCTACAGGGCTTGAATGGGATTAGGACCTTCTTAAACCCATTTGTGTATATGCCTTGTAACGCATTTGGCATCGTGAAGAGAACGGTTCTTGGACCAATTCTTACTACTTCGCCGTACTCGGAAACGACACGAGGTAACACTATCTGGCCAGTGTACCAATATGCCCGCCACAAAATCTAAAAGTTTGAGATAGACGCCAGGAACAAGCCGGGGAACTTATTAAGGCCATCTCGTCGACGGATCATTGCCGTTCGCCATATAATAATCAGAGTAAGAAGGGCAAGCCAAAATTGACAAGATTCGAGGACCTCGACGAGCATCATGCTTCAAAACCAGATGTGGCTGGTACTAGGTGATTTCTCTGCCCACTCCATCTCAATACCTAAAGATAGCGCCTCAATAATCAGCTGCTTGAAATAATGTGACGACTACAATGGGTAGACCTAGCCGTCGGCTACTGGATCGTGCTCTGTGCCGTGCGCTGAAGCCTTGACCGAAGGAAGCGCTGCCTAACACGAGGGACAGAAGCGTGCTGATTCGAGGCAGTTTCTCCTCAATGGAAGTAGATCTGGATATATCGGGATTTATTGGCAGATTATCCGAATCGTCGCCTGACTCTTCCGTTTTTACCGGCCTCTCTCCGGAAATCCGGGGTATGGGATGGCTCTGGAACCAACCCCAAAGCTCCACCACTTCAGCCGGAGATGGATTCGTCCTCCACGACAACCATATTTCCTCCCCAGAAATTGGCTCCTCCCGCGACAAAGCTTATTTGACTTAGTAAATTCCGGATCCTATAGCCGTAACGCTTGTTGCACATATAGAAGGCCTGATGGATGACGGTCCCATCAGATTCGTTAAAGGATTTCTCCTCTTCTTCTAGCACCTAGCAATTGAGACGTGTCAAGATGGAGAAACTGAATACTTCAGAGGTAGATACAGCCATGGCCGAGCATGTTGCATTTCCAGATAAACCATCTGTCACGCATGAGGCTGCAGAACGTGGTCACGTAGCCACAGACGAGTATGCGCTGTCCCGAACAACTATCTGCCGATCGTTCTATACTTACACTAAATAGATATGGCAACCCTCTGATCACGTTTGATCCACAGGCAGAGACTCGGCTACGCCGGAAGATCGATCTCTTTATCCTCCCAACAGTGTCTCTCATCTACTTGTTTTGCTTCATCGATCGAGTCAATATCGGTATGTAAAGCGAGTCGTTGCAGAACGTGGTGTGAACAGCTATGGTAAGACGTTGCATACTGATTCTTCTTTCCCTTTCACAGGCAACGCCAAAATTGCGGGATTTGAGAAAGACCTGGGTCTACAAGGCTACGATTACAATACAGTCTTATCATTATTTTACATCTCCTATATCATCTTCGAATTGCCTTGCAACCTCATCTGCAAGCTGATCGGTCCAGGCTGGTTTCTACCAATGACGACAACCGCATTTGGCGTAATGACCGTCTGCATGGCCTTCGTCAACGATCTTGCATCCGCATGTGGGGTCCGTTTCCTCCTCGGTATATTCGAAGCTGCAATGCTGCCAGGTATCGCATACTACCTATCGAGATGGTATCGTCGGGATGAACTCACATTCCGTCTGTCGCTATACATGGCGATGACTCCTCTAGCTGGTGCTTTCGGAGGTTTGTTGGCTTCGGGTATTCTATCACTAGGCCACTTCGGGTCTCTTCACTCGTGGAGAATGATATTTGGCATCGAAGGCATCATAACTATAGGCTTGGGACTGATCTCGTTCATCACACTCACCGATCGCCCTGCTACAGCTCGCTGGCTCTCGCAAGACGAAAAAGACTTGGCGATCGCGCGCGTCAAGTCTGAACGCATGGCTAGCACGGAGGTTCTCGATCGATTTGATCGCAAGAAAGTCCTTCGAGGCATATTCTGCCCTGTTACCCTCTCAACAGGCTTGGTTTTCCTTTTGGCGGGAATCAGCTCTCAAGGCTTAGCGGTCTTTCTGCCGACAATCGTCAAGACCATTTACCCAGGTACAAGCGTTATCAGCCAACAACTCCATACTGTGCCCCCTTATGTCGTAGGGTGCTTTCTGGCGTTGCTCCTGCCGTACCTCAGCTACAAATTCAACACTCGACAGATTGTGATGATATCAACTGCACCGATCATCATTATCGGCTACGCCATGTTTGTTGGCACGTCTTTCACTGACGCTCACGTACGGTATGCTGCTACATTTTTGATTGCAGGAGGCATCTTCATCTTTGGATCTATGACCAATGCGCAAGTGGCGGCAAACGTCATTTCTGATACAGCGCGAGCAGCGGCGATCGGCGCCAATACGCTGGGCGGAAACATAGGCGGTCTTATCTCTATGTGGTCCTTTTTACCCCATGATGCCCCGGATTTCACCATAGCATGTGGCATCAACCTGGCGACCTCTAGCTTGATGTTCCTCGTTTTGGTTGGTTCACTATTATGGATGCTTTGGGACAACAGAAAGAGGGAGAGACGTGGTCCAGATTCAACTCTGGCCAATTTGTCACAGCTGGAAATCCAGGACCTTGAGTGGAAGCATCCTCACTTTAGATGGAGACCATAGTGCTAGCTTGGGTAGCCATTGGAGTGCAAATGAGATAGTAAAGTGCTCTAATCACCGTCTCACAGAGGCTATTTAGACTCTTGTGTACGGAGAGCAAGCTAAAAGTATTTTGACGGCAGACTTACAATAATTAGACCATTTTCCTTATATTTGAACGATCAATGCAAATCTTTCGCCTTTTGCAGACTGGTCGGCAGCCCCTCGGCCCCGTTATTGGTCACTGTGCGGTGGCCAAATGAGATCATTCAACAGGCTAAAGACGTACAAGGAGACCTTATCAAGTGATGTCAGGCGCCGAGCCTTTATAAAGACTATGGACCGAGGCCTTCGAGCCTTCACTCAAATTCCTCACCTTGCCGTTAGAGTCTATCCATCTACTTGACTGATGATCCTGCAAGGTGGACAACAAGGATTATAGTGCAAGTGCAGGTTTCGGATTAGAATCTAATGTCCAAGTGTGCCTCCATCAAGATTTGATAAGGTCTGGGGGCGGAACTCCTGTATCAGACAAATCCGACAGCCGCCATGTCAACCCTTATTCCCTTACTCCTGACGCTCCCATTACTGCTGTCAACCTACATATCTGGGACTGCTGCAAATCATCCCATACAACGCCCGTTTCTCAATGCTCCAGAAGCATTGAACCCCAGGTTGACTAATACCATTGAGACCGACGCCATCACCCTCCACTACAATGGCTCTGGCCCGGTGCCAGATTATGACGAGCTATCCCCAGTTCCAGACCCAATCACTCCGTTCAGCCCGCACTCTATCCAACAGTCCATCGTCGATGAGCTAGTCGCAATCATCAATACCACTGCGTATCCAGACAGTTGCTCCAAGTGTATAGCTGTCGGCCAGATCCTACACACAGCTGCCATTACTCAACCGGTCTCGGTCTTCTCCAATGTCCTTGTCCGAGCCTGCAACACCCTGCCTTTTGTCAAAGCCAGCATACGAGCCGACACATGTGAGTCCCAGTTCACACACACCGGCGGCCTTGGGCCCTACTTTGCGCAGCTTTTATCGAAGATGAGCTTGGCTACAGGTGATTATCAAGCTTTATGTGCCATGGGGTTCAATGGTCTCAATGCCTGTGAAGAGAAAGGCCCTGTCGAAATCGACGAAAACCTCTACTTCAAGCCAAAGCCAGACTGGGCTGAACTTCCTCCTCTACCCTCTGGGAAGTCTGTCGACGTCCTCCATCTCTCCGACTGGCATCTGGATCCTCGATACGACATTGCTTCTGAAGCCAACTGTTCACAGTACATGTGCTGCCGTCCATATTCCACAAACACCGAACGACTCACATTCAGGGACCACCCTTCCATTCCGGCCTCGCGCTTTGGCTCCTTTTTCTGTGATACCCCACCTGATCTTGCCCTTTCTGCCTTTCACGACATGTCACAATTCTTCGACATTGACGCCCTGGCCTTCACAATTTTCACTGGAGATATTGTTTCTCATGACCACGATGATGCTCTGTCACGTGCCTACGTTTCCTATTCCGAAGAAGTTTCCTACCGCATTTTCAAGACAATGCTTCTAGAGGTGCCTGTCTACGCGACCTTGGGGAATCATGACACTCTCCCCAAGGACTTTAGCGTTCCGCACTCTCTCGACTCGAGCCCAACCAATAAATCTACAAACCCAATCGCCTGGAACTACGACCTTGTGTCCTCTCTATGGCAGGAATATTCCTGGCTGAACAAGACAGAAGCTAGTTTTGCGAAGACACACTACGGGGCCTATGCTGCCACCACCCCTCAGGGTCTTCGTGTCATTTCTCTGAACTCTGACTTCTGGTACAAAGCAAACCCATTCAACTACTTCAACACCACCAATCCCGATCCGAATGGCCTCCTTTCTTGGCTCGCCCAGGAGTTGACCGCCTGTGAACAGCGCAGTCAACGAGCTTGGATCATTGCCCATGTTCTGACCGGTTACGACGGAACCACTTCTTTGGCAAACCCTAGTGCTTTGTTCTACAGTATCGTACGGCGATTTTCGCCGTATACTATCGCCGCAGTTTTCTTTGGCCATACTCATAAGGACCAACTGCAATTGTTCTACGACTATCTTCCTGACTCAATAAATCCCGTCACTGGACACCGTGATACGACCAAAATAGATTATTCCAAGCCACTACAAGTCGGGTACATTGGACCGAGCATCACTCCATTAACGGGGCTAAACAGCGGCTATCGGGTCTATCAAGTTGACAGCAAGACCTTTGAGATTCTTGGAGCACAAACATACTTTGCCAATATCAACGACTCTTTGAAATGGACGAAACCAGTGTGGGAAAGAGAATATGATGTTAGGGGAGCTTACTCCAATCCCTTATTTCCTGGGAAAGGGGTCGGCAATGACATCTACAAGGCAAAACCGAACATCCAATGGCCTGGAGATGCCCCACTTAATGCAACATTCTGGCACCGGGTGACAGAATCGATGCTTTTAGATCCCGACTCGGAGCATTCCCTCCTCCAGAAGTATAACCGCTTTGAAACGAAATCAAGTGCATCGACCGTCCACCGCGGTAATGATGTGACTCAACCTGAGCAAAAGGTGTGCTTCATCAGGTCTGGAAGTGCGGCTCTGGGCAAGAAGTGTCGCGATGCTTTTGGTGGAAAAGATGCGAGGAGTTCGAGAGAACGGGCGTTTGGCGTGTGCTAGCCTGATCCCATTTTACGATTCGTCACGAGACCACGAACCAGATAGACGTATTATAATGATATCATGAAGGTTGACAACAGCCAAGGTCGTGGGCCAACACAGGCTTCGAGAGATATTCGAATCAACCTGACAGCAACCTAGCAGTATAATTATGAGCACAGCCACAAGCCATATTATCCACTGGTTTCAACGACAATGACAGTGGATGTCATCGTTCAAATTGATCAGAAATTATCTGCAAACGAGAACGACATGCTCATTATTGACCACCCCCCTCTGAGTTCTCCTTCCTCAACTTCTTCACTTCTTCTGCCACAGTATCGACGACCAGGCGGGCCAGATTGGAACTCGTGGCGGTGAGATTGACATTGATTCTGAGCCAGTCGTTGGTGTGCCGCCCAAAGCCGCCGGGTGATACACCCTGGGGACGTTTGTTGCATACAATGACACTAGCCTTGGGTGGTGGTATGGATGTCTCAAGTGCATGTGCCTGCTGAGTCTGAGTAGATGTTTCACGCGGCCCTGTTGGTGTTGGTGCTAGTTCTGGCGAGAGCAACTTAGGTCCATCCGAATCAACAACGAGTTTGCTTTCCGAGTAGAATCGTGTAGGAATCAATCCAGAAGGGGTCGCCTGATTCGTCAATGTTGCGGGATCTGAAGTAGCTGAAGTGGATGTAGGTGTCGATAAGCTATCATCAGAAACTGAAGACAACTTTGTGCAAGAGATGAAAGATGTCGGCTGTTGAGGAATGCTATTGGAGGCGACGCCATTATTCGTAGTGCCAGCAGATACCTTTGAAACCTTCATATCTTCATTTGAACAGTTGCCCAAAAGCGATGCCTCAGATATGACATCTAGTGATGGATTGAAAATACCCCCCCAAGGATGAATATCCTTTATAATAAATGCTAGACATCACTGGAGAGGGTCTGATCATGTTCTTATGGTATGAATTGACCAAAAGGTGCACGTTTAGTAGACCAGAGCTACTGTACCATGTCGATGTAACAATGAGCCTCTGAAACCTGTAGCCTGCACTTTGCAAAACAATGAACAAGACAAGGTCACGGCAACAAGATACCAGCCTTGTCTTGAGACGCCATCCTGGCTAGGCCGAGAATTCATCACGGCCGGGACAGATCAGATAACCCTCGATTCAGGATGTCCGGCTCAATTCAGACCATGTCCCAATAAAGTGCTAGACATGAATTAGTAGACCTTAAACCCGTTATATCGACTTGGAGTTGCACCCATCGCTGGAACCAATGGTTCAATCCCACGTGTTCTTGCGACCCTTGGCTCTAGATAAGTTGAGAACCCGCCTGGGAGTCGCGAACTGTGTTTGAGCACCGATGAACCAAACAGCACAAATCCCACAGTCTAAGATATGTGGTGTAGCATCGGTAGCTGCATTGCACTGCTCTACTTCTCATCCTTGCGGACAAATGAGGAATCAAGGAGCCGCTAGAAGGAGAGTCAGCAGGTCGATGCCTCTGCCGTCGTCTTCATGATTCTCCGACTCATGTGAAGCTCGAGAAGTCATCCGCGTTGCCGACAACATGACGACAGACTGGTCAAAAAGCATGGAAAACATCAAGCCTGCTCCTTTCATCGGTCAGGATAGTGGTCTAGAGCTCGTAATGAGACTGAGACGCCCGTGAGTTCTCCCAAAAGGCCCTAGTCAACATCATGTGTGACCAAAAAGCTGACTCATATACCCACCTTTGGTGATCTACTTTTAAGACGCTGCATAGAGCATGCGACAAATTGAAAGACCTGATCTTAAAGCTGGCTTTGACGCATACTTATAACCTCGAGGCTCATGATGTGATGGGATGTGGTCGGGTCCTTCGGATATCACATGCTCAGCCTGATGCTAATGACGTCACGTGGGGAAACCAGTCACGTGGCCTGGATTTCCCGCCACTCCATGTCATCCTCTCAAGAGATTCATTCCATTCCCAATCACTTGACACATGAAGCACGAGCGAAGATGCATCACTAGTCATTGTCTATGAGGAGAATGAAATTTATGTTTGCAATGTTCAGAAGGCCCCATCTGGCGTACACTCCTTGTCACCATCCAAGATCAACCATTGCGACATGGAATCATCCAAGTGGAGTTGGATACACCCATACCGCGCCAGAGCAGTGCAACGTGAGACGTCCTGAACTGGACTGCCTCTAGCCCTGCGGCGGAAGGCGTCATTCACATGAAATTAAGCAAACATGTCGACCATCCCCGTCACCGACTTGAGTCTCAAGTCCACTCCTCCAATCTTTATCCTACCAACTCACCTTCAGACAGACGAGCTACACCAGACCGAGGATTTGATCTATCGATTTCAAGGAACACTAACTTATGACCCGCATGAGGCGCGTTTGTTTATTGGCAAGATCACGCAGAAGAAGCGAGCTGCCTTTGAACTCAGGTCTCGGGGAATCTGGACCTATGAGGTGCCGCTGCCACACATTCCATCGGGAACCGTGGTCGATTCAATTCAGCCGTCAAGGAAGAGACGGAAACTGAGCACCGTTTCTGATGCAAGAAGAAGTAGCCAACGACTGAAGCTGCCTTCCTCATCTTCATCTTTGTCATCAGAGGTTGAGGACGTGGTTTCACAAGCCGCAAAGGCCTCGTCGCAGGTCTGGCCAGATCTTACCGAGCACATCATCGTCTTGAAACTCTCTTGGCTCTCTGCTTGCCTGAAGCAAGAATGTATCGTTCCTATCACGCCTCACCATGTTTACTATGCCAAAATCATTGCCAAACCGCAAGGAGAGGCCGCTACTAAGCCCCACTCTAACCTTGACGTCACCTATATCAAAGCTACACCAGAGCATACACAAAGTGATGGGGCTTCACTTCATTCGCTGCGTAACCGAACCGTGACGGTCAGCGCTGATATTCTGGAACGAGCCAAAGCTGATGCTCCGGCTGCAGCATCTCAAACTACTCCTTCGCGTCGCCGGTTCGGCGACCATAAATCACATGTTTCAACGTCTGCCCACCCGCGCCGCCCAAAGCTGACTCACCAGACGACTTCCGAGTCTGAAGATCAGGCCAAGAACCCACTCCCGCCGCTCCCAGAGTGGGCGGCGAGTCCAAATGCTTCCTACGCCTGCTGTCGGTCCACGCCGTTGCACACGGTGAACTCTGCATTCATCTCTCAATTGACCAAGATTCGCGACGCGCGGTTGCTGACGCTCGACGAAATTGGCGTGCGCGCTTACTCCACCTCGATAGCCTCGATTTCTGCCTACCCATATCGCATTACTCGTGTCGATGAACTCAAACGTTTGCCCGGGTGTGAGAGGAAAATCGCCTCGTTGTGGGCGGAATGGCATCACTCGGCCGAGGTCGACGAAGAGAGGCACCTGCAAGCTGTGCGTGAGATCGAAGCCAACGAAGATCTACGCCATTTGAGCGTGTTCTGGAACATTTGGGGTGTTGGTCCGGACACGGCGCGAAAGTTCTACTATGACCATGGATGGAAAGATCTCGATGATATTGTTGAGTACGGTTGGGGCACCCTGAATCGTGTGCAACAGATCGGCGTCAAGTATTACGATGACTTTATGAAGAAAATTCCGCGGAGAGAAGTGGAGGCCATTCGAGACATTATTTTGCGACATGCCCGAATGGCGCTCAACATCAAACCCAAAGACTTCGACACCTTTCGTGACGTGGAATGTGTCATTGTCGGCGGCTACCGGCGCGGTAAGACCGAGTGCGGCGACGTCGATGTGATTCTGGCCCATCGCGATGAAAGCTTAACCCACGACCTCGTTGTCGAGGTAGTTCGCTCGCTCGAGACTGAAGGCTGGGTCACCCATACCCTGTCTTTACACACCACTACCAGTGATCGTGGAGGAGCCACTCTGCCATATCGCTCCGAGGGTAGGGGCCATGGCTTTGATTCCTTAGACAAAGCGCTGTGTGTATGGCAGGATCCGAATTACGAAGGTAGGGAAAGCGGCAACAAGAACCCCAATATCCACAGGAGAGTGGACATTATTATCTCAGGCTGGCGGACCGTCGGCTGTGCCGTGTTGGGCTGGTCGGGCGGGACCACCTTTCAGCGGGACATCAGACGGTTCGTTAGCAAGACCAGGGGTTGGAAGTTCGATTCTTCCGGTGTCAGGGATCGGGGCAGCGGGCATGTTTTGGATCTGGAAAAGGCAAGACAGGTCACCAGGGACGGGAAGACTGTCATGGACGATGCCGACACCTGGCAAGATCGAGAGCGGAGGTTGATGGAGGGTTTGGGGATTGGGTATCGACCTGCTACTGAGCGATGCACCGGGTGATTCATGACAAACTGGGGCGTTCGCACCTGAATTGTTTACTCGTCGAGTTGACGAATTTCACTTCATATTGTTGGAAAGCGAAGAATGATGGCTTTATAGGGCAAATTGAGTCTAAATTGGTCTACGCAATCTCATGCTGGATATAATGAATATTGACAGCAAGCGTCAAAACAGGCATGTGCGACTAGTAAACCTCGAGCACATAGCGGCCTTGATCCTTGAGCTTCATAATCTCCCTGGAAGGATCGACCTTCTTGACACCATTTGCTTTGGCATCCTTTGCGATGGCTTCTTCCAAGACATTCGTGACGTCGGGCACAGGCCAGGTCGGTCCACAGAGGTAAAAGGCACCGTCCTGCTTGATGTATGCATCGGTGATCTGGTCCAGAGTCTGTCGCATGCGATCCTGGATGTAGATCTTCTGCGGCTGGTCACGCGAGAAAGCTCGACCTAGCAGGGTGATCACCCCGGCGGCTTGATATGCCTCCCATTCCTCACCGTAGCAGTACTCCTCACGCTGGTGGCGTGAGCCCATGTACAACAGAACCGCACCGATTTCTTTTCCTTGAGATTTTTCTAGCGCACGGTGTTGCACAAATGCACGGAAAGGCGCAAGTCCAGTTCCTAGACCTGCCATGATGAGTGGCTGGGTAGACTTGGGCGGGAGCTTCATAACAGAGGGCTTGACGCTGACTGTGACGGGTGAACCGGCACGTAAGTCGCGCAAATACTTGGTGGCTTGTCCGAAGCGGTCACGGCCCTGAGAGTCGACCCAGTTGACAACCACGATCATCAGAGCCACTGAGGTCGGTGTGACTGCTTGGCATGAGGCGATAGAGTACTCACGCCGTTTCATGGGAGATACAATGCGGACGATGTCGTGGAAGGATGGGTGGGCAGATGGGAAGTCAAGAAGGACGTCGGCAAAGGTGACAGTGTCAACCTCAGCACGGCGCTGGAATTCTTTGAAGCCTTCTGGGCCGGCAAGAGTGAGAAGGTTTCGTTTCTCGACAGGGTCCTCGGCAAATTCAGCGAGTGATTCATAGAACTTCTTGGGCGGTCGACCAAAAATGTCAACATTTTGCGTCAAGGCTTGGTAAATAGTTCGGTTCTCAAAGACGTTGGGGTCATCTCGGGCGGCAACTTCAACAACATCGTCAAGATTCAGGCCGTACCATTTGGCGAAATTAATGACTTGGTCGTGGTCGTTCTCAGCATGAATGCCAAGCGCTTCTCCAATATCATACTTGAGCCCGGATGTTCCTAGGTCAAATTCAATATGGAAAATGTTGCGATCATAGGTCTCCGGGGTCAGTCGGCGATTCTCCTTGACATGGACAGTAAAAGTCTTGGTGGGGAGATCTGGACGCAATTCGTTCTTCGTGTTGTAAGCCTCTTTGAAAAGCAGGCCCTTGGCCGCCTTTTGCCAGTTGCGGAGGACTGAGGGTGGCTCCTCCTCGGCCTTGTCGAAACCGGCAAAGCTGTTGGTCGAGAGATTGGCTGGCAAGGACTGCTTATCACCATCGATGTCAAGCTCCGACCACTCCTTGGGCACCTCGATCTGTCGCAAGGTCTTTTCGAGATCAGCAGCGACCGAGTCCAAAGAGAAGTAGCCGTTGACGGATGCCACCTTCTGGAGTGCGACCTCCTCATTCCGTCCAAAGGCCACTCGGAGGAAGGCGGTCTGCACGATCAAGGATGCGGTTTCAGAATTTTCCAGTTTCAAGTCGCTCTTCGCGGAGTCGACAAGGAACAAGGAAACACCCTTTTCAGCGACCGCCTTCTTGAATGTCAACGGCAGCTTCTTTTCGACGTCCTCGTCTTTGACTCCTGGAAGAAGTACAATGAGATTTCCGCCTTGTTTAATGGTTGAAACAATGTCAAACTCAGACAACAACTTGATGTCAGTGACAACGGCGGTGCTGGCGGCAGTGACCGGGTACGAGGCGTCTAAGCTCGTGGGAGATTTCCGAATGTCAACCTTGTGGATACCTCCTTGCACCAAGTTGTCATGGGTAGTATGAACAGTGACATTCTGAGCGGAGTCCTTGGCCAATGCTTGAGCCAACAGGTTTGCTGCAGATGCTGAGGAAGCATCGTCGGTGTTCCAGAAGGTGTACTCTTGCACGGCTTTGTCCAAGGGTGAATCAAATTGGTCATTCTGGGATTTACCAAGCAAGAGTTGGAAGGTCGCTGCGATTGAGGAGGGATTGAAGCTCTCGTTGCGTGAATACTTCAGATCACGAACCACAGGTAAATTATGGAGCGACCCTCCGAAGGAAATGGCAGCGAGGACATCTTCATAGAGATGAGAGTGAACGCCGGGTTCTTGGACTGCCTGAAGATCAGACACTTGGCCGAGGACACCAACCACTGTGGCAGTTCTTGGTAGAAGGTTCAGGAACTGGTCCTCTAGGAATGGGCGATAGAGGCGAACGTTGATGGAAGCGACTCGGGTTCCAGCCTTGGCCAAGGATGTCGCAGCTTGTGCTGCAAGGGAAGACTCGACGGAGCCAAAGGTCACCAACACCACATCGGGAGTTGCATGCCCATGATACTCAAAGGGCTGATAATCAGTGCCAAGCTCGTCGTTGAGTGCTCGCAGAGTTCTCAATGCCTTGCCCTCGACCGCCAGGTGTTTGCGCTCATCACCAGAGAAGGACTGGGCGACAGCGTGATAGGCCTTTTCAAGACCAGATGCATCAAGAATGTCAATGACCCTGGTGGTGTCCCTGCTGGTCCTGAGTCCATCGTAAATGTGGAGGGTGGGGACATCTTGAGCGAGCAATGTGGCAAGAAGTGACATGTGTTGAGCCTCGTAGGCGGATTGTGTTGCGACCAAGGCGAAACCAAGATCCTCAGCAGCAGACAGGGCAGACACGTAGTCTGCAACAAGGCCGCCAGCTTGGGTTCCATCGTAATCCAGGGCTGCGACATGGGCGACAAAGGGGTTGCTGACCGAGTAGAGCAGAGACAGTTGGTCGAGAGCAGGTCTCAGGAATCGAAGTGCAGAAGAGGAGGCAAGGAGACCTTGAGGAATGTGTCTCTTTTTCAAATCGAAGTCCTTGGAGAACATGTAGCCCAGAGCAATGGCACCGGCGCCATTGCGAACCTGGTTTCCATGAACCGAGGTTTTGTATCCATTGACGTTCAACTCTTGTGCTTCAGACCATGACTTTGCGGCGGCGTCTAGATCGAATGTCTCGGGGGAATAGGAGAAGATCTTGTCGGAGAGCAAGTAGGCAACCTGTTGAACGAGGGTCTGTCCGGTAACATATGTTGGACCGGAGATGGTAGACAGCGGAGGCGTCTTGCCAAACGGCAGGCTGTTGGACACGATAGGAGCCATGGTGATGCCGTCTTCTTGGACCAGAGTCGACACCAGGAGGCAACAGAAGGGATGAAGAATGGACTACAAGGATTTCTTACCTCGAAGATGATTATCTCGGAGACACGTTCTTGGGTTTCATGCCCGCCACATCTTTTTGGGGGGATTGGTCGGCTTCTGGTCGGCAAACCCACCGTGTACCGTCCAGATCTCGCCGTGAACCAAAAAGTTCCCCCATCAATATGCAAGACTGGAAAAAATTGGTGGAAGTCCAAATCACGCAATCTGCGCTAGTGAGGGTAAGTGCCAGTGTGAAGCAACTAGTCCGCATATGGAATAGACAGCTTCTCCAAGCCGGATGATCAGTTTTTCCGGCTCCGCGCAATTTGCTGAGCTCCAGACCATGGGACCCTGACTATTTCGTCCGAAGCCGGACATTATTGTCCACGGTACCTAAGTGACGGCATACTGTGGTTGTAGGTTGATGCTTGGGCCGAGGGGCCTCGGCCGACCTCTCTAGGCACCTACCTAGTACCAAACCCCTTATGCGTGAATAAAGTACGCATACCTAAGATTAGGTAGGTACCATATACCTGAATTGGGTGCGCTCCTTGGCATGACCTTCGGCCGCAACGACCTATTACTCCGTAGGTGTTAATCCGTTTCTCATCATCCGACTGCCTGCGATTATGTCACTGCGCAGACCATACGAAGCACAAGGGTATATATCTATCATCGCTGAGCTGGTCTCTACTGACGATAATTTACTCACACTTCAATAAGTACTTGTTTCCGTTGCTCAAGTCCACACTACATCGACAAATCCTGACAAGACAAGCATGTCCACTCCTACAGCCCTTGTGGTTGGAGCGACAGGCCTGGTGGTAAGCAACGCCGTCACATTGACCAGGATCCCTGGAATGCTCTACGGGGGTCTTCTACCTTTACTCTCCTGCTGACAGGCATGCTTGTATTAGGGTAGTCAGATCCTCTCGGTGCTAAGGGCCGGCGCTCCCTCACCCTATACCAGCGTCGAGGTACTTGCTCGACGTGCTCTGCCGCCAGCGGCGTCCGCCGATGCTGCAGTGCCTGTCAAGGAATTCACCGACGCCGACCTTACGAAATGGGGACCTCATCTTGCCTCCTCCTCACCCGCTGCCAGCACCTTTTTCTCGTCCCTAGCGACCACTAGAGCCACCGCCGGTGGCTTTGACAAGCAGTATAAGTTGGAGCATGACTTCAACCTGGACCTGGCGAAAACAGCCAAGGAGGCAGGCGTCAAGACTTTCGTTTTGATCTCGTCTGGAGGTGCCGACGCCAAATCCATGTTCGGCTACCCGCGCATGAAGGGCGAGATCGAAGACCACATCAAAGAGTTATCGTTCGACCACACCATTATCCTCCGTCCTGGGCTCTTGCTAGGCCATCGTCAAGAAAGCCGACCCACGGAAAAGATTTTGCAGAATCTCGCTTGGGGAATGGGTCATATCCATAGCAGTCTGAGAAATGTCTGGGCCCAGGATGCGGAGACGATCGCCAGAGCAGCCGTGTTGACGGCGGCAAGGGCGGAGAAGGGGGAGATCAAGGAGAAAGTGATTGTCTTGGGACAGAGTGATATAATTCGCATTGGTGGGAAGGAGTGGAAAGAATTGGCTCACTGATTCATGCATCTTGAGCACAATGAAGGATTCGACCTCATGCGGCGCATTGGAGTTTGATTGGCAGAAGGTGATACCCATAGTTTCTCTGCTCAGTCGGAGGTAGGCAATCAGAATGACTACCTAGGTATAATTATGCACAGTGGCAGGTGTGTACACAACCTGGCTTCGACCACGACAGATACTTACTATCTACAACCCTGATGCTTTTAGCAGATGAGGCTGCTCATACGCTTTGTTCTCCCTTTCCCTTCTCACCCCCTCCCTTTCTTCCTCCACCACCTTCCGACATCTTCTTCTTGGCCCCGCCTTGTTCCTCGGCCGTGCCCCGACTGAGGTCTGGGTTGGCCGGACTGGCCTCGAGCGGATTAACCTCGTTGCCCTCACCAGCCTTTTTCTTGGCTTCGTGGGGATCTGTAATGTTGGGGTCAAAGGCTGCTTGCTCGTTTCTGGCTGTTGCATCGTCGGTCCCAGATTGTGAATACTCGTCGGCGTCAGTATTGATCTCTTCGCGGTTCTTCACAGCAGACTTCTTCGCTTCGGCAGCATTCATTGATCGAGTGGTGGACAGCGTGCGTAGGGGTGACATCTGACTTGAGGCGGGAAAATGGGATTTAAGGGCCGGTTGGATGGGACTGTATATGGTAGGAAGTCGCCTAGAGAGGCGTAGGATGGTTGAGCCAGTCATGCTGGAAGTAGTTTTTATGGAAAGGTTGAGGACCGCCGTGAGGGGAGGCTCTCCAGGTGCAATATGTGAGTTGAAAACTGTTGGTATCGGGTAGAGGTCAGATTGAAATGCAAAAAGAGGGTGAAGTCATTGAAAGGTAGGGCAGTTGGCAAGGTCTTTCTATCAAGACTGAATGACCATTGGCGAGCATCATCATTTCCATCATCTCCATCATCTCCATCATTTCAATCTTTTGCTTTACATAATTTGGAGATGTCGCGTTGACGTCACAGCACTTGCATCAGAGGCGTGACAGGGCAGGAGCCATCTTCCCTCGGCCCCTAGCGCCTTCCCCACGCTTGCGCCGGAGTTGTGTTCCGAAGTTCCTGCTTCTGGCTTCATTTATTAACCTTGACTAGAACTATTCCAACCCATCACCCTATGCCACTTCGATATCTCACGACACCTCATGGACAATTATATCATGTCCCGGTGATTATGCAGGCGTCTTTTATATCTCTTTCATTCGACCCTCGTCCCCATACCTCAACATACCTCAAGCCTCACAGCTTGATAGTAGCCGTCCCCATCTTTATGCATCCACTGGCAAAATATGTGGAATTGGACCTTCAGGTACAACGCCCCCAGAATTGACCATAGTTAAGCTTCGAAAGTAGTGAAACTTGATATGCTCAAAGCTGGTCGTCTCCTTAAACGCGGGGACGTTCCAGTACAGATTCCTCAGCCAGCGATGGATCAACGGGTATTGGTAACGGATCATGCCCTTGTTGGTCTTAAACAGGGCAACATAGACTGGGTCAAATCGGACAATGGTGACATACAACCGCACGTCTGCCTCGGTGATCTTCTCTCCAAAATAGTAGGGACCTGAGTGTGTCGACAGGTGAGATTCAACCCGGTCGAGCGACGTAAACAGATTCGTCACCGCTCTACCATATGCCTCCTGATTCTGGGCCATGCCACATTTGCTGCTTCTAGTCAGCGAATTTGGCTCTCGGAAAAGATGTGAAGAAGGATCATGCTCACTATACACCGTTGTTGATATCATCATACGTCCATATGTTGGTCTCATCAATGATTGCCCTGAGACTTTCTGGGTACAGATCCACCGACCTCTTGTCTTGGGGCAGCAGATCATCAAACTCCGAGTATAACATCCGGATGATCTCGCTGCTTTCGTTGCTGACGATCGTGTCAAGCTTCTTGTCCCAAAGAATGGGCACTGAGAACCTGGCCGAATAATTGGGATCTGCATGATAGTACAAGGCTTTGGTTCCCCAGAAACCCTTGTGCAGAGGATCAGGAGTTGTCAACTCGGGCCACTCCACCTCCTCACCGGGCTCAACAAACCGCCAGCTTGTGCTTAGGCTCATGTGATAGTGCACTGCTGTCACAGAGATCACTTCCTCGAGACCTTTGAGTTTGCGCACGATGAGCGTTCGATGAGCTGCAGTCTTGGTCAGTATGCAAGCAGAACGTTCGTTCATGGCCGGTTGTTTCTTCACCCCAAGGACAAGCATACGAGACGTAGAGATGGTATCGTCCCTTCTCGGGAGGAAATCGGGCTCCTGGCTCTCGAGAGATAAAGTTACGGAAGACGGTCGCTGGCCTGACCATGTCTCCTTTGTCATTGAACATGGAAGCCGGCAGCTTATCTTCCTGGGATGAGTCGTTCTGCGTGGTTACAATATTAGTTGGCATTTTTGGACTCAAAGGATCTCTAGCCCAATTCGTTCATCGTCGATATGATTTAACCCGTTGTTGGGAATGCTTACTCTCTCCGACATTTTTTCTTCTTATTAATTGCCCAGGAACCTCTATAACCTAGTTGCTTTAGTGACAAAGACGTTCTCAAAGACGTGTGTGAAATGTTCGATGGAGAAGTTTAGGCTATCCACAATCTCTAGGGGTGGTACAGCGAAAGCGAGTAATTCGAGCGCAAAGTGTGGAAGACCGTTGTTCCACACTGAGTTCAGTTCTCTTAATCGATGAAATTCAAAATATTAAAGAAGGATCGAGATTTCCGGGGCAGATCAACCAACTTATACCGACTGGTGAGCGCGATCCATGTCTTTTGAGGTGGGGGAGTCGTTGTCTCATTGGGGAATATGGGTCTCTAAACTTCTCGGTCGAGAAAAACACGTTTGGCAAACTGTCCCCAATGCCAGGTTGGAGATCTTGTCAGCACAAGAAAAGTGTGGAATGTTACAGCCATCGAATGAGTACAGAGACATGATATTGAGGTCATAATTAGATCCCGAGTTTTTTGTACAGTGCGGTCGTGTCGGTGCAGGACCCAAAAGCTAGCATTTCAATCGGATGCCATTCCGCTTCTCCTCCTCGCGATGCTCAAACATGACTTGAACCCCGACGAACAATGCACCACAAGCTCCGAGCATGAACACTGCGCCTTGCCAACTGCCTATGATGCCATGCACCAAGCCCATCAGTCCATCCAATCCAAGGGCAAACCCCACTAGGTTGGCCGTCATCAATAACAGGATGTTGAATACCGCCCCAATTCCAGACAGGACACGATACGCTTCCGGTCGACTCTTCCATTTTGATTTCGGGAACAAAAGACCACCAATCACCTCGGGGATAATGAAGAACGTCGCCAACCAACCCCACATTAACAGCCGAAGGTTGATGTCGTGCCACAGCGCCACAAAGGTGAAGACGGTCAACATGTTGATGGTACCACGGATCTGTCCAGCACCCCCACCAGGCCCTCCTCCAAGTGGGATATACACATATCGAGTGATCCAGCGATTGAAGCTTCGGTGCCAGGCACGCCAGAATGCCAGTGCCGAATAATTATCGCTCATGCATCGAACCATGTTCTCAGGCGGATCGATACCGTCAACCAAGGCCCATAACCGGAAGAATCGCCAAGGGATCATCAACTTGAGCCAGATGATGTGCAAATTGAAATATGCTAGCATCGCCAGTTGGAATGGCGTGTATGTTGACCAGTCCGGCGAGGATTTGGAAATGGCCACTACGTAGGTCGTGTGGATGAGGAATTCCATGCAGAAAAGTGTCGCCAAAAAGCGTATGCCATATAGGGTCGTCCGTCGAGCAGTTACTGACGGGATCTGATACGTTGACTGTGAAATGTAGTCGTTGAACGTCAAAATCGGACCGGCGAGATAGAGCGGAGGATAAAGGATGTAGGCAAGGTATGTTCGAAACGATGTGAACGTCGGTGCAGGTGCGGGAATTGACACTCGATCGCGCTCCGAAAGTGCTGCGGGATCAAGTTGTTTCTTCTTGATCATGTCAGTGTAAGGCCCCAATATCCGAATGGGAGCAACAGTATTGGAAAACTTTGCTTCCCAAGTCAACATACCTCCAATGGACTGCCTGCCCTTGATCGTTGCAGTGACCAGTAATGGTCAAAGTTGAAGGAGATCATGCGCAAAACAGTAATTTTGAACAAGACCTCCCAACGTGGCATGATGCCACCAAAAGAATCCAGTGCCTTGGCCCAATCGGTCACAGATGGGTGTATAGGTTCTAGCGCAGTGCTGAGGGATGAAAATCGAAATCCCTGGGACATTTCATTGGCAAATAGGATCCCAATGTTGAAGACCCACGTCGCCACAGGTATGGCGTTTCGGGGCAATGCAGTGCCTATCTTGAAGTTGATGAACAAGATGATGAGAATTTTCAGTGCTGAAACGCCAACCAAAGCAGAGATGAATACGAGTGAGAAGAAGAAGTCGAATCTCAGCCGACTGTCCAGCCTCGCCTGGGCCTGGCCATGTGAGACTGGAGAGGTTTCCGTAGCCGTCGACTGCGAAGTCATGCGCTCGTATAACCGACGAAGCATTGGATGGAGGAAAACAAGAATGGCCAGATACGGAACGTTATCTCGAAAACCAGCATACTGTGCGTCTGAGTTGTCCTATGTACGAAATCAGTCGACTTGCACTCGATACTAGGCATTCGCAGCCTCTTCCTTACCACTTGACGACCAAACAGCCAGCCTGGAGAGAGCAAGTGCTGATACCTGGAATAATTTGGAGAGTCCGCTGGCAACACCCGTCAGATCTCATGGTCCCCATATGTCTCGATGTATGTCTTAGTCTTACGCTGCGAAACCTGAACTACAGCCCAATACATCTGGGGAACGCAGAAAAGAAAGACGAGGCCATAGAAGTAGAACTCAGGTGTCCTCCACCGCGACGGCGAGACGTCTGCGGGTACATTCTTCCTGTCTCTTTCTGTCGATGACGACTGACTGCCCTTCGCTGTCCGAGGAGGTATCGAGGGAGAGTTGGTGAAACGAGTGTCCAAGGTATCAAGTGAGTACAACTCGCGGAGAAAGGAAACGATGGCCGTCATTGTACCGTCATTCTGCGCCGTTCAAAATTTCAGCACTCATTAGACTGATATAACGAGGATTCGAAGGAGCAATATCACCATTTAGTCTGGTAGCCGGAAGTCGAGGTCGAGGGTGCGTGTCCTTTATAATGGCACACTCGATGTTTCTACACCGCCGTATTTTGGAGAACGGTGGATCATTCCGGCCACACAAGTGCGCCAACGCCAATTACAGATGAAGAGAATGTAATGTATTGCACATAGGCCTAGTTACAGCAGAATGGATCAACAAGGATGGAGGCCACAGGGCCACACTGAACAGAGTTTGGAGCATCGAATTTTTATTCCATGGGCAGTCGTTAGTCTTCTTAGCTACGCTGTCCCACTTGAAACTCCCACGATGGTCGAGAAGGACCCTTGAGAATGTGACGGATGGGAGAAGCTAGAGGCTGTAATGATGTACAATGCCTTCGTCCATCCGTTCTCATTTGATGGTGGATAATCCTCCAGGAGACGCCGACGCACATATGCTCCCACCACGGCCAATGAGACGACAAACGCCGGGGTGACCATTGCGGCCCTAGTTCGTTTTGGACTGTGGCCCCATCGATATAATTAAGCAACTTTTCCATTGAAGGCCAAGTCATGCCGTGTCCTTAATGAAATCGCGAGTCCAAATGCCGAGCGAGGCAATTTATCGCGAATCGCAATTGCAAAGCGATGGTCGAGTCGGGTCTTCTGGTATGAATCAAATCTTTCCATGTAAAGCGCCTTATCAAGGCGCAAAGATGACATGGCAATGGTCCGCTCCCGCTCGCGCCGAATTCCATGATACTCTTTTGTAAAATTCTTATCCCTCTGTAAAAAGAATCGCGGTGTCCGTGGGTACTCAATTAAAACCCTCGACCTCTTCCTCTTCCTCGTCCCATGCCGCGACCCCTACCCCGCGGACCACCCCGACCACCTCCCCGTCCTCCTCTTCCCTCTTGCTCCTTTCTTGCCTTGTTCTTGGGCTTGGGCTGATCGTCGATCAACAGAGTGTCAAGCGGAAGGGAGTCTGGTAGAATAAAGTAGCGAATCGTGCTTCCTCGAATGTTAATGGTGTCGAGTTGGACTGTCTCGCCGGGCGACGATGAGCTGGCGCGGTTTTTGAGGGTCATTTTCACCGCACGTAAGGCAGTGTTCATCTGAGGAGAAACGGAGGTGATGGTGCCTGAGACAATGGTGCCATTTTTCAATTCAATGGTGACGGACTCATTGGCGCATTTCATAAGAAACCTAAGTAGAAAAGATGTCAGCGGGGAAGACCACACATATTTGGCGTCGTCGCTGAAATGAAAGACGACGGACCCGCGACTATCAGGGTGACATACCGGACGAGCTTCATCTTGATGTTGGAAACAACAGAAAAGGCGAGATGATTCTGTTGTGGCACAGGTTGTGTTGATTACCACAGACAACACTTGGGCTGGGATGGCTGCGTTTCAAGGTGGGAACCACGTCGTCTATACGATGTGATGGTTGTTCGGGTTATCGATATGTTCGCGCTGAGTTGCACCCGCTTCCAATCCTATCGCGTATGTCGTGGCATTGCAGACTCGTTGTGTACCTGCATCGACATGAATGCAGTTTGGAGTTTGCCAAGAAGTTAGGAAAATCTGCCCGAGAGAGACGCCGCTTTAGACACTTCTGTAGACCTATGCGGCATGTCATGCTCTCCCTACTAAAGCGGCAACATGGATCCTTATTTTTCTCAGCCTGATACTCTCGACACTGGGTATCCAAGATACAACATCTTTGAGATAGCCACCTTGTTGTCACTAGCTACATAATTCTCGTAGACGTCGTGTCACCCGACTGAACATCAACTCAAGGGTCACATGACATGCTTCGACTGCTTATAGGGTAATCTCCACTGGCCGTGCCGGAGGGGTGGTGGTTGAATTCGGCCATCTTTTAATGGCTCTTGCTACTTGTCTTTGCGAACTACGAGAATGACAATGGACAGGCCTGTATCGATGTAGTCTCGGCCCCTGCCCTCCTCGGTTTCGTCAAGGATTTCCCTTGCCTTCCTAAAAAACTCATCCACGCAATCCTCAATCTCGCCCTTCTCGAGCTGTTCTTGATGAGCCTGTCTCCACCTCACTATGGGACTTGCAGTTCCCAGTATCAGCTTGATGGTATTGAAATCCGCTCGACCGCCTCGCACGAATTTCTCCCCTTTGGCAAGCTGCCCACTCTTGTCGATTTCTTGCCTGACCGAGTTTTGCCGTTTGAAGACACTCAAGACAGGTTGGAGGTCAGGGTTCGCTTCTGCAACGTCCCACGGCATCCTGAGATTCTTGTACAGCTCTCTGGTCAGCCTATTGCCCGGCGCCTCATATGGTACTAGAACAGTTTCTTGAAACAAGTCGATCAGCTGCTGATATTTTGCCGCATTGGGAGTAGTGTTCGGGTCGATATGAGATTCGCCCGAGGCGAAGAAGATGACACTGCCTCCTGGTTTTAAGACTTTTGCGGCCTCGATCCAGAAGGCGTCAAGATCGAACCAGTGAGCAGCTGTGGCAGCCGTAATGACGTCCACGCTCTCTAGGCCGTCGCCAGCCTGAGTGAGGCCTTTTATGAATGGGTTAGCGCTCAGACTCTCGGCTTTCCCGACTTCATATTGTACAGATTCACCCAGAGCAGTTTTGCTGGGAATGCCACGAGCTACCTCGATCATGGCAGGCGAGGGGTCAAGTGCTATGACACGTTGAAAATGTGTTGCTAGTGTCCGAGTCGAAGTCCCTGGGCCACAGCCCAGGTCGAGTAGCACATCAGTTTTGCCTCCCTGGGATGTGTGACGGCTAACGAGGTTTGCAATGAATTCGTCATCCCAGCCTGGGCGGAACTTTGCATAGTCAGTTGCTGCCTTTGAATCGAAGTTTCGGAAGGTTTCCTCTTCCTGGTGAACGACTTGAGCTGTCGTCATATTGGAAAGCTAATTGATACTAATCCGGCTATGATTCGCAGGGACAGCTGGCGAGATGAAGCAGATATCCAAAGACAAATGTTCAATTTTAAGAAGCGTATTCATCCATGATACTGTCGTCGTAGAAGGGGGCACGGGCGGGTTTAAACGGCAAGCGTTGCGAGAAAAGTGGGATCAAGGTTTCTATCAATAGGCAGACACGCGTCTCTGGCTAAGCGAATGAGTCACACTCCATACCTCTTTCATATCAACCAAAGGCCTTAGTCCATACATGAGTCTAGTACGATTGTCTCAAGGTCCGTTTATTATAGCATTAGACATGATAAGGACAAAGATGCAGGATCCATGATAGAAGTACATCACTAGGTCATCAATTTGTTAGAACACAAGAATAAATTATATGTTTGACTGCCCCATGTGAGTCCGTCACTCAGCTGATTGGTCTTCGTAGAAAACGAGTGTACGCACTTCAATGCTTTCACGATTGTAATCATCCACGTGGGCAGGATTGCTGAACGCCGTGTGGGGGATTCTTCTAGCGCGGCCATCGAGCTTAGAATCAAAGCATTTGATGAAAGTCACCTCATCAGGCCTTTGTCCATAAAGGAAGTACCACTTGTGTTCTGGGTTGGGGCGGACGGTGTAAGTCTCGCCTTTGCGGTTGGGGTATATGAGAGAAACGGGGACGAGGTCAGAGTCTGGAACCGAGTGTGCATCGGCAACGGCGAGAGGGTCCTTGAGAATTTGCTTAATGGGCCTCCAGACATTGATGATCTGGTAGCGTGTTTGAAGCAGCCGGTCAGCCTCGTCCGGCAGATGGTAAGGAACACGAGACTTGGACGCCGAGTAGCTTTGATCAATATGGACTCGATTGACGGGCCCACGCAGGTTAACAGCCTTGTTCGGGTCTCGGCCTTGATCCTTGTCGACACGGCGGATGGTGTGGTCGAAGATGAAAACCCGAGATGCACCGGTCCTGAGTTGAGGGATTAGTCTCTCACCGAGTTTGCAAGACTGGAGCTGACATACTGGTCTTTAATTAGTTGTTCAACCTCGGGGTAATAGCGCTGTTTGATCAAGTCATCGTCAAGAAAGTCCTTCTCGACGCTCTCGTGCTGAACGAAACGAAAGCCATGGCTGTCGAGATCATACTTGTCCTCTTCCCCTCGGACATCGTAAATCTGCACATCAAGGGGTGCCACTGGTCTTTCGTATGTCTCGGGTTTTCCCACATAAGATGGCGGTGGGAGGGAGCCATCACCAGGGTCCTTGTAATAGTTCAGGGCAGTCTGGACATGATGCTTTTGAGATTCGGGGGCCTTGTTCTCCTGGACTTGGGTCGTCAAGGGCTCGAACGAGGTCGAATGCCCCTGAGGGTGTTGGACTGCTGCGGATGCCATGATGAGACGATATTGAGTGCACGAAGTCCACTCTGATTTCCCCAGACAATAGCAGTCTTGTTTGTATTTATGGCATTGGCCGAGAGTGCCTTTGATTTGTCAGTAAGCACGCCATCGCTCAGGCGGGAAACGCGATATATACGGGGTGAGGGGGGCCGCCCTGTGAAATGTAGAGTGTGTCACCGCGCAGGGCCAATAATGTGTCAAGAGTTTCAATTGCGTGCCCGGTAGACAACTTGTATGGTTAGGAGGGCCGAGGATAGACTGATATGGAGGTGTAGGGTCCAACACAACCACGAATTGCTTATCAATCCACATTCAAACGTCTTTTCAAATGATTATATGTCCTTGCGGACAAGTTTAGTGATAGTGGTTCCATCGCCGAGGATATCGACTTCCTCCTCCAGCCTGTACCCTTTGAAGCGTGGGATAAGCCTTGTCCAGATGAGCCAGTAAGCAATTGCAAACAACCATCTGCATTTCAAATCAGTAAGCGGGATTGAGTACCGGGCGTGACACATACATTGAAAGCCCCACAATGGCGTAAGTTGCATAGAAGAAGTTGACATCTGAAGTACCTTTCTTTGGAGGAAATAGAGGAGCGATAATCAAACCCACACACATGGCCAACCTCAGCCACACAGCAGGGAGCCACGCTCTGAACGGCCGAACGAGGTCTGGCTTTCGGACTCGCAGCAACAAGAGACCTGCCCCAACTGCCAAAGCTGGGAATTGGCCAGCGTAGCCTTCCACATCCGCAATAAAGGAATAGACGGTGGAGGATGGCGGAAATGCAATCACGAGAAATGATGGGATGTAGTGAACAATCAGACCACCCATGGGTGCTCCAAATGGCTTGTTGGAAGCCAGCAGTTCGGAAAACGGGAGAAATCCTTGTCGAGCGACTTCTTGGTTGACTCGAGACTCGAAGGTTGTTAGCATCTATAGGCTTTCGTGTTGTACTCTGAAGGGACTTACCACGCTGAAAGTCACCACCATGACGTTTCCTGCAGCACACAATGCAATTGAAAGAGGCAGAAACACATCTCCAAAGCCTTGTCCGAACACCTTCTGGAAGAACAAAGCAGCAATCAGCTCTCGCGTCTGTTTGACTTCCTCCAAAGGGACCACGGCCAGATATGCGACGTTGATAAGAAGGTACATGATACAAGCAGTCAGAAGGGCGGCTGGTCCTACTGATTTAAGGGTCCTGACTGGGTTTTTGACTTCATTTAGCACATTGTTGACGTTGCTCAGGCCGGCGTATGAATAGAGCACCTTGAAAAATGAAGTGGACAGGTTGTTCAAGCCCCAGTTTGACCCTGTCCAGAGGTCATCCCAAGCATAGACTGCCTTTTCCCGGCTGGCTTGTTCGGGGAAAGCTGTCGATGTTTGAGGTCGAAAGATGACTACAAAGAGACCAGTGAAAATCATAAACACAACCAATGCAATCTTCAGCCAACCTAGGACATTTTGAATCCATATTCCAGTCCTGTAGAAGCAGCTGTGAACAACGGTGATCCAGGTTAAGAGGCCGATGGCAAGGAGTTTGACGCTGAGGTCGTCAGGGGCTTGCCCAAACGCGAACAAGGTATATTTAGCAAAGACGATGCAATTGGTGGCGGTGAAACCGAGGAGAACAGCTGAAGCTGCTACAAGTATCGAGGCAAGGAATCGAGGATGTCGATATGTGTACTCCAGGTAAACCTTGGAGCCTCCTGATCGAGGAAGCATACAGCCATATTCCATGTCGATGGCTAAGCCTGCCCACGCAACGAGCGCACCAGCAATCCACAGTATACCAGCCAGACCGGGGCTTCCCACAGTTTGAACAATGGTACCAGGCATGGCAAAGATGCCACTTCCGATGACTCGAGACATGACTAGGATGAATGCACTGGCCCAACCAATATTCCTCCCGGAAGTGGATGTTTCTGGGAGGACATCGTTCTCGATTTTGCGCTCGTGTCGAACTGACTGTAATGTCGAAGACGGCAAATCATCGTGTAGAGATCCATGGGAAGTTCGAGGCGATAGTAGCAAAGGGGATGTTTCGATATCTTGCCGCATGATTCAAGCGAAGGGGTGACAGCACCTAGAGATCGAGGAAATTGAGGAGTGAGAAGGACAAGACTATGCAAAGGTACAGTTGTTATCAAAAATACATGACGGAATATTCGCCTGGGCTGAACGACAGCGCACCGTAGGACAGCCTGGGGGAAGTTGGATGTGGACGCGAGGGAAACAACTAAACTTAGACTGATATGAACTTAAAGCCCCTCGAGGCAACTGGAAGGTTGCCTAGCTTCAGCCTGTGCATGACAAGGAGTGCTCAAGGGACAACATTGTGTCCGAATGGATTACTATTATGGTGAGGCAATTGGGGGATGTGCTCATTGAACTGGCGTATCACGCAATTCCAGGGGTCCTGTTCAGGCCCAACAACCAGTCACTGGAAACTGGGAAGGGAACAAGAGCCGTGGTCCGTGGTAATCAGTGCGAAACATTCTGTTAGCATATTGTTGGCATAACGTGGATGACGAATACTCGAGCCCACAATGGCCATGCAGAGGTTCAAGTAGATTGATACACTGACTCTTCAGAGACGATGCAACACTTTGGTAATCAGCTCAACCAGAGAGCCAAAATGGGTCATATCACGTGACACGACATTCATGTACAGTGTCCGGATGACGGAACAACATATCTCCATGGCAGATTGAGAGTTGAATCTTGATGGAGCTGAAGCTCAAGAGCATGTCTCGTTACGCTGGGCCATCGGTTGTAGAAAGGCTGGAAGCTGTGTGGCTGCGACTAACTGGACATCTGCTAGTTAAACAGCCTCCTCCACTAGGCATAGAGAAGGTTAACGGCCCAGGCATAAAGTATGTCCAGGATACGTATACGAGTAGAGAGAACTCGGAGTATTCAGTAAGTAGTAGTAATAAGCACGGCGTTAGGGTCAACGGCCTAGGCATCAGGTCCAATATTGTCCGTGTCCTCCGTAGAGTACCTGTACTCCGTACTCGTAGTACCCACGGCCTCATCCTTGAAAGCCCCGCCTTTTCGGCATATCCTTAACCAGAAATTACCCGCCTAGGCCGCCCGAGGGCCCAGGCCACGCTTGAGCGGTGACGCTGGGGATTCGCTCAACAGTCCACAACCTCGGCACTGCCACGGAACACAATCTGTTGCTTGACTGATGGTGAGGACATATATTTCGACTTCGACTCTTGGGTCTGGTTGATTGCATAGATACTGACCTTGACTAGATAGATATACCGCCTCTATTACTCCACGGTCACCATGTCTGTTGACAAGATCAAACCATACAACGACCCGCGAATTTCTCTCCGCTCGGCTAATCTCAATGGCTTCAACTATGGTTATCTCTATAGCCCTGCGGCCAAGGGTGTTGCTCATCGTGGCACAGTGGTCTTGATTCACGGGTTTCCAGATATCTCACTTGGTTGGCGTTACCAGATCCCCATGTTGACGAGCCTGGGTCTGGATGTTATTGCGCCTGATTGTATGGGCTATGGACGAACTGATTCACCACTTTTCACCGTCAGGGACTATACATACAAACGAGTCAGCGATGATTTGGCAGAGCTCTGCCGACAACTGGGTCTCAATCGTATCATCCTCGGCGGTCACGACTGGGGCGGTGCGATTGTATATCGAGTTGCACAGTACTACCCCGACTTGATCGCGGCGGTGTTTAGCATCTGCACCCCGTACTTCCCTCCCAATGCCAAGTACGAACCGCTGGAGATCCAGGTCAAGAGTCGATTGCCCAATTTTGCATATCAAGTTCATTTTGCCTCTGGGGAGATTGAGCAGCATGTACGGTCAAAGGCGGAGATCCGTCAATTTCTGAACAACATGTATGGAGCCAGAACACCGGAGGGGCAAGTTGCCTTTGACTCCAATGGATGTATCGACCTGGAGAAGCAACGACGTGTCGGCAAGAACAAATTGTTAGACGACGATGAAATGAATTATTATGTGGACGAGTATGCTCGACATGGCGTCAATGGCCCATTGAACTGGTATCGAACCCGTGAGGAAAACTACATGCATGAATGGGTGCACTTCTTTGGCGAGGGCAAAAAGTCAAAGCAAGAGGTGGACAAGGCTTTGACGCTTCAGCAAGAGGTCTTGTTTGTGCTTGCAACCAAGGACCTTGCCCTGAAGCCCTTTATGGCAGCAAAGATGGGTGAGCGAATTCCCAAATTGACCAGGCGTGAGGTCAATGCTGGCCACTGGGCCCTATGGCAACGCCCAGATGAATGCAATAAGATCATTCGCGAATGGCTAGAACAGAAGGTCTTTGTTGGTGGGAAAAGTAAGCTCTGATACATGAACTGCATGAGCTGAATGAGGGAGTGATATTCCATTGTTGCTATGAAACAGGTGGAAGCATGAGTCAAGATTGAGATGAGCTCAAGAATCATGATTCAGGAGCATCAAGTGTACAGAGTATGTAATTGTTACGGCAGGTACCAAGAATCGCCACTCAAGGCGGCAACTGCGCCGAGGCCTCGTTCGTTCAAAGTTTCGTGGCTTCCTCCAGACATGGTTCCCCTGATCGGAGATCGTCTTATAGACCTAAAGACTCAAGACTCGTATCACTTGGAGCTGGCCATGCGCGGCATATTTTAATACCTGCCATAGGGTGACTGACGATGATTCAACTGTGGTGCTTGTCATAGTCTACTGTATGTGTATACAGATAGGTTGATACAAAATGTCTTGCTGAATAAGGGCCACCATCGCCAAGAAGATTATTCCCAGCACCGCCACAAAGCTGAGCAGGGCATGAACGCATGACAGGCTTGATTAACAGGCACCAAGAGGAGGTTAGCCACAGACTGTCCAACCAATGGCCAGAATTTGTCCTGCCACCTTCCCAGAGTTCTGGCAGACTCGTGGAATGGAAGGCGCGGGGCATGCCGTCACCCGTCATTGTGGCGTTCTCATTTCGTATATCTTCCGCGGCATCATCATCATCGCATTACAGACAACTCTGCCTATATACACACTTTCTTGATCTCTCTCTTCTGGACGCTTTTTACCCAGCCTCTATTATAACCTCCTATCATTCTCAACGACTCTGAGCTACAAAGTTCCAAGTTCGTCGAACGAAATCCTCGTCATTGTCACGATTTGCTGCTCCTGCGCTTCTTCGTCCACCCTGCGCAAGACCAAGACCCGGACCCCTCCTAATATCCTCATCCACCCCCGCCACTTCTTCCTCCTCATCACATCGGTGTTTTCGAGACAGCAGATCTTATACGCATAATGTCATACGGCCCACCACAAGGCGGTGGATACCCTCCACAAGGTCAAGGGTATCCTCAGCAACAGCAATGGAACGGCCCTCCTGGTCCTCCTCAAGGCAATCAGGGCTATCCTCCATACAATCAACAGCAGCAGAGCTGGAGTGCTCCTCAAGGGCCACCTCCAGGCCAATATAACCAAGGCGGCTGGAACGCCCCACCTGGCCCTCCCCCAGGACAGTATCATCAAGGCCCCCCACAGCAGCAAGGCGGTTGGGGAGGTCCACCACCACAGCATCATGGCGGTTATCCTCAAGGCGGATATCCCCCGCCTGGAGGATCATATGGCGGCGGCGGCCAGCCAGCACCACCATCGCCAGGCTATGACCCCCGAGCGCAAGCGCAAGGCGATGCGTCCCGAGACGCCGATGCCTTGCGAGCCGCAATGAAAGGCTTTGGCACCGATGAGGCCACTTTGATCCGTATCCTCTCCAAACCAGACCCATTACAAATGGCTTTGTTGCGGAATACCTATAACCAACGCTTGCGGCGTAACCTCGAAGCCGATATCAAATCCGAAACCTCAAAGTACTTCCGAGACGCTCTTGTCGGAATCGTCCAAGGACCTTTGATGTATGATGTCCATGAGGTCAACCGCGCCATCAAAGGGATCGGCACGAAAGAAACTCTTCTAAATGACATTCTTATCGGCAGATCCAATGCCGACATGCGGGCCATCAAGCAGGCCTATCAGCAAACATTCCGTGAGAGCCTCGAATCCGCCGTCAAAGGTGATTTGTCCCTCAAAACAGAGCAACTTTTCAGCATGGTGATGGCGGCTACGCGGGCTGAGGAGTCGACGCTTATTGATCCCACTCAGGTCGACCGAGATAGTTCACAGCTACACGGTGCCATGGGCGCACGGATGGGCACTGATCAAATTACCGTCTGCAGCATTCTATCTCAGCGGAGTGATGGCCAAATCCGGGCCATTGCCAACAACTTCAAGCAAAAGTATCAACGGGACCTTGAGTCGGTCATCAAGTCGGAATTTTCTGGCCACATGGAAGATGCCCTGCTGCTGATGGTGCGTCGTGCGTGTGATCGGGCGATGACCGAAGCGGTCCTGCTGGAAGACACAATGGCGGGGCTGGGGACAAAAGACAATCTCCTGGTCTCGCGAGTCGTCAGGCTTCACTGGGATAAAGCTCTAATGGACCAGGTCAAACGCGCCTTCGCCCACAAGTACAAGAGGGACTTGGTTACGAGGGTTCGGGGAGAGACGAGTGGAGACTACCAAAGATTGTTGGTCGCAATGCTGAGTTGAGGTGCGGGATCGATGTTGTGATTGAGATTGGGCGCCATTTGATTGTGCGCGCCAATTGCTGGCGGCGATTTGCTTTCTTGCCTACTATCGGTGGCTGTATGAATTTTATGTACGATCTGAGCGGACGGAGAACAATGAATGACGTTGGAACTGCCAAACATGCCTGAGAGGATCATCATGTGAATTATCTAGCGATCATCTCATGCCAATAGTGATGGAGAGTGATAAACCATGCCTGGAGAAGTGGCTGAATGACTAAGGCTTGACTCACCAAACAGCCTGACATTGCTGAAACTGGGGAGAGTTCGATGCCTCGAAGACACGATCCCATGTACCCACGACCGGGATTGGAAGGGACATGAGAGTGATTGAGTGAGAGAGAGTCTGAGCCACCGTCACATGCATACTCAATATAGGTGCCGTCTGATAGGCAACGCGGCCTGCATACAGTACACTATTACACCGGAATCGAACGCAAATAGTCACGGAAAAGGTGAGAGAAGTGAGTTGCAAGTGACGACTTGCCAAAGGGTGGCGTCCCCCCACCGTGTGAACGACCCGCGAGGTATCAAAATAGGGAATATGCCACGAGAACGGTTGGAGATGCTTGCTGGTGGCTGGTCCCATCGCCTTACAGAGTAAAGGAGTCTCGTGTCGTGGCTGCAAAAGTGAGTCGATCATGTTGATGTTGGCGGAGATGGCGCGGGGTCCAGCCAGATAGATACAGCTGATGGATGGATGGGAAAGCCACCGAAGCCTGCCAGATCTCAATGAGCAGAAAGCGTCATGTGCCTCCCTCCACTGAGCCCCCTTGATCCCATTGAATCGAATAGCAGGCTCACATGCGAGGCCAATGGACAAGGATGTTGCTGAATGCACGGATTGAGAGATCGAAGAAGCTCAAGGCATCATCCATCACAATCATACCCTCACCATATCATCCAGGCAGGCGGTGAGCATGGGAAAAACTCCCCAGGTGCCAGAAAAACAAATCAGAAGGCTCTCTCGGCCAAGTCAGCCCATTATGGGGGGTTGTTCCAGGCATGGCCATGTTCAATGCCTGCAGCCCGAGTCCCCCAAACCGCTGCCTAGAAGGCCCCTTCAGGACGGGGGGGCTATAAAAGGGGCCGAGGGCCGCCTCGGGCCTGCGCCGCCCTTAAGACACCATTAAGCGCCAATCACGAGACTGTTGCATCAAACGCATGTACGTGTCCTGTATACAGCGCGCAGGGGGTTGGTGCATATACCCGGGAGCAGATGCCTACCTAGGTACCTGGTATAGGTAAGTTTTATCAAGGATTAGTAGATTGCACCCTTGGGGGCATACCTGAGTTAGGTCCCTCGGGTCTCTCAGGCTCTCAGTACAGGGGGTTCAAGGGCCGAGGGGCCCAAGGGACCAATTATTCGGGGGCGTCCAACTTGTTATAGCCCAATACAGATATGCACACTCTTGGAGGAACCGACATCACCGTCACCATCACTCACTACCATCACCACCATCATCATCATCACCACCACCACTACCGTCGTCCTGCATCCTGCATTCTTCATCTTGACTGCCACAGATCTGGCAAGCATTTCTTGCAACTATTTCCAGCATCTTCCCAGAATTAGCAGTCCCCACACCGCCCAATTGAGGATGCGTATGCTTGACACAAGTCCCTTCAACTCCCACGGCGTCCTTGAGGTGCAGTATCGTGAGTGCCTCGCGCCCTGAGGCAGACAATAATGATCCATCCCCGCCACCCATTATTGGACATGGCATCGGTTCCGACCTGCAGACCCTGTCTCGATTTAGCTGCTTTAGGTATGCAGAGCAACGGTCAGCTTGACTCAGCCAGGTGCATGCAGCCATGGGCAATCCTGCCTTGTTGTGATTGTCCCCTAACCATGCCCCTCCTCTCCCCTCCATTTGACATTTTGACCTGGAGATTACCCCCCGAATGGAAACGCAGGCCCCAGGCAGGCCTTTTGCGGTAGTTAGGTAATTCCACTGGCCTTTGACGCGAATCTCTCACCAGCCACAGGAGTCGGAATCCAGATTGGTTTGTCGCCAACGCTGTCTTTCTGGGGGCACTCGCTTAATCCTCCTAGTGGACTGGCCCGCGGTCAATGCTGACCCTTTCGAGCGTTGGCCGGTAGATATCATGTCACACCAAGCCTAAGCCTGGGAACGTGTCTAAGAAGGTATCACCATTATCGTGGCCCTCATCTCTTCTCAACTCTTCAGATTGAACTTGGTCATGTTGCGGTCATGCCTCTTTACGTAGCCACAACCACCAAGATGAACACTTGAGGACATGTCGGACAGACTGGCCCTGCTTTTTGTAAATAAGACCGCAGACTCCAAGTCTCTTTCCAACAGCAAGGCCGACACCGATAATGTCCGAGAAATCAATCAGCATGTTCAGCGATCACGCGATCTGATAAAGGAGCGTCTGAAGAAGAGAAGACTCAGTCGCTCGCGGCTGCCCCTGGGTTGGATCACCAGCAATGCCGCCTCCCATTCTCTGTCACCCGCTCTCCGCTCAGCCTGGGATACCGACGATGTCGTGACAGACCAAGATGTAGCTGACAATGAGGAAACGTCGGACATTTCCGCTGCCGACCACAGTCCCGCCGTCCAATTCTTCCTCGAGAACAGTCCATCCACGCTGTCTCTGCTCTCACCAAAGGTGGTCGCCATGGAGCCGTTTGGTCAATTTAAAGTGTCCATGAATGCAGAGAAACATCGCATCCTCCAGTACTTTGTGGTTAAATTCTTCCCTACCGTCACTCGACTGGACATTGTGGCCTTTATCGGTGACCCCAAGGCCCGACTGGCGAATCCTGCCATTCAAGTCATTCGCAATTCGCTGTCGGACGAACTGCACATTCTTTCGCTGCTCACCGCCGCGAGTGCTCGGATGAAGTACGTCGAGCAGTACCACTTTGCACGGCATGATCTTCCCGAGAGACTCGCAGACGCAGCCATTCGACTCCTTCGGCGCTATCTGGCTGAAGGTCGTCCGGTGACTCAGCAGTTGATCCAGAGCATTTTGTACCTGTGGGCGCTGGAGAGTTATCGGAGAAACTGGGAAGGGGTGGCCATGCATGGTAACATGACCATGTATCTCTGTAATACATATTTTGGTGGTTTCCGCAACCTAGATCCCTACCTGCGACGAATGCTTTGGGTGGCCGACCGATATCAAGCTGCTGCCACCGCCCGGCCGCCGTTGGTGGAAGAACGGTGGGAGACGGCCGAGTTGTCGACACAACAATACACATGCGTGACGACTGCATTGCGCCAACTCGGGAAAATCCCAGCAGGCGCAAGATTTGCTCAACACAGCGAGGTCTTGAGTCGACCGTTTCAACAGGTCCTGCAACAAGTAGTCAATCTGGCCTGTGCCATCCAATGTCACTGGCACGCCGCGCCACGTCAGCCCTTGCTCCCGGATCGGGACTGGGCCGTTGCTCGAAGCTACACCGTCTCAGACGAATTGCTGAACTTCAAAGATCAAGACGTTGAAACGACCGACTCATGGCGTCACAAGTTGACCGATTGTCTTCGATTGGCATTGATTGTGTGGCTAGCCTTTATCCCTGCGAGCGCCCCGTACTCACCAGTCGACGGAATGCTGACCATAAAAGCGGCGATCGATGCCCGACCTCTTCGAGCTCGTCTTACCAGCGTGGCCGCGCAACTTGAGGACTTGCCCGCCAGTCACGAGGAATGTGCTCTCCTTTTCTGGGTGGCAGGCTTGGGTGCGGTCGCGAGCGAACTGGCGGAGAATCAAGAATGGTTTGCGCTCCAATTTCAAAGAGTGGCCAGGAAGCTGGGAATCTTCACCTGGGCCAGCTTCGAGTCAATCAATCAGGGCTACTTGTCACTGGAACAACTTCAGCCACCCAACCTGACCAAGCTGACCTGGCTGTTACAGCGGGCCTGTTTTGCAAAAGTATCAGACGCAGAGACCAGGGGGGGATGCTGATTTTAAACGTCAAAGTTCGTCCAAGGAATGCCTGCCTCGGTGAAGCGAGCAAGGCTCCTGGTTTCAGGTACCGCATGAGTAATGAGCCAGCCCAATGCCATTGTCGGCATAGGGAAGACGAGGGGATTATTCAGCATTGGGGGATTAGGTAGATTTACTCTCAACCATGCAAACCCTGGTGATGGTCATGTTTGGCAATGTGCAGGCATGTAGGCATGTAGGCACCTGATATTCGACAAAGTGATATTGCCCAAAGCATACAAGTATGTACACGTGCCTAGCATACCGAGGACAGGTAGATTCTTTGCAGTGGAAAGGAATAACGTGAGCCCACAGTGGAAAGCCAGCGCCGGTGGAAGCTTCAAGCGGCCATAAACCGGGGTACATACGGCGATATTGTCAGTGGGCCATGGAAAAGGACCAAGGTACGGAGTAGTTTTTCGCGGAAAGGGAATATGAGTCAAGAATACCAATGAAGAGTCCCAAACGAGGGGACAGCCTCGGACCAGCACACAATGGCTGTTGTTTGCACAATTAACCATGGCTAGAGTGCAGAGATGAACCACCGCCCCGATGTCGCCGGCGGAAAAATTCGGGCTTATGGGAGGATATCCAGGGCGAGATGTGTCGGTCAAGTTCGGGAGCGGGCCGGAAAACACCCCGACACGACCATGAATCTAGACAAGTCGACGATTCAATTTAGTTGATGGGCAAATTGTCTGCATAGAGACTTTTGGTTGATTGAAGGAGTTGTCGCGATTAGAGCATCAAGAGAATGAGATGGGCATGAAGGCATTCCTGCCTTCCTTCCTTGATTCATTCCTTTCTTTGTCATCACATGGAAATGACATTTTCTGGGAAGGAACAAAACCATATTTTTGGGAAGGAGCCTCCTGTGTATGACTGGCCGCCATTTACCGAGGTTGATCATCACGTGTTTCTGGTGGTTGACTGTTGCACCAATCATCATCCGAGCTGATTTCCCCCCGCATCTCCGAAAGTTGTCTGCCACTGCGCGGCTGCGCCCACACCCAGTGACCCATCAGTCTCTTCCTACACTACTCCCTACTCCGTACACTGCGCACAGATTTCCACATGCCTGGCATCCCACACAACACCTTGACACGACCCCTGGGATACCTCACTGGTCTTCTCCCTTGGACCACTCACCAATAAGCCCAGTGGGATCAGCTCCCCACCAAAATCCCCGCCCGGGCTCGTCCAGCCGCCTGGCCACTTTGTGCCACTCGTGCCACTCGTGCCACTGGAATCGTTCTAGCGAAAGCTATGATGACATGGCCGTTTTGCTCAAGTCCATTTTTCAGCCCCCGTGCCTGGGGCCCCTCTAGCGGGAGTCTATCCGTGCCTCGGCGGAAAGGGAGCTCGACATGACAAGAATTTTGTGAGGCACACCGGAAAAGTGTGTCCTGTGATGCGGAACCGTAGCTGTCTGTACCTGAGCACGCGTCCGTACAGTGACGATTTCACGACTTGGCCGTGCGCCAAAGGAAAATTGCTTGGAGTCTACGGAGTTACTTGTTGCCATTCCCCATGCTTCGGATCAGAACGGTGCATTTTCGGCTCCTGCTCAGCACATCTTCCCAGACCCTCTTGTATACTAAAACAACTCGGTCTTCCTCAGTTTGACTCTCGCTTTCCCCGCTGGTTTTTTTCTCGACCTTTTGGACTTTCCACCTCTCTCCTCTCCAGCCAATTGTGCAGAGCTATTTGACTGGATTAGAAAAACTGTTTCTTTTGCATCGGATTTGCTGTGCTTGATACCACTGTCGTTGCCATACTTAAAGTAGCCAGCTGGGTCACTGGAGCTTGCAGCGCAAAAGCCAGGCTATTTCCCCTTTGCAAGACACGAACAGAAATCAACCACTGGTGGAGCCACCGTTCTCAGAACCACCTTCTTTGACCACCCGCAACGATCCTCATCCGAGGCGGCAGTCGCGACCATGTCGGCGAAAAGTGTCAAGGGTGAAGGGGGCAAAAAGCCCGCGAGCGCTGCAACCAACCTAATAGCCGGTGGTGGTGCGGGCATGATGGAAGCCCTGGTGTGTCATCCCTTGGACACAATCAAAGTGCGAATGCAGCTTTCAAGACGAGGAAGAACACCTGGACAAAAGCCGCGTGGGTTCTACCAGACTGGAAAGGACATTGTTAAACGAGAAACATTCCTGGGCTTATACAAGGGACTGGGTGCCGTGTTAAGTGGTATCATCCCCAAGATGGCTATTCGATTCACATCGTATGAATGGTACAAGCAAGCATTAGCCAATGAACAAGGAGTGGTGACTTCCAAAGCGACGTTTTTGGGTATGTGGGAAAAGCACCACGTTTCTTAAGCATGCTTACTGACTTGATGACAGCTGGTCTCGGTGCAGGTGTTACCGAAGCTGTCGCCGTTGTGACACCCATGGAAGTGGTCAAGATTCGGATGCAGGCTCAATACCACAGTCTGTCGGACCCACTGGACGTTCCCAAGTACCGAAGCGCACCTCATGCTCTCCTGACGGTGGTCCGAGAGGAAGGCATCGGCGCACTTTATCGCGGAGTGTCTCTGACCGCATTGAGACAAGGAACCAACCAGGCCGTCAACTTCACCGCATACTCCGAGTTCAAGGAGCAGCTACAAAAGTGGCAACCACAGTACGAAGGCCAGAACCTGCCGTCATACCAAACGACATTTATCGGTTTGATTTCCGGTGCCATGGGACCTTTCTCGAATGCTCCCATTGACACGATCAAGACCCGACTCCAGAAGACACCTGCGGAACCGGGTCAGACTGCGGTTTCCAGAATTGTGAACATCTCTCGAGACATGTTCAAGCAAGAAGGCGCTCGAGCATTCTACAAGGGAATCACTCCGCGAGTGATGCGAGTGGCGCCCGGCCAAGCAGTCACCTTCACAGTGTATGAATACCTCAAGAAGAAACTAGAAGACAGCCGGATACCGTTCACAGGAGGCAGCTACGAGGAATAAAGAGGCAGAACGCTCAACCTTGACGTTTAGCATGGCATTGAACATGATTGAATTGGTGCATGATGATTCGGCATTGTCAAATCACTGTATGAGGCCACCATCTCATGTATCATCCGGCATGGCGAGGCATTCAAAAAACGCAGAATTAGGTTGATCTTGTACATAGAGTGGCGCATACTTGAATATGGTTTGTTGGACAATCTAATGTGCATTTACGCAAGCAGGATTGCATCTTGAAAAGAGAGTCGACGTCAGAATTGTTGATCTGTTGATCTGTTGATCTGGTCATCTTTTTCATAATGGCATCGATAGAGCGGCAAGTATTCATGGCCCAATGCAGCTCGAAGCCTGGCCCCCTCAGCCTTTTGGCGGGCAGGCGGGGCTGACATGAGACTGCGCCTGCCCTTCGCCTCGTGTCTACGTGACTCCAAGTAACTTCCTCCACGTGTCTATCAAGTTCATCCCACCAACAAGGCCGTGATTCAGTCTCTGACAAACCCGATTAGCCCTTCCAAATACCATTCACCGTTCAAGAATTGGGCACTATATGCTACGACAAGAGGCCGGGTCAGTCTTGTGATTGTTTACCCTCTGACACCTCTCCAAGGCTCCCGTCTCCGACCCTGGTTAACCCTCCGAGAGGAAACTATCCGAGTGTGACATCCAACACAATATAGTTCTTGCACCAACAGAAGACGAAGCACCTTTGTCCTTGGCCTTCAACTTCCCTTCGACCCTTCCTCCACGTCCCAGCATCCAAACCAGTCAGACTAGCCATCATGCAATCTGGAATATCAGGTTCGTCCACGATATTCAGATTCCCAGACAGCCCCCAAGACCATTCTCGACCAAGTCCAACATCAAACTAACCACTCTGCTGCCTACCTACAGCCTCCGCCGACCTTCATGCGGCTTTCAAGTCCTTTACCAGTGACAGCACCCTTTTTGCTCTCCCCATCACCATTACATCCGAGTCCCTGACCCCACTCGCCGCAATCCCATTTCCCTCAGGCTCATCCACCCTGGAAACCTCGCTCAATGCCCTGTCGGAGCTGCTGACACCCACCACTCCTCTGTACCTCCTTCTCCGCCGCACTCCACAGTCCCCGTCATTGATCTCCGCCGCATACATCCCTTCAAGATCCCCTGTCCGCCAGAAGACCTTGTTTGCAGCCACGCGGGCAACCCTGGTGCGGGAACTCGGGCAAGAGAAATTCGCCGAGTCGGTCTTTCTGACTGAGCGCGAGGAAGTTTTGGACGTCACCACGTGGAACGATGCTAGTGGCGGGCCCCAGGGTACATCCGGTCAGGGCAATGCCGACAGCGCCATCCTCAGCACCGAGGAACGCGAGCTGCAGGCGGTGAAAAGAGCCGAGGACGAGGAGCGACATGGCACACGTGGCCGGGACCTGATGGGCGACGGAGGCAGCGGTGCTAAAGCTGGTGGTGTGTCAAGCACCGGCATCCAGATCAACGTAACCGACGATGCTAAAGCTGCATTTCGAGAGATTGCCGCCGCCCAGCAGAGTGGACACAGCACAGGTCTTCTGGTCCAGTTTGGGATCGAGATCAAGGGCGAGACCATTAAGCATTCCAAAACGCACCGCGGTGTCGAGCCGAGTAGTGTGCATTCCCATATTCCATCCGACACTCCGAGTTACAATTTCTACGTTGCATCGGCGGGCTCTAGTGCCGTCATCTTCATCTACGTCTGCCCGGGCACGAGCAAGATCAAGGAACGCATGATTTACGCCTCGAGTCGCCTAGCTGTCTTGACCATCGCCAAGCAAGAAGGCGTCAAGGTCGTCAAGAATCTCGAGGCCGGCGACCCGGAAGATTTGAGTGGCGGCAGAATCAACGAGGAAATCGCTATTCACCTCGGTCCGCAGGATGACGGTGACAGTCAGCCCGGCAGTGGCACTGCGACCCCGAGTGGCGGCAGGTCGGCTGGATTTGCAAGACCCAAAAGACCTGGAAAGAGGTGATAAGACACGACCGCATGGGAAAATTGTCTGTTGTCGACTTGTTGGAAGACCGTGTCAGGAGCACCAACAACCCTTGACATCGATTGGCCATTGCATTCCATACATGTAGATCGGTTCACAGCATAGCGGCAAGAGATCGCACGTCGAATAAACAAAAGATTCTTGGGTCATACATGGATGGACATGGAATGGCATTTTTGAATTTTTCGAATTGATGAGTTCTACTTTGTTCAGATGCATATCAACTCAAGCCATTATCGTGATGATAATGATCATAATTGGAATGAGCACGACTGAGCAATCCTCAAAGAATGCACATAATCCCCATCCCAAAGCAGAGTACCGACATTCTCAACTCTCATCGTCATGTGATTTCCGTCGTTTTGCGGCGGCCGTAAACTGCAGGTCGAAGACTGAGTATGAAATCGTCCCAGCCCACCGACTCTTGCTCATGCCCAGACCGGTGCATCCCCCCGTCGCTTCCGGGGGAGTGATTCAAACGTGATGAGTGCACATTCTGCAAAACCCCCTCTCATAACCTAAGAAGGTTGAGGTGTTTGTTCCCTGTGTAATAGTACCCGTCTGATTCTGGCTCGAACTTGTTGATCGTCTTGCTGGAAACCATGTCGACGCTGGGACTGGCTGATTTGAAAGAGCTGGCGGCATGATAGGCGAGCCATTATGGATTAAATACCGCACGGGTGGCGGATTGGCCTCGATATTGCCGGCTTCGAACTGCGGTGGAAGTGTCCCAGTCATGGCTATCATCAGCGCTCTCTCATATTGAAAAGCCGTATTGCCATTTCCTGCCTGCTGTACAAGGCAACTGCTGATGTTCTTCCTTGTCAAAGGCACAATCGTCCCACTGGCGAGTCATTCTGTGTCATTGCAAACATGTCACCAAAATGGATCAGTACTGATTTCTGAAATTCTTCTTTTGATAGAACAGATCGGTCCTGGAACTTCCAAGATTTATAATCTTAGGACATCCATCGCGGTCTTTTTCCAGACGGGTACATTCGAAACAGTAAAAGGCGTCCGAGATGCCTTCGCCACCGCAGACGACGCATTTGTTCTGGTAGTTGCCGAACGAACACTCATCGCAGATGCGCACCAATGTCGTCGGTCGAACATAGCTATCGCATACAGGACACTTGCCATCACATTTATCGCACAGCCGTCCCAAACTGATGCCGGGCGCTTTGCGACACATGACGAGATCTGGGTGGTGGCGAGACATGATTCTGTCAACGAGTGGTAGAGGTTCGAAACGTTTGCGGAAGGTGTGAGGTAGTCGGTTTACAAGGTTGAGAATTCAAGAAGAGAATGATTGAAGGCTCGGAGATGTGTCTGGAGTGAAAAAGAGAGAAGGAAAGAAGAGAAGATGGAAGAATCAGTGGTGATGATCAAAGTGAAAGTGGCAGAGTGGTTAAAAAGCGGCCTCTCAGCCTTGTCGAACAATTGCTAAGCCTTGCCACTATGGAAATCCCTATCGGGACTAGTCGGATTTCTCCGCATAACTAGTGCCAAACAGGAAAGCATAGCGAGGATGATAATAGACTCGACGAGGCTGAAAGAAGATTGATTTCAACAGAGATTTGCTTGCATACATTCTGTAGTAACCGGCCTGCATCTGCTACCCCAGGAGAAGCCATGGTGGACATCTGATTCTTCCTGATCGATAACAAAACAACTCTCGTTGATTGAACGGGCAAGCTAATGTTCTAGCCCACGAGCCCTGTACACCAAGATCCTTGAGATCATCATTCGTTAACTTCATCAGTCCCAAAATGATATCTTCAGCAGTTGCCATTCCTGAGCCTGCGCCCTCGTCCCCTCCTACACACCATGATCGAAACACCACAACTCTCAAAAGGCGTCAATCATCGATATCCGAGGCCTCGGACTCAAACAAGAGGCCTCGACTAACCAGCGAGTCCTCGCCCTCGACATCGGCGCGCCAACATGTATCATCTCCCACCGCGACAACGACAGCGACATCGACACCGGCCATGACGGCCGCAACTATTTCCCCTCCGACACGGCAACGGTCCCTCAACACCGACGAAAAATCCCGCAATCGACGACTCTTTGGATCAATCCTAGGCACTCTGTCACAACCAGCTGGGCGCCGAAACAACGGACCGCGCAAACCCAGCGTGTCAGACGCATCACCTGGCGTTTCTCCGTCTGACCGGAGAGCGGAGATCGAGTCGCGCCAGCGGGAACGGCTACGGCGCGAGTCCGAGGAGATCTCACTACAAGCGCGCAGGAAGAAAGAAGAACTGGATCGCTCTCGCCGCGCGGAGCAAAGACTGTGGGATGCCGAGGCAATGGAGATCCGGCATCGTAATATGCGGGCTGCGGCAGGGTTTCTGAGGACCAACGTGGAGCCTCAGTTGTATTATCGGCCGTGGGAGATGAGGGACGAAGATACCAAGAGAGTGGAAAGACAAAAGACCGAGGTGGAGGACATTATTCGCAGCGAGATTGAAAAATGGGAGAACGACAAGGTGCGGGCTGACGGAGAAGAAAGAGATGGTTCCAATCCAACAGGGCATGACCAAGGAAATGGAACTCAGGCGGCAAACGACCATGATTCGTCTCACGGCTCAATACATGAACAGGGTGGTTCTGGGAACAAATCCAACGGCAGTGCCAAGGTCGACGAGGTCGTGAGAGAAGATCCCCCCGTGCCCTCTGAAAGCAATGGGCAACACGAATCAAGTGCAGTCGATGCGAGTACAGGTTCACGGGTAGATGGGACCGATGACGCCAGACCACAACCAAGTCGAAATGAGGATGAGCATGGCGGGGAAGAGCTCGAGCAGGGCCAGGAAGACGATGTGATATACTAGATCACAGCTCGAACCAAGAACAACTCGTCTGGACACAAGCGTCTGTGGCATCGTTAGGCGATGCAAGCTCTGAGAATTGAAACATGATTTTTGTCCCCTGGTTCATACCAGCGACCACTGGCGCTACTAGAGCAATAAATGCGTGGCCCATTGCCAACTCAAATCCTGCCACGAATCGTCCACCTCAAAGGTCAAATATTCCGTGTGAGACTCGGAGCTCTGCATTGTGTATTCGATTTCTTCTAGCCACTCGGCCCGGTCCAATCTTTGTCTCTGGTAGTGTGCAGGAGAATCGCCAATTGGCCACTTCCCTTTGCGGGCCATGTACATCTCCAGCTTCACACACAAGCACTCCGGTGATTTCTTGTCGTCTCTGACTTCCCAAGCTTCGTCTCGCAGGTTGGTGAATGTGCCGGACAGTGTGACGGTTTGTAAGTTGCATGCATCCCGGATTTCTCCAAACAGCTCCATCACAGAATCTTCTCCACTGGCGGATAGGATGTTTGGTAAGATGGTGACATCTTCAAGATGGAGATGATGGAGGGTGGCAGAGTGGTTTCGGAGGAAGGCCAGCAGAGGCGAGATTTCGGTGTTGAAGGAGCAAAAGGACACGTGTTTCAACGTCGGGAATATCATGCCTGTTACGGCGTTTGAGATTTTATTCTGTGGAGGAGATCGTGGAGATCGTGGTTGTCGTGTTAAGGTCCCGAGGTGGATTGAAAGATGCTGCAACTTGGAGAAGAGCGACAGGTAAGTTACCAATCGTTTCAGGTGTTGGGGTTGCATAAGTTGGTCGCGGTCGAAGGATTCGTTATTGAGGCCCAGCTTCAATTTCTGTGTCCTGGTCATGCGCAGTTCTTGCTCGGTCTGAGTGAAGGGATAAAGGATGTCGCCCCAAGACAAGGGATCTAGGGTTAGCGATTCCAGCTGCAGGGACATGCAGACGCGGTAGAAGTGGCGGAAGGGAGATCGAGCAACGGGCCACGCGGGAGACAAGATGAAGGAGGACAAGAGAGGCTCGTAATCACAGCCATTTCTCTGGCAGCAGATCTCTTGAAGATGGGGGAAGCTGGTCAAGACACTTCGGATATCAGTTGGGCGAATCGACTCAAAGGCGACTTGCTCTCGGAGAATATCCATGTAGGCCAAGTAGAGAGCATCGATCTGTTCCTCAGAGATGGTCCGGACGGCGAGGCCACTGATGGAGGTGTAACTCTTCTGTAGGATTAGGGTACGGAAGCCATGACTTCGCAGTTGCTGACCGTGATTGGGGTTGAGGACATCAGTGTTGAGATGAACAGACCTGACATGTTTTTGAAGATGTGAGGCAGTGCTCACGCAGTCGATTCGACGCCAACTTCGGTGGAGCGGGCGAAGGTGGATTGTGTGGAAGAGAGGAATAGCAGCAGCCGAGGCGCACGCTTTGTTCAGCAACCGCACATGCCTGAGAGAGGATGAATCGAGAGTCTGAAAGATCAAGACAAGCAGTTCATGGGGTAGCTCAGACAAGGACATGATGCCATGAAGAGAATGTGCCAGGTGACCAGGTCACAGGTTAATCTGATAGCGGTAGCAATGGTTACTTCCTGCGTCGAGTCGACGACTGACGACGTAGAGTTGGATGCCCACCTACTACTCAAACGATTGCTGTGCGAGGGTTGGAAGAATTAACAATGCCGTTGTCTGTTTTGTAGATGACTGTGATACATGATAATCATATCCATAAAACCACAAGAGTAAATCATGGTAAACAATTAATATGAAATACGATTGAGTCAAACAGACGTGATAACCTTCACTTCACGCCTTGATGCCTTTGCAATGGCGCGTCTCACTCCACGCGTCTATACTCTGCCGTAGTCATAATCGCCTCTCAGGGTCATGTGACTCTCGCAGATCCTGGCTAGGAAGACAAGTTCCAAAGGATCTGATTGGCTGATAATTGGGATAAGATGGTAGATCGACAGTGCAGATGCGTATGGTCGTGCTGCACTGTGCGTCCATGTGAAAAGTGACTATTTGGAGTTGTTTTTCATGAGGCTTGATATCCAGCATATATCCAGATCACATACTTGACTACTACATCAACTATGGGCCATGATTCAAGCGTGACCTGAGCCCATTGATGTGTACCTTAGGCATCAAATTCACGTGAGAGTTTAGTCTACGTCACATCACGTGCGCATGCGCATGCGCGTTACCTCACTTACGCTACACTCGATTCCAAAGACAAAGAAAGACATTCCAGCACCATTTTCTTCTCTTCTTTCTTTTCTCGCTTGGTCATGTATCGACAGTGACAACGGTTCTAGTGCACTTTTGATCTCTGTTGATGCATTCCCTATTGATTCCTGTCCTCTTCCTTCTCGCCTATTGAAGAACCTACTATCACACCTCGATCCTTCTCATGGGCATGGCTTCTTTCTCAACTTTTAACCTCCCGCTGCAGGTCGCCTTGGCAAGGGCACTATGAATAGTTGAAGCTCCTTTTTCCTGACAGTCGGTCCATCTCTGATTGCCAAATACTCAAGTCTATTCTCACAAGCACTGAAATGGATCACAACGGTTCCCTAGACCAGGTCTCGACCATCCACATTCTTACCTTGAATTGCTGGGGCCTGAAGTACCTATCCAAACATCGTTCGGAACGCTTGTCCGAAATAGGCAATCGGCTTGCTACATACTCACCTCAATTAGATATTGTCGGCCTCCAAGAATGCTGGACATTCTCCGACTACTTGACAATCAGAAATAGGACCCGATCCACCCTTCCATATGGCAAGTTCTACCATTCGGGAATCTTCGGTGGCGGGTTGGCCATTTTAAGTAGATGGCCGATTCGCGAGTCGACCATGTATCGCTATTCTTTGAACGGTCGACCAACGGCGTTCTTCCGAGGAGACTGGTTTGTGGGCAAAGGTGTTGGCTGCGCCACGATTGCACTGCCGGACGGGGGCAACGTCGAGGTGTTTAATACCCATCTACATGCACCATACGAAAGGGAGCCGAATGACAGCTACATCTGTCATCGAACAGGTCAAGCATGGGAAATCGCCAAATTGATGCGTGCAGCTTCACAGCGTGGAAGCTTGGTCATTGGTTTGGGGGATTTCAACATGGTCCCTCTAAGTTTTGCGCACGTCTTGATCGAGAGTCAAGCAGGTGTGCAAGATGTGTGGAGAGTGGTGAAGCCTCAAAGTAGTGTCGGGGCAAGCATCGACCCGCCAGAGAAGGAGAGACGGAAAAGACTCGGGGAGCCAGATATCCCAGATGTGGCAACGAGCCTCGAGGAGCATGGCCATACTTGTGACTCGATATTGAACACATGGCGTTGGAACAAGGCGCATCAGAAACATCTGGAAGAGGGTCAAGACCGAGAAATTCCACTGACAGACCCAGACCCCAAATCCAAGCGTTTGGATTACATATTTTGCAGTGGAGTGGGAAATGGATGGAGAGTCGACAGGGTTCAGGTTGCTTTGACCGAGAGACACCCAAGTCTTCGTTGTTCTTTGAGTGACCATTTCGCCGTGCAAGCCACGCTTGAAAGAAGTTCGCTCCGACTCAAAACATCCACCGAGATCGAGGTGCATGCAGCACTCAATGACTCCCAGGAGCAAGATGCCAGCCTGCAAGTCGCGAATGTTGACGATAAGGACTTTGACAAAGCAATCTCCAAGGAGGGGACGCGATTCCATCTGGGACAGGATTTCTACCAGGATATACTCCAGATGATACACACATATACTCTACGGGAACGAAAGCAAAGAAGGTATCGGCTTTTGCATTTTGTGGGATCAGCACTGGTCTCGATTGGTTGCTTTGTGGCTACTTGGTGGTCTCCAAGGAATTTTGTGTCGTTCATCTTGATCTTGTTGAGCAGTCTGGGACTCATGGCCGGTACCGTAGATGGATTGATCGGCGGCCTATTTGTTGGGTCTGAACTGCGGGCACTGGCTGAATTTGAATGGGAGGTGCGAAATGCATTACATCTTGCTGGGGGACCAGCGTTGGAAGATCAATCGTTGAGGGATTGGTATGACTGAGAAAATACAACCAGTTGGAGTCTGCCAGCAACAACGTCCTGTCGTTGATTGATGGTGATTCACGGATAGGCAATGGTGAGAAGAAGCGCCCCGGATGAAAGGCGCTTACATGCATACGCTGAGTTGGCATAATGGTTACTGGCCTATCGCACCAGTATTAGGCCAAAACCAGCGGGGACTTGAAATGCCCGCACAAATGCGACATGTTTAAGAGTGCGGGCCAGGGCAAAGTGAAGATTGGACAGGACAATGAGGGAAAGGGAGAAGCTAATTCCACGGAACGGTGGCTGCGTTGAGTCGCCCCAAGAAAGTGGGAAAAAAGAGAATAGAAGAAATTGTGAGAGTGAAATGCATGGGCAACAAGACAGAGGGAGAGAAGAGAAGAGAGAAGAGACAGAAGAATATCAGCGGTGGCTGGAGGCGGCAGCGATGAGGATGAGTTGCAGCTTTGGGAGGGTTTTGTTGTTATTGTTGATGGAGGCCCAAGGACAGAACCCAAGGCCCCCCCCCCCCCCCCCCCGGATAAAACTCCCAGTTGGGGGCGTTTTGGGCTCTCAGGCGACTTTACGGCGCCTGGAACCTTGGATTTGCGCACTGGCAACCTCGCAACTCGCAACTCGCAACTCGAAACACGAAACAGAAGACAGACACTCTAAAGCGCTGCTCCTCCCGCCCATCCCATGCCTGGCAACCCTTTTACTTCTTCTTTTCCCACCGCTCTCTCAACAAAATCACCGTCACTTGGTGCGATTTTCATTTCAACCTGGTCGCTGACAACTTATTTCGCCATCTGAACAATTTCAAATCGCTGCGACAGTCTAACCTCGAGGTATGTCCATGCACATCCACGCGATTCCCCTTCTTGATCGCCATGTTCCCCCAAGCTCCACCTCTGCCCACCCAGGTGTCTGCCTGCTCACCAGAGGTGCCTACAATATCGTTGGGTTGCTTCAATAGTCCAGTCTTTGTCGCATGTCCATCATCTGCCTGTTATCATCCTTTCACAAATATTCTACACTCCTTGGTGAAGCTGCATCTGTTGTTATCTGACCGTTCATCCATTGCCCCATTTCATCGCGTTCCCCGCCTTTTCCCTCCAGTCATTTATTCAGTCGGATCCTGAGAGATCAGCCCACCAGCCAACTGACTGACTGACAAACTGTCTAGCTGACACAATCAACTGATTACACTCCACGCACATCTTCCCACCAAACACACAACCACCAACAACCACAATGGCGCAAACACGCGGCGCAACCGGCAACTCCAAGCCTCGAGTCTTCCCAACCGTCAGCGTCGAGCCCGTTCGGAAGCGCAAGGCCACTACAGGAACGGGCGCGACGGGCAAAAAGAAGAAGACCGCGACTGGGGGAGTGAGCAAAAAACGCGCTCCTGCAGCGTCCAGCAAAGGCAAGTCATCGGTCAAGGACAAGATCGAAGGCGCCGTAGACAAGTTGACCGGCAGCGTCGAGAACAAGCCTGCAAAGAAAGCCGCAGGTACCAAGAAGATCAGTGGCACCGATGGCAAGACCAGCAAGACGGCCAAGATTAACAAGGTCTAGAGGAGACCGAGTTGGCCAGCCGACCACTGCGACATACATGAGTGGCCATTGACTCAACCTGGGTTTGCATTCGTTGGCTAGCGACACGGTTGGACCCATTGGACGGCATACCAAATATGCTAGCAACACGGAAAATGCACACAGTAACGGAATGGGCTAGGTGAAGTCTCTTTACGAGTGACGGATGGGTTGAGAAAGCGGGAGTGCGAGTGGATGGAAACGGCGTCTTGACGGTTGAATTTCATTTGCACGCTTGGACATTGTAATGCTAGGCTATCTTCTGCTCTGCTCTGCTATCGCTCAAGGATATCCGGGGCTAACGAAATACATCACTGGATTGCCTCTTCGTTTGTGAATTCATAAAACCTCGTTGCGCAAAAAAGGCGGCATCAATTCGTGGAGATCGTTGCAAACGTTTCATTGGGTTGCTTATTCATGCTACATATGTTGGCAAGTTATGCCTTTGTCCATCATGACATGTTCCATGTCCCATTCCATTGCATCTTGGTCATTCTCTGGTCCTTCCAGTAAGCACACGCTTCTCATTGATTCATGTTGATCTCAAACGCCTTGTTCCATGTCTCGCTACCAACTCATACGAGCATGGTGCAAAACTCCCTCAGTGTACAATGTAATTCCTCGTCGTCAACTTGATCTTCAGCTGATCAATTAGCAACAACCTTTTTCATTTAGTCGTCAAGACTGTCCCTTCGGTTCCGTCTGTAACCATTTGCCTTGTTCTGTCCACCAAGACCTGGAATTGGGTGATGATAGCTCATGGTGTTTTGACTCTGGGCATCCAACTCTGTCTGCTGATGGAACGATCCTGGGACGGTTCGAATCGGTCTCTGCGGGCTAACATTCTTGTTGGATGGGTGGTAGCGAGATGATCGAGCGGCTTCGGTGGCAGTAAAGGTGCTGTCCTGACCGTACGAGAAATCCCGGCGGCTCTGGCGTTTCTCAGGGCTGGCGTGCCGTGGAGGTGGTGGCGGGTGGTTGTTGGGACGATAGCTCTGGCTAAAGACATTGCTGGTTCGGTCACTTCCACTGTACTCGGTACTGAAGCATTGTCCATCCGAGTCTTTGTTCAATCCGCCAACTCGAGCCACTTTCTCATGACGATAGGCTCGCACGTCATTATCGTGACCGCCCTCCCACTCTGCCTCCCGGGCCTCGCGGATTTTGCGTTCTTTGTTGGTCTCTTTCCTTGCCTTGTACTTCTTGCCTTGTTTTTCTGAGAGAATTGGAGCGTCTGAGGAAAGATCGACATTGGTCATGGTCTCAGTGGATGCGTCGTATGAAGATCTGCTATTCTTATCAGAGTATCCATCCCCGACCACGCTGCCACCACCAAGAGCCGTGCTTTTGGTTGCATTGCTAAGGGTGGTGCCGTTGGGGCCCTTCCGTCTCAAGACAGACGATTTGTAGTCGTCCCAATCTCCTTTTCTCCATTGAAATCCCCCGTTCTTGGCCCAGAAAAAGAACCAGATGATGAGAACGACAAATGCGGCTCCTATGATTGCAAAGAGAGCTTGGATGCCTTTCATGTTGACGTCGGTTGGGTCGACGGAGCCTTCTGAAGGGTTGAAATTGGGATCAAGCTCGATATCTCTCGCCGTGAGAACATTGAACGTCTCAATTGGTGAGAGAAGCGGGGAGACATCATCATTTCGGGGCACTAGAGGGTTGTGGTCTCCAAAGACAAACGATCTTTTGCTCGAGAATGATGTGAGAGAGTCTCTAGGCTTGACATCATGAACGTCGAGTTCAAGGGAGGAGAAGATGAGATCGGGAATATCGAGTTTGGAGGTGACAGGCGCCATGCGGATGCAAGGTGAGCCAGATGGCCCGTGAATCGAGCTTTGATCAGATGTCTATGCCTCCTCCGTAGGGTGCGAAAGTGGACGGAGGGTCGCGCTCGGATGGGGTTGATGTGGTCGGTGCTCTTGGAATAATTATTTGGCAATCAGAGAAAGATCCACCGATAATGATTGAGGATGTAGACACTTACTTCAACTCTTTGCAGAACGAGAAATATGTGATGATTTATGGTGGTAGAAGTCGTTATGCTGGTAATTGCGGTGGCTGGAACCTGGCGTGCCTGCCACCTTTGTAGGTGAGACGCTGCAGGTGACGTGGACCAAGACTATTTACATCTTCCTAATCGGGCAGGAATTATGCGACAGCTCATCTCTACGACGACCAGAGGGACCAAAAATGTCTAATATGGTAATCATGCTAAACATATCTAATATGCACCCACTATCACCTTTTTTTCGGTGCTTTTGAACCCTCGTAACCCCCAGATTGTTAGGCCCTGGCCCCTCCGACCTTATCGCCCCATCGCCCCTCCTGGCTCTCACCAGCCACTCCCCAGAGACCCAATGAATCTTTTGCCTGTGGTGCCTGTCAACCATCGGATCTTTGGAAACCTTGATACAGGGATCGATTAAGAAAGGGACATACGGGGTATATATCATCAAGCTGCTCCACCTGTTTGCAAGTCACCTCACCTCATCTCCGCTACATATCATTGACATCCGCAGGCTCTCAATCTAAGTAGAAGTCACTCATCATGAATCACAATCATGGTCTCTACTTCAGGCCAAGAGGGTCAAGTGGCCAAATCTCGCCACTGCACAGATTAAGTTGATCATGTTTCACTCTTGGGTTAATTTCTCCCAATCCTCGGCGGTTCTGGGCAGCCGTGGCAGCCCCTACAAGCACCATTGTGCCACGAATTTGCAAATTTTGTGGGGTGCCCAATAGGGCTCGGTGGTCGCAACTGCGCCTAGAACATGAACGCGTACGCCATTGTGAAATTCCTTGATGATGATCAGGGTAAAGGCATTTCAACAAATATGTCTGCGCATCGATCCTCTGTTCTAACCTCACTGTTGTCTTCTTGTCATTTCCCTTTATGAGGTTCTTCTCCCCCGAAAGCCGTCCGCATGTCCTATGTGCTCGGATGGCTGTTGGCCTTGCTGCTAACAATTTGTCCCTCTCTGGTGGCTGCCGCCGATGAAATTGAGCTTTGTGGTCAATTCGATCACTTCAATTCCACCACTGTCCCATATTCATGTAGGCAAACTCGTCTTCCTTCTGCACTTGTTTTCATCTCTGACTAACTCTTTGTCGCAGTTAACAACAATGCCTGGGGCGATAATGGTGAGGGCTACTCCTGTCTCATAGTCTCTGGCGATGACGCTAGTTTCAGCGTCAAGTACCAATGGACCGGCGACCCCTCGACCGTCAAAGGTTTTCCCTATGTCAAAGTTCATCCAAGTCGATTGCCAGTCCAGCTTTGGAACGTTTCCTCCCTCGACTTCTCCGCCCAATTCCGCACATATGTCAGAGGCACGGGGAATTGGTCTTCACAAGAGCAGGCAATCGCATATGACAACACTGGACTACGGGCCAATGTTGCAGTAGACATGTTCCTGTCCGACAATGCCGAAAACTCGACGGGATTGGGCCCGCCGATTGAAATCATGATCTGGCAGTGGTACACCCCGACCGTTCTTCCACTTGGCCACTCCGAGTCGACGCCTGAGCAAGACACTGTTGAAGTAGGAGGCACCAACTACAGCCTATACCATGGTTGGAACGCCCAAGGCCAACATGTCTTCTCGTGGCTGCCCCACCAGAATTTGTCCAGTGTCGATGTTGACTACTTCCCTTTACTGGAGCACATCTGGCGCAACGGTTTGCTGTCTGGCGCCTTGTACCTTGGACAACTAGAGTTTGGTACCGAAGTCATGTTTGCAGGAGAAGAGACCATCTTTGAAGCCAACAACTATACTTTGAAGATCACTCGAGAGGGTGACCCAGATGCGCCTGTCAGACAAACCACCACCTCAACCTCATCCACTATGGTCACGACCGCAACCTCAACAAGTCGTGCCACGGGCACCTTTACACCTCCGCCCATAACTACGACAGCTACCAGGGGTGCGAGCCCCGGCTCGACAGCTAATGCTGCTCCTGCCATATCATTACGGCGACATGATGGAGGCGGCTCTGGCTGGATCGGCCCTGTTGCAGCTGCAGTAGGACCATTGCTTGTCACATCGTTCTTGCTCAGTACTAGATGGTACCTATAGACAATTTGAATGGAGGAAATTCGGGAAAGACTTGTGACCCAAGCCTCAGACCCATTTTCATGATCCATTGCCTCGTGACGAAGAGCAAGACCCTGTCACGTGGCATGTCACCGAGGAAAAGTCACGTGTCATTGACTCCATTCTCTTCTACTACTGAACCTCAAATTGGTGATTCATGTAATGCTCGAGTTGTCTACGGCTATCCCGTTTTGAGTACTACTCCGGCTATTGTCCGTGAGCTTTATTAAACACCAAGTCTGGCAGACTCGCGGCCTGGAGACCACAAGACCAAGTGAAGCAGCGTGACGAGTCACATAACCCTCGTGGAGCTCGCAGGGTCCATTTTGGAGAATATAAGAAAATGCCATGGCTGCGCCACCATCAATCGAGAAGGAGGATGAATTGCTTAGCCGTCCTCTGTGGTCATCGATCTTTGTCCACGGTTGCGTTGACTTGTACCCGTACCACCCTAGAGTCCAGTATCTACCTCTGATTGCAAGCACATACCAGACCTACAGTTAACGATCGTCAATATGGCTCCGCCTGACCATCTCGCCTCGGGCACGTTATGAGCGCTTCTACGCTCGCGACCAGCCTTCTGACACCTTGACTTGCTGAGCATCTTCTATGTTTCTGGGGCCAAGCGCATCCAATGCTACCTTCCCTTATTGTTGGATCTACAACACCTGACGATCAATCAACCTCTATTCCCCAGTTACGTAGGTAGGTCTTTCATTGGGATGAGCCAACTCATTTCAACTTGGTCTTCTTCATGACGCTCTTTCCATTGCCTCCAAAATCTGGAGTTGCTAGACATCAAGACCAACACGGCCTGCGACCTGTTCTGTCGGCCGACCAGATTGTAAAATGAAGCTGTTTCACGTTGCTCCCCTTCTACTCCCTCTGGCGACTGCCATCGCCGTCACCAAGCCTGATTTTATTTCCTACGATGGCTACAAGGTGTTCCGGGTTAAGACCGAGCATCAGCTTCACCGCGTGCAACACTTGCTCTCAACTATTGAGTTCGAACAGTGGAATGACGATATCGACCGTCATATCGACATAATGCTCTCTCCAGAACAGCTACCAGCCTTTGAGTCCCTCAACCTCGATAGTCACTGCATGCATTCCGATCTAGGAGACTCCATTAGAGCCGAGTCTGCCCGCTCCTCAGTCTACAAGCGCCAGGTCGACGACATGTCTTGGTATGACAGCTACCATGATATTGAAGAACATGAGCAGTACTTATCTGATTTGCAAGCGGAATTCCCAGACAACTCCGAAATTGTCAGCAGTGGGACGAGTTACGAGGGACGGGACATCTTTGGTATTCACCTCTGGGGAAACGATGGCCCTGGAAAGCCTGCAATACTATGGCACGCGACAGTCCACGCCCGTGAATGGATCACTGCTCCGGTAAACACCACTATTGACGGTTCTCGCTCAAGATCCCTAGCCTTTGCTAATCAACCTGGATCAGGTCGTCGAATACATCACGTTGCAATTGATTCAGGGCTATAACGAAGGCGTCAACACGACAGAAGCCTTCCTTGATGCCTACGACTTTTATATTTTCCCCTTTGTAAACCCTGACGGTATTTCTCTCACCTTGCGCTCCCGCAGTGACAAACTACTGACAAGAATCCTCCAGGCTTTGTCTACTCCCGGACAACCGAACGGCTCTGGCGCAAGAATCGACAACCTCCCCCGCCACCACCCGCTAACCAAACCTGCTTCGGTCGTGATATCAATCGACAATGGGACTACGAATGGGATGCCAACCCACTTGGCGCATCCACCAATCCGTGCTCACAGACCTACAAGGGTGAAGAACCAAGTGACTCACCTGAGAGCCAGGGTCTTACGGCCCTGGTGGATGAGCTGCGAGACACTCAGGGCATTAAATTGTACATTGACTGGCACAGCTATGGCCAATACATCCTTTCGGCCTGGGGCTACAACTGTACCGTCTACGCCGAAGACCTTGGAGAGCATATCAATCTTGCATCATTGACTTCGGCAGCTATTCGAGACGTCAACAACAAGACCTTCACCTTTGGCCCATCCTGTGGTACATTATACGCCACCACTGGAAGCAGTGTCGATTATATCTACGGTACAGGCAAGGCAGACTGGGCATACACGATCGAGCTCCGAGATACGGGAGACTTTGGCTTTGTTCTGCCCCCGGATCAGATCCTTGAAAGTGCCGAAGAGCAATGGGTTGGCATGCAGCTGATTCTTAGCTTGTTGGACGAGCCTTTCTTCGAAGTGCCCTCTTAGTTAGAGATGCAGTCTAACGGGAATTTGAGTCGAGTCAAGCGCTGAGAGAATATAAAGAATACGATGTAGAGTGAAATCACGATACGTTGATACGTTGATCCCAGTAAGATAATGTCTTGATCGTTGGCGGGAAATATAAGAGCCATGAAGATTTTGGTGCCTACATCCCTGTCTCCTTATTACCCACTATGAAGCTTATGTCAGGACCTGAAATGGGCAATCTTCTCGATCATACCCATTTTCCCCCTAGTTCCATTTCAACGGGGGGGCCATGTTGGTAGATTTTCCTCCTCGTGACTCGCTCTAATCAAACTCCACGATCAGCTTTCCTTTGGTTTGGTTACTGTTCAAGAGTTCATGAGCAGCCTGGACATCCTTTGCCGTGAATTTAAAGACCTTCTCAATGGGGACGGTGAAGCTGCCGTCGATGAACTTGGGAAGGGCGTGTTCGACCAAGGTGTCGCGAAGTTTTCCCTGATAAGCCTCATCGCGACTCCTCAGGCTGCTCCCTTCGTACCTCAGACGCTTGCGCAGGAAGCGGCTAATGTCGAGGGGTTTCTGCACAACGGTCCCACCCAGGTGACCGAGGTTGACGATGTGTCCGTCACGGGCGGCAGCCTCGAGGTTCTGGTCGAAGTAGCCGGCGCCGATAAAGTCGACAATCAGATCAACGCCCTTGCCATCAGTATACTTGAGAAGCTCCTGGGCCCAGTCTCCCGTCTTGTAGTTGAAGCCCTCGGTGGCGCCCAACGTCTTGGTGAAGTCAATCTTGTCCTGGCTGCTGGCCGTTACGTAGACGGCTGAGGCGCCGTCGGCTTTGGCCAGTTGAATGCCGGCGATCGACACGCTGCTGGCGCCAGCGTGCCACAACACCGACTTGCCTGGTTTGAATTCCCCGATCAGATACAAGGCCTGCGTAGCTGTAATCCATGTCTCTGGAATTCCCGCCGCCTGGACCCAGCTGAGTTCCTTGGGCTTGTGAATCAACATGTGCGTCGACACCGCAATGTACTCGGCGTACGCACCGCCGTACGCCAGCCCAAACACCTCATCACCCACTTTGAACCCACGCTCGGGTTCTTTGCCGAACGATTCGATCGTGCCGGAGAACTCCACTCCCAAGATACTGCTGGCTTGTGGAGGTACAGGGTATAGACCTTCACGTTGCAGGAGATCCATCCGGTTGAGACCAAAGGCTTTGATCTTGACGAGGGCCTGAGACCCAGTTGCAGTGGGCTTCGGCGTCGACTCGTTGATGAAGAGCGCCGAGATGGGGCCTTTGCCTCCGTGAATGTCGACGGCACGCATGGTTGCCATGATGGTATCACGTGCTCAAGGTGATGATGTGAGATTGTGTCCTTTTGGACTGACTACTAAGCTAGAGGCAGTGATGTCAGCGCTCAGTTGTATAGAGTCTGTATGGAGTCTTTCTATACCATTCAGGGGAATCGTTGTATGTGGTAAGTATACAAGACTGTATGGTCTTTCAATAGCAATAGCCGAGAGTTAGCCGATTGATGTACAATTGATTGGTAAGACAAAGAATTTGTGCAGCAATATGAGTGATGTGGCAGTAGGGCACTTACAGGAACTTTAGAATGTGAAGGATCCTTTATCTGAGAGATACCCCAGACATTCGATTTGAAATACACACACAAGAAAATGTTGGCACAATGGACCTATCGTCGGATCGTGCTCGGCCAAGAATGGGTCTTTAAGATTTGGTTGTGATGTTATTACGGAGTACTAGGTTATGTAAGGTACTTATATTATTAAACATGGTGAGCGGGGGACCGAGGGGTTCACCCCGTGGGCTTCTTTTCCTTAGATTCCGTAGCTTTGAGGTCACCTTCGTGTATATGTTTACTCAATGTAGTCATCAAAATGACGCAATTGGAATCCACTGGTCATGATAGGATGCTCGAGCCTTTGGTCAAGCTTGGTTCAAGCTATCCTTGTTCACCATCTCAATGGAAGCTCATTACAACATGACACCCTGATAAGGTGCTTGATTGGGATTTCTTTGCCCTGTCCTGCCCTGTCCGCCTATTCGTGAATTCCCCATACTGGTGCTCATACAACACAAGACGCCTGCCTCTCATATCACCTTAATCAATGTTATACTGCTTGATCAATTCGATCAGCTTTTGGGACTCGGTTACATAATTCAGAGGTGCAGCAGAGCTGACTTGATATCGAACACTGTGAGAGGTTGGTCAGTAAGTCATTGCAAGCTAGTTGATTTGGATAAGTTCATACCGTTGTTGTTCCTGGAAATTGTCCAACTTGGCCTTGCATTTCCAATTCCATGTCTTGCACACGGCATCTGAGATGATGTCGGCCAACTTCTTGTCATCCACCTCTTTGATTTCCATTAATTCATCAGCAGTCTTGCCAATGATCTGTCGACCTGTCTCATCAAAACAGCTGACCCACAATTGTCCAGTATGGTCGCTAATGTTGACGGACATGATATATCGATACTCTGGTTTGGGATGAGTCTTGTCACATCTCTCACATCTCCACTGGCCTGGATCGATTTCGACGACCTTTTTGTTGCAGCCTTCTGACAAGCAAGCTGGGTAGCAGAATGTATCCTGCTTGATATATTGAACTGACGCCTTGAGGGAGAAGAAATCCGCATTCTCTGACATGCCTAGTTGTTCATCTTTGATCTGAGCAATCGTCTTGAAGGGATCTCGTCGTGTCCCACCCGCCGAAACAGTGCCTTGTACACCAGCATGGGTGGCAAAATTGTCAGACCGTCCATGGTCGTCGAACCAGCCCTTCAGTTTGTGTGCTTCGGGCATATCTGGGTTGGCTGAAACAGACCCTGAACTAAGCAGACTCAAACTCCGCCCACCAAAATCCGACACTTTGACTCCTTTGAATGCCACAACCGATTCTGGAGGAATATCAAATGATGCGGCAGTTTTACCCCAGACGGTCAGCCGGACAGAGTAGCCGGTGTTGTCTACCAGGGTCAGCTCTCGTTTGTCGTACGGCTTGCTCGTTGTCTTGGAGGTGATCTGAGAAGTCTCTCCGACATCCTTCAAGACCCCAATAATGTCGATGGTCGTGTCCTTCTCAACTGACTGGAGGTCGGCAATCGAAGTAAAGTTGTACCTAACTTGTGGCACTCCGTCTTGTTCTTCAGCTTTCTCGACTATGGTGTCCTTTTCGAAATGCAACTCGTAGTCATTGGGCAGGTTTGAGAATTGTTTCTTGGCAAAGGTGACTCGACAGGGCGAAGTGATATAGTAGACGCTACCTTCTTGGAATAGGTCGTAGAGTTGATCACACTGCTCATTGAAACCGGTGGCGCGAATCTCACCGCTCTCATCGAGCAGATTGACACTGAATAGTTTACCCTCGCCATTCCTATTGTGCCATGTTTTGATGTCAGATTTGCTCGTACAGCGAGCCTTGATGGTCCATTTGTTTGAGTAAGGAGAAATCGCTTCGATCGGATGGATGTTTGCGTGAGCAGCAGAGAAGGAGGATTTTGAATGCGATGGCATCGATCGGGGCTTGGACTCTTCTTGTTTGCCATAAAAGCCACTGGTGCCAATGGTTGTAGGATTGGGCTTTGATTCTTCGTCTTCAGCCTTGGCTTCAAAAGGTCTAGGTTCTCCGAGTTTTTCATGCTCGCCGAATTCTTCCAGGACTTTGATTTCAGTGACGATGAGAATGCTAGCAATGGTTAGTTTATTCGAAACAAAACTCGACCGAGACTTACCGTTTTCCCTTGTATGCATTGGCAGAGTAGCCCATGAGCTGGACCAAGACCCCTCTTCGTAACGACTTTTCCTCAACTAGATGATTTTGTTGTGCAGCTAGCATTGTTTGAATGTAATTTTTGGTATCACTGAAGATGACCCGGTGTCGCTCCTGGCCACCTGTCTGTGCAGCGATGGGTTTGATCTGGACACACTGCATGACTGGATGTGGTTCTCTTCCCGGACGGTCTTCAAAGATATCGGCGAGGGAGCCTGCGTCGATGCGGGCGAGCGCCGCGGCCACAGAGGATGTCATATTGATGATGGAGTCCTGCAAATTGAAGGCGGTGCTTGAGGTAGATCTGAATACACGAGGACTGCAGAGAAGGGGCGGGTATCCTGGCTGATGCGAGTTCAATTGTTTGTCAGTGGCGATGAGGGGCGAAGGTGCCTGCGAGTTCTCAAGTTGTCTGCGACGCGTACAGACGCGTTAATGGAATTCTTGGCATTTTGTCAGCAAATCACGTGATCGCACGTTCTTCTTCTACTCGGAGTGCGAATTCGGCAGACTTCTGCAGGTATTCCATGTCAATCTATGATGAAACAACCATACAACATAAGTGTACATATCAGGTGCTGATGTTCAAGCCATGTCTTATTTTTCCCTGCCTGCATTTCACTGCAGTAGGTTGTGGAAAGGTATCGCCGAGCATAGGTCAATCTCGCCGAATGGGACTGACACCATGTGTGTACGAGTAGTATGCAGAACAAGCAAGCCTAACACTGTTGTGGCAGTGCGTCCGCAATATCGTCTGTAAATGTGGTTTGGCGTCCGATCCACTGTAGGAATGTGTTGCATCCCCGCCGATGTCCGGTCACTCACCCGGGTCATTATCTGGGGAAGTGTTGTTCGGGAGTTGGTGAGTAGATGTGAATGGTCTCTCCACTCGATCCACGAAAATGCCACGCACCTAAAGCGGACCAAGACCACAACGTCTTAATCACCGTGGCGATCTGTTTTCCCCATCCAATTGATCCATGGAGATGTTCTTCTGCACTTGGAGTTGATGCAAGAGGAGCCAAATCTGGTTTGTCGAGCTAATTCCGGCGGATTCCCTGATTGGGCTGCAATGCTCCATCTCAGAGACAAACCTCGGACTTCTCAGAACTTGATAGCTAAGCATTTGGTGGATGCGCAAAAGATTTTAGGATATCAACTAGATCGGACTCTTTCGGCCAGATCAATTTGATTCAAATAGACAACCGAGGCTCATCTAATTTCCTAAATAAAATATCACTTCATACATTGCTCGACACCATCCATCTGAACCCAGTCTAGACCTTGAAGGCAACCCCGCAATGGCAGCAAAAACAATGCAAGCAGTGGTCTTTAAAGACAAGTTGAAAGTTGAAATTGAACAGCGACCTATTCCTCAAATTCAAGACCCGACCGATGTAATTGTAAAAGTGCGGTATACCGCGTTATGCGGAAGGTATGCAATACGAGGCGATGTTCAACTACAACAGCTACTAATTCCACAAGCGAACTTCATGTCTTTCGGGGTCATCAACCGTCGCCAACAGGATTTATCATGGGTCATGAATTCACAGGCGAGATCTCAGAGGTCGGTCCGGGGGTAAAAACTCTTGCAGTTGGCGATCAAATCGTCGCACCCTTCACCCTCAGTTGTGGCGAGTGTTTCTTTTGCAAGCGTGGCTTCTCCTCGCGATGCTCTTTGTGCAAACTCTTTGGAACCACCGCGCTGGATGGTGGCCAGGCCGAATATGTTCGCATCCCTCTTGCCGACTCAACGATCGTCAAGGCTCCCCCTCAGATCGATGAGAAGAAGCTCGTCCTCATGGCAGATATTTTCCCCACTGGGTATTTTGCAGCCTCGAATGCTTTCAAGGCGTTGAATAAAGAAGAAATCAGCGATAGCGTGGTTTGCCTCTTCGGGCTCGGCCCAGTGGGTATATGTGCTTTGGTCAGCGCCCTGACCTACAAACCCAAGAAAATCATTGCCATCGACAGCGTCAAGGAAAGACTAGAACTGGCTGAGAGTCTCGGCGCCGAACCCTGGAATTTCCAAACTCAAAAAGAGGGTCTGCAAAACAGAGTCAAGGAATTGACAGATGGGAGGGGCGCCGATGTTGTTATCGAAGTGGTTGGGCACAGTTCAGCTCTCGAGCTTGGCTTTGAGCTGTTGCGCCCATGGGGAACGATCTCAAGTGTTGGTGTCCACAACGGCTCTATCCCATGGAGCGGGAACCAGGCGTATGGGAAGAACTTGAGGATTCAGATGGGGAGATGCCCTGTCAGAAGTACGTTGAAGCGGGCCTCACATATCCTGGCTTGCATGAGTTACTGACACATGCAGGTATTTTCGAGGACGCACTAGCACTTTTGGCCGAGAAACAGGACAGCTTGGAGTGAGTGCTGAAATCTATTTTTAACGGACATCCACTAACCTTGAGATCGTAGCTTTATGGTCGGCGACATCAGACCACTTTCGCAAGCCGTGCAAGCGTAGGTCTTGGACACAATGAGACAATGAAGTATGCTGACAGATGCTAGCTATGACGATTTCAATCAAATGAAGACACAAAAGGTGATTTTTGACGCCGCCAGCTGATTCGGATAGATCTGGGAATGTCACTGGATGGTGGCTAGTTAATGGGACATTAATGGCCAGAATGTTCAAATTGAGGCTTTCCTTGACCATATCTTAAATACCTATAGTACGAACTTGGTCCTGTCCCATGGATGCGTACATTATATCGAGGGAAAACCCAACGACCTGTACATAACTTGAAACACTTGAAACAACCGAGCTGGAGGCCATGGAATACAGGAGGAGAATTGATGATATGCTCCGCGTTAGTTGATTCAGGCAAGCAAAGAGGTCACATGTGCAGTATAGGCTTCAGCTCGCCAGCTCCTCTTTGATTGGTCAATCGTGACATGTCACGGTGGGGCTTCGATATATTCGAGAGGTACCCAGGCACGTCAGGTACAACATCATCTCAGCAATTTCAACAAACAACACCTTTCAGCAAGTCATTGCGGCTATTTCCGACAGCACCAGACAGTATATTACCTTATACCTGAACATCTTTCATCTTCTACGCCCCGGACGTGGCTCACGCAAGTACCACATCGTAGCAAGTGATCAAGCCACAACTCCAACATGGCTGATCCTGCCATTGCAACTCGAGCACCCGAGTCGGACCTGACAGAACCTTCTGCCATCTCCAACACAGATAGCACAGCACAAGTCGGGCCCAGTATGGGTGAACACTGCACCAGTGATCGGCCTCCTCCGGACCCATCACGCCGCCCGTCTGGACAACTGACCAAATTTGATGACACTGACGTCTATATCTCCAAACCTGCTGATTATCCCAACACGCCAGCAAAACTCCTTCTGCTCCTCTCCTCCGGAACCGGAGTTCACAGCGTCAACAACCAGATCCAAGCCGACATTTTCGCGCAAGCAGGCTTCGTAGTCATCATGCCTGATCAATTCGGGGGGGATCCCGCACCAAATTCTCGAACTGTGCCTGATGACACTTCCGAGCAACAGGACATTGGAATCTTGGAACGTGTCAAACTCACTGTCGCAGACACGGCAAAGAGTTTCTTAATGGATATGTGGCTGGCCAGACAAACTCCTGAAAAAGTGTTGCCGATTTTACTCAAGGTCATTGACACTGCCAAAGACGAGTATGCGGACGCCGTGGAGCACGGTGGTGGCATTTATTCGGTGGGATATTGCTTTGGTGGTAAATATACCATTCTCCTAGCTGGCGAGAGAGCTAGCTCCGACCTATCGGGTCAGTCGGCCGCCGGGAAAGATGAAGAGCAAGGTGTAGTCAAAAAGGGACCGCTGATCAAAGCCGGAGTTGCTGCTCATGCAACATTGGTCACGAGGGAAGACCTCAAAGACGTCAAGGTGCCGTTGAGTTTAGTTGTGGTTGGTGAGTTGTGCGCCAAGTTGAGACTGCGAGACATACCATTTTTGGGCAGACTATATCACTATTCTCTTGGAGACACGCTAACGACTGACTGCTATGAACAGAAAATGATCCCTTGTTTCCAGATGACGTTCTCGAGGAGGGAAGGAAACAGTTTGCCACGACGAATCTGGAACATCAGATCAAGACTTACCCAGGCGTTCCTCATGGTAAGGGCATTGCTTCCCCAAACAAAAGTCCTATTCTCGAGATTCATGGCTACGAACGCCCGCTTTGGTGAATGACATTGCTGATCCGATACTCTATCACAGGTTTTGCAGTTTACGGAGACTATGATTCCCCCTCCATCCAGAAATCTCAAGCAGAAGCATTCCAGCAGATTCTCGGCTGGCTAGAGTCTCACTGAGTTGCAGCTGGATGGACGTGACCAGACCTTTGTAAGACAAAAGATTGACGAGGAGACCACTGAACGCTGAATGACAAGTTGCGTCTTACCCGAGTTGAAAAGCTGAGGTGCATTTCATTGGTTGATATATGTCGAGGTGCGTCAAACCGGTGAAAGTGGCAGCATGAAGCGACCTAAAACGAGTTTCTGTACCCAAGCAAAATGTAGCACGATACCCATGTGAAAAATCACAACGGACTGAAATGAAAATGCGCTGTAACATGACGGATTCACAGAATACAGGCACAGTTGTCGAGGATTGACCAGGGCGGCAGTATACAGATCATGAGAGTTCCCTAGCGGCCGATCTTCGAATTTTGAATGAATCAATTGAAAACGGCGCCTGCTTGATAGACTCGACGTTTTTCGACTGATGACGAGATTTATCAGCCCATCAGTAACTGCAATTGTCTGTCTCTATAGTATGAGAAATAAGAACTTCGGTGGATGTTGGGTATAGAGAAGTCATAGATTCAGCTTCCCCCCTCGCCTTGAACCCAGAGGAAAAACTATTGACACTGCTCTAGGTATGACCCGGCCGCGATGCATTTGTCTCCTCATTTCTGCATCATCAGTTGTACAAACTCGTTGTCTAATACCCTTGTTAGTTCGAATTGCATGACACGAAGTACTCGTTCACAGAAATCGTTGTAACATGAACAACCTAGGATCAGAGGAAATACTCACAGTCGATTCGGCCATCGCCATCCTGGTCGGCCTCTCTGATCATCTCGTCCACTTCATCGTCCGTGAGCTTCTCACCAATTGAAGTCATGACGTGGCGCAACTCGGCGGCAGAGATAAATCCGTTGTTGTCACGATCAAAGACTTTGAACGCTTCTCGGATCTCTTCTTCGGAATCCGTGTCCTTCATCTTGCGGGCCATCATTGTGAGAAACTCTGCCCAACTATTAGCTAACCTTCGTTAACCGTGCATGACAATCCTCATACCCGGGAAGTCAATTGTGCCGTTGTTGTCTGCGTCTACCTCATTTATCATGTCTTGTAGCTCGGACTCGGAGGGATTCTGGCCCAGAGATCTCATGACGGTTCCCAGCTCTTTAGTTGTGATCTGGCCTGGAAGGTGCGAATCAGTGGCTGCGATCGTGCGTGAGGGTACCGGAGAAAGGGTAGATGCTCTCCGAAGATTGGATACATACCATCACCATCTTTGTCCTGAACACGGTCAGCGGGGTAGACAGGTATTTGTCGTCGGTGAGACTTACGAAGAGGGAAAACGCCTCCTTGAACTCAGAGACTTGTTCTTCGGTGAGGGAGTCAGCCTGAGCGAGACCAGTCAGTATGAACGATTCTGCCACGGGTTCATCCCAATTGCAAGCGCGTAACAGTCTCACGAGGGGTGTTTCCTAGAAAGCGAAAATAGTGTAGCATACCATGTTGAGAAGTGTGCACGATGTTGAAGAATCTCCTGTCAGGTGAAAGTTGAAGCGTATACGTGTGTATTTCTGCGCGCTCAAGGACTCGGGGTGGGAGGGATTAGGAAGGGTATGGTTGTTGTCTGGAGTATGGGGAGGTTGAGGGAGCTGAAGACAGCGTTCAAAAGTGGTCGAGATCTAAGGTTCCAGAATCAAAGGCAGATCAAGTGGCCAGTCTAACCTGACCCTCTACCATGGATTGGTGGGTGACGTTAGTGGGCAAACACTGGAAATGCTGGTGATGGTGGGGGATCATTCACACAGTAAGTAGTGGGTGCGTAGCCCCTCGGCCTTCTGAAACAAAACCATGGGCATACTGCCAGGGGTTGAAAGGGGGGTCCTTCAGCTTGCCAGGAGCCCAATGCACCCCCGAGCTACTTGTTATTACTGGACGGGGCACCCTCCTCAGATCCGCCAGTGCTTACTTACTGAACGGTTGGTCCTAACTAATAAGCCTTACAAGGGGCCGAAGGGGCCGCAAAGGTTGGAGCCACAACGCAGCTGGTGACAAGCCACGCAAGCAACAAACATTGGAGCCTAGAAGTACACGCCAGGGAGCAGGTGCCCGCAGGGCAAGGCACAGCAAGGCAGGTGCCATCACCAGCCACCGGCACCGGATAAACCTACACTTCCGGAGGCCAGCGTTGGATCATCCCTCCACCTCCTGTATACAAGACTGATCTTAGGACTGTCATAGTCGCCAACTACATCTTGTGTGTGATTGTAGCCACTGGACGCCTGTGTATTGGTCAAAAGCCCTGAGTTCTTCTTGGGCTCCCTCTCCCTTGACCAAATTCCTGCTTCCTTGGTTCTAATGCAGCATGACAACCGCTTTCCTCTGGCTCTCTCAAGCAGGCTTCACATGTAGATGAGACTACAAAGCCTCAAGATCTCATCATGTGGCGAGATCGAACAAATCTGTCAGGATTCTCCTTCGCACTCCATCGCTATCTACTGACCGTGCTCTAGCTACATCTCCTACCGCCAGTCCTATGCACACCGTCCCGCGAAGAAATCCCGCTACGCCGCAGCATCCAATGGCTTCGCCGATCAGTCCTCTGAGGAGACCAGGGGGCTTATGTCTGCTGGGGCCTACGACAATGACGGAGATGCCGTCATAGAAATGGACTTACTACCTCCCCGCTGGGTCGATGTTCAGGATGAAGTGGGCGACGTTCTCAAAGACATCACACTCAAAGCCGCCAGACTCGATAAACTTCACGCCAAACACGTCCTTCCAGGCTTCGACGATGACTCGGTCAAGCAACAGGAAGAACGAGAGATTGAGCAAATCACACAGGAAATCACGAGAGGATTCCAGGAATGTCAGAGAGCAATCAAGCGCATCGAAACCATGGTCAAGGATGCTCGACAATCGGGGAATCTGCAACAGGGGGATGAGACCATGGCCAAGAACATCCAAGTCGCACTTGCCACGAGGGTGCAGGAGGTAAGCGCCACATTCAGAAAGAAGCAGAGCACATACTTGAATAAACTACGAGCTTTGGGGGGATTTGAGTCGCCAGTCGGTCGCTCGTCTACTCCAATCCCGCAAAACCCATACTCCGATCCGGCTTTGATGGAATCAGATGCCGACAAACGATTCAGCCAGTCGACTTTACAACAAACAGCACAAAAGCGTCTACATCGCAACGACGCGGCCATCGCACAGCGCGAGCAGGAAATTAATGACATTGCCAAAGGCATCATTGAATTGGCCGACATATTCCGCGATCTCCAAGGCATGGTCATAGACCAAGGGACAATGCTTGATCGAATAGACTACAACGTTGAAAGGATGGCAATTGATGTCAAAGGCGCCGAGAAGGAACTCATCGTCGCCACAAATTACCAGAAGCGAAACACAAAGAGGAAGATACTGCTGTTATTATTACTGCTTGTCATTGGCATGTTTGTCTTACTTTTGATCAAACCCAAGGGCAAATCACAACCGCCTCCACCACCTCCAACAACACCTGATCCCGCGCCGCCTTGAACGAAATTAGGTTGGCCTTCAGCTTCTTTCCAAGCGCCATTCTTGATATGCCGAAGCAGATTTCTTCGCATCAAGCCCGGCCACCGACCAGCCCTTCGACCCAAAGCTGTGCGCTACACGCGTCTTTTCTGGCGAGCTGTCGCCAAAGAGAACAACCTCTTCGCCCGGATGGCGTGTGTTTACGAGCAAAGCCTTGTTTTCGCTTGTACACCTTCGAATCTGAGGATGGCGGTCAATCAGACCACGTCGAAAGCAATCCCAAAGGGAGGAGAGTTGGTCATGAACTCCTCTTAACTGCAGGAGATTCTTGAGCTTATGGCAAGCTTTCTCCCATCAAACCCATATGCCATCTCATTGCGAAGCCCAAGTGTGGCATACTAGCATACGCAACAATGGACGATGGACATTAAAAAATGGATTGCCGTAGCCGGCGAACTCTTTGTATTCCAGGTGAAAGAGGTACACCCTCCTTGGTGTACTGGTCGAACAAGGTCAAGATTCAGGCCTTCTTGACATTAAAGGTCTAGGTCTGCTCGATTGATTAGGATAGGTCAAGTTATGGATCAGAACAGCGGCTACTGGCCCTCGCCAGCGTCAATCATCTTGAATTCTCGATGTCTGGGAATTGAACGTCTGGCGTATCATTGGAGAAAATCTCTCTAGGTATCCATCCCATTTCAGTCGCTGCTCACCATGCATGCGCATAGGTCGTAAAACACCGCTGTCATGATTAATGTTATAATATTACTCTCAATGTATGGCGAAGGTTTTCTTCTCTTCATCTAGAAATGAATTTGACTTGTAGTCAGTCCTGTCTTCTCGTAGATGTTAGCTCAAGGTTGATTTAGTTTCGGGGCGGTGATAGATAGTCGCAGAAGTTATATTTTAATTTTGAAATTTTTAGTCTCTCGAGGCCACGGGCGAATTCTTCATCCATGAAAAATGTAACCTTGACTTGCGCTTATGGTCCTATGGCTCAAGCATTTGCTTCTTGTTTACCCATAGAGGGAGGTAAGGTAGATTGGATGGACAACATATGGTGGCAACGGCCACGAGAAGTGAAGCCAATATTTCTCTACTGGCATTGCCCGAACACATACATATATACACAATATATATAGACTGTAGCCGCTAGAGAACGAAAACAGCACCAAGTCAGGAAAGTAATGCCTGATCAACGCGTAAAATGGTTCGCCTATCACAATGTAAAATCATGTTCATTCCCGCAGCACCGGATGCCTTCAATGTCCGAGAGGACGAGGGATCAAGAAACCGTGCCGGCGAGGTACAATGGTCGAACACCAACTATTTCCTGCTTCTTACGCGCCTGCGAGGGAGGCCGGCTACCAGTGGGACCACCCGAGGTCCCCACATGGTATGAAGTTGCGGCTTGAGTGGCATGGGATGTGTATGGCTGTCTTTGCTGGTGTTGTCGTTGTTGCTGTTGGCTTCTATCGTCGCCACTTCGACCACTCCCACCGCCACTCCCGCTGCTCCCACCGTCCATCTGCAAGTCTCTCAGCTTCTTGGCCAACTCGGTTCCAAGGTCGCCAGACTCGGGACCTGCTGGCTTTCTCGAGACAGGAACCTCTTCCTCCTCTAGACGTTTGTTCCGAAAGCCTATCCCTTCCCTTCCGGGAACAGGAAGCTCCACAGTTCTAGCACCCAGTCTCCCCTTGATGTCTTCAAAAAGAACTTCCATCGGTGCAATGTATGCCGTCTTGCTCCTGTCGCCCCACGCAAGTACGTGACCACACAAAGCCCCGTTGACGGGATCGTAGACCCATGCGCCGCTGTCACCGGGAACGCCGAACCCGCCTTCTACGCACCAAGAGGTGCTGAAGGAGGAACGCCCGTGGAGTTTGACCAAGGCCATGGCTTGGCTAATCCTGCCTTTGCGGAATCCACTGCTACGTCCGTGGCAGTGGACATGTAGACCGGACAGTTGGGTCATTGGAGTGACACATGTCAAGACTGGGAGGCTAGGCAGCTGTTTCTGCGTGGGTCGGATCCCTGGAGTGGGCTTGCGGGAAATGCTACGCGACGATAGATTGCTAGAATGCGGCGTTTCGCCAGTGGAACAGAGCTCGTCGCGCATGGTGTTGTCGATCTTCAGGCGCTCCTGGTTGACTTTTATCAAGGCCCAATCGACCTCATGCTTCATCTCGCCTCTAACCACTCTTCGAATACCACTAGTAGCGAAGATGTATCCGAAAGAGTGGCTTGCAAGATGGTCGTCGTCGCGATCTTCTTCGCTGGGAAAGAAATCGTCGTCGACATCATCGATTGCGGGCTGCGTCACGGTGAAGTCGTCGTCCGAGTAGGGTGCAATGCCACACTTGTCGCCGATGCTGGCTGCATCGTCAATATCGTCGTCAGAGCTCGAGCCCTCATCGTCTTCTTCACTTCCTTCGTCATCTTCGAGGCCAGGAGGGGAGTCCTCCAAAAACCAAAACTCATTTCCATCGGCATCCATTATTGCGTAATCTGGTCGAATGGTGCTGGCGTCGGATTCAGACCCAGAATCTGCATCATCGTCACTGCCTTCGAAGTCATCATCGGAAATCTCAAAATCTGATAGTCTTTGTGACAGGTCTTCTTCGGACTGCATGTAGCGTAGATCTGCTGCAGCGTCGAACTGCCCCGGAATTTTCAAGGGAGCTGCTGCTCGCCTCGGGTGTTCCGAACGAATTGGTTGACCATCGTCACATTCATCGTCGGAGGGTACATCCAACATGTGATGGACAGTCATTCCATAGGGATCTCCATCGACAAGAATCGTTCCGCCAAAGGAGACTGGTGGGAGATGTTCAGAGTCCTTGAATGCGCCGATGCTGGCACCGGCCGCTGGTCTTTCCTGATACTTCTGCTCCTTTGGTTTGCATGGTGTGGGCTTGCGACCTTTGGACTTTGAGCTGAAGGCTGATCGCTTAGAATTTCGTCTGGTTCCGCTCCTCCTGACCTCTCCACTGAGAATGACAACACCCCAGCCTTTTTTAGGTCGGAAACGTTTCTTCAGAGCATCGCGTACCTTGTTGATTTGGGTGCACTGTACACAGATTGTGGTTTTTGCAGTCTCTGCGGCGTTCCCAAACATCATCAGACTGAGGCTGCATGATTCAGAAGAGTCCTTTAGGGCCGCATTAAGGATTTTCCCCAGTTTCGGCATCAGATTCGTGTTCCATTGATCTAAATCTTCTTGCGGAATATCGACCTGGGGCCATTTCTTCATGGTCACGGGGCTTGCGGCAGTCTCTTTTTGGGCCAGATCAGCCTTGTGCTTGGGCTGAGCTGCCTCCAGTGGCAAGCGAGCAGCTTGGCTTTCGTCAGGGATCTGTGAATGCTGTTGCTCTTCTTTCTCCAAAGCGGCATTTTCTTCGGCCTTGCACATCTGCTCGATGATCAAGAGTTCAAAGACCTCGATATCGGATGTAGGAGGCGGCCCCTGTTCATCAAGGGCGCAACACTGTTGGAGGTCTTTGGCGATCTGCAGAAGAAACGCACCGGCGTCCTCGTAATTGTTTCGGAATTGCAGCTCCGCGGGGGCCTGCAAGCATTTCTGGACAACTCGCATGTATTTGGTGCCACATTTGGACGACAACTTTGGTGAGTAGACGTGAAGAACTCGCTCCATGAAAATGGTGCGGGTGTATTTTGGTTTCCACAACTTGGTGAGGGGGATCCAGAGACCAACTTCAAGCAGCAACAGTCCCAGGCTGTAAATGTCAAATGCTGGTACGGTCTCAGCAGCATGGATGTCATGTTCAGGATGGCGATAGATGCTAGCAGCAAAAGGCTCTTCTTCTTGCAATCGGGAGACAAAGTCTTGGCACGACTGGAGGAGGTATGGAGATCTTAGCTCTTTGGAGGTACTCGAACGGTGGGTTTGGGCTTTGGAACCGGCGATGATGATGTTGGCACTGTTGATATACTGGTGTGTCTCTCCCTGAGAGAAATATCCCATGATGGAGAGCGCAAGGTTATATGCGAGTCGAAAGCGATCTTCGAGTGCTGGCTGTGCTGACTCTGTGTTGTTCGCATTAGAGATGACGTCGCCAAGGGTACGCTGTTGTTGAAGGCTCTCTGGGTCATGTAAACTTGGCAAACCATATATTATCCCGCACCGAGGCGTGTTGGGATCGACAGTAAAGCCCAATAGTCTGAGGTGGCCGACCCAAGACAGACTGCGGTTCTTGCATAGTTTCTGTCCCAGTTCGTGGAGCTCAAAGATGTCATCAGCGGTTCCAATGACATATGGCGGACAGTCTGTGGTGAGGTAGTCGACAAGCACAGGTTGACGAGCGGTGCGGTAGAAAGCGATTGACCTTTCTCGGACCAGGGCAGGGCCTTCGCTTGGGTCATACGGAGGAGGTTCGGCGGCGTCAGAGAAGTAAGCATTGAAATCCAAGTGTTGGAAGTCAATGTGGAGTGGGTGATCATATAGGTGACCATATTCTGAGGTGTTTGAATCATCTTGTTTCCGAATCGTTCGCTTAAGGTCGCCCTTTTCGTCGCCCGGTTTCGTGGTGGATTCTGACAGGCTGTATAGGACATCGATGCAAGTAGTGAGTTGCTCTAGAAGTGCTCGACCGGTTTGAACTTCATGGGCGGTCCAGTCTTTCCGTTGCGCTACGGGGGACCCGGGACCTCTCATAGACTTTCCAGTCATTTTCAGTTCGTACTTTTCGGGGTGTTCGAGGCGGCCGCTTTCCTCGAGCAGGCGTTTAATCTCGGACATTACACTGGCGACAACCTCACCAAGACCAGCTTGGTCAATCTTCTTATCGATGTCGACATCACCCTGACCTGGGGTCCCCACATCGGTCCAATGCATACCCCATGCCAGGAGACGGTCTTGTTGGATCTGAAAGTCCTTTCTCAGATCTCGAACGTCGGCGGGATCATCAATGGTGATGTTAGACGTGGCCTTTACCGTCTCGTAGGACTGTTTGGTATCGGAATACAATTTAGAGAGTCGTTGAAGATAAGTGCCTCGTCGGTGAAACATGGTGGCGTGTGTGCGCTCCAGCGCGAAGTGTGAGCTCTCTCTCTCTCTGGCAGTGGAAGCGGTTTAATCAAGCCTCATTCTGACCTGTCTGTTGCCATGAAGCTGAAATGGCCAGAAGCTGACGAGGGTACTTATTTTGATGGTGAATTGTAGAGACTCAACGACATGAATGTGCAATTCAGACTGTATCAAGAGGAAGGCGCGGGGTGGAGGCCCAAGGGCATATATCGGAGAAAGCATGAAATCCTGCTGCCTGCCAATCGAGGCCAGCTCATTTGCCACAGCCCGGTGAGAGTGGAGCCATTCACAGGCCACCGTTCCTCCACACCAATCATCCTTCCCTCCACTATGCTCAATCCGTGCCTAGAAACGACCTGTTTGTCTGGACCACTAGGCACCTGTCAAGGTACCTGACCGCGCCTAACCTGCATTCACGCAGCCTACGCGATTGCGTGCATCTCTACTTAAAACTGGAGTGACTGTTTTAGGCTCCCCTGAAGCGGCCGAGGTCGACTTCGATACAGATGCAGCCTCAGATAATCTTAGATGCTCCGAACTTCAATTGGGGACAGGATTGATGCCATTACCATCTACATACAGGGCGACCCTCGAAATAGACCTAAGTAGACACAAAATATAAAACGACTTCACTTGATGGTGGACGTGTGAGCCCCTGCGCCTGCATGGCGATATGAGTGCTTACTTGACGAAGGAGAACATGTAGTCAGGTGTCGATATAATTACGTGCAGGAATCATGGTCAGCCTTCTGAGGCATCAGACAGGATGACAAGAAGAATTTTACATTCTCTGAAATTGATGATGCATTTGACTACCTAGCTTAGCTGATGCTGCAAGCTCTGTAATAGGGAGGTTACAGATCTCCCATTCAAGATACAGCCTTTTGGTCAAAAGCAGAACTTGAAAAATCCATCAAATCCCAGGTGCAGTCAAGCTGCAAGTACGAAACCCATTGCGCCAGTCATCAACCATGAAGCACCATAACCCGTGACCATTGTAGTAATCTAATAGAGTTGCCAAAAATGGTAGTGCATTTAGCCACCAAAACCGTAGAGGGTGCGGCCTTGACGCTTGAGGGCATAGACGACGTCTGTATTTTGGTTAGCAAACATGTCATGTTCAGAGTGAACCATTGGTACTCACCAAGAGATGTGACGGTCTTTCTCTTTGCGTGTTCAGTGTAGGTGACAGCATCACGGATGACTGATTCGAGGAAGGATTTGAGGACACCGCGAGTCTCTTCGTAGATCATGGCAGAGATACGCTTGACACCGCCACGACGAGCCAAACGACGGATGGCAGGCTTGGTGATGCCCTGGATATTGTCGCGAAGAATCTTTCGGTGGCGTTTGGCACCACCCTTTCCGAGGCCTTTTCCGCCTTTACCGCCTGTAACAAGGGTTGTCAGTACGTGTGATGATAGTTGAATGGGTGCGTGTGTTCGAAACAATCGCGGATGTGTCGATGAGTGAGGATCATCCGGAGCGAAAGCAACCGAACGGGAAGGCGACGATGTCATGCATTTGCAGCTCGACAAGGCCTGACCACACGTTGAGTGTCAATGCAGAGGGTGTACTTACGTCCAGTCATGTTGATAGAAGGGTTTGAAGGATGTAAAGTGGTAGAGAGAGGTTGTTGTTGATGGTTGGTTGATGAAAATTGGAAGGATGCGCGGTTGTCTGGGGTAGACGGAACAGGTGGGCGAAGGAAGAAAGAGAAGCAAAGAGAAGTGGGAAAGGCGGGAAAGATGGGAAGCGGGATTATAAGGTAGAAGAGGACAGGGCGGATGTGAATCACGGAAGGGGCGAATGGTGGGATCAGAGCTGTCGGGCAGAATCACTGCGGATGGCTTGGCAGGGTTGATTGATCCTCCTGCCAAAACAAAGGTCATGTCAAGGCTCAAAAGATGTGCTGGAATCCAGAGTGAAATCAGTCCATGCTTTTCTGCAATCTGATTCGCCGTGATATTTCGATTCCAAGGTGACGCCTGCATGCAGATAATCACGTGAGATTAATTCTCCGAATAATCCTTGGCAACATCGTCACCAAACTTTTGGAGGCATACGGAGTAAACCAATCGTGGCCCATCCACCCCGTCCTGCCTGACCAATGAAATGTTTGGAAGCGGAGCGTTGGCACAACATATACCTCCGTAGTCCCTATGTACAAATACTTGGATGGACAAGTCAGGGGAACAGGTTGCTCCTAGGAGATACTAAGTATGTGTTTCATGATTTATTGTTACATGCGACATCTCCGTGCCCGACACTCAGCGGCAAGCATGTTTGGTCCTCCTAGAATCTCTGATAGCGTTGCCGCTCCTTGTACTTTGTGTAGCCGATATAACCGCCTCCAACCAAGCCGGCGAAGAAGATAAGTTTAAAGAAAAACCATCCCCAGCCACTGCTCTGTTTAGGTGGTCTGCCTCTTCCGCTCGACCTGGCAGCTGCTGCCTTTGCCCTCCCTGTGTTGGCAGCCACAGGATTGTATAGATTTCGTGTTTCGACGCTGATGATGTCGAAATTGTCAGTCAGTTCACCAGTGTGGGCACTGAAGCCGAGGTATGCAGTATTGGGCATCTTGAGAGGCTGTTTCGCGGTGGGTTCGATGGTGAAGCAGTCAATCCACGTATCTGCAGTCTTGTATTGCAATTTCAAGCTGAGCGATTTGTCCTGAAAATAGGTCAACTTGGCCCTGGAGGGCACGGTCGATGCACGAAGTCCTCGAGCCTGTGATGGAGTGTCAACAGAATTCCAGAGTTACATGTGGATCGACTCTTACGGAGCAGCCGCCAATCTCGTTGGCCTTGCCATCGTTCGCCAAGTCATATGCTGTGTTGCCATCGCCCATCATTGCCATGACATAAGGAAAGACGACGCCGGGTCGGTTGTTCTTGTACGTGTCGAAGAAAAGACCAATGCCCTCGAACTTGTCCGCGTGGCCAAAGACCGGGCCAGGTTGAGCTCTTTCCTTTGTAATCCACATGGCGAATCCATCACCATGTAGATGGCCCTTTCCAGCTATGGAGAATTCAAACTCCACCTCCCAGTTGGTTGCGGTGATTGGTATTCGAGAGAAGAGCCAACCTGACTGCGAGGGGATGTCAGAGGCCAGTCGAATATATTGATCTGCTCGAATGATGGTGTCGCCTCCGAAGTCAAACCACCGGCTGGACATGTCCGAATCGAGGTATGGAGGTGAGAGGCTGTGGGTGCGCAACTAGATCCAGATGGTCAGCGCAGTCGCAGGCTGGCACGTATCTTTGGAGATGTTACTGGTATGCTCTTCATTTCGGGATCTGCTTCGACAGCAGCTCGTGTGCTCGCTATGGAAACCGCCAGCAGACATAGCGAAGCACATGAGCTTGGAAACCACATGGTTGTGAGACCGGTGCTGAACACGGAGAAACGCTCAAAAATGCTAGAAGGAAAGGATAGAGGGCAGCGAGTCAGGCGAGACCTCACATCAAAGTACTGATACGGTCAAACGGTCCCTGAGCCCGGGCAGATTGGAAAGTGATTATTTTGAAGTGGCGCCAAAAAGAAGACACCGACCATGTGTTAGGTGTCCATTTCAATAATCGCGTTGACGTTGCGGGCCGAGGGGCCTCTGTATGCGCTGCCAAGGATTAATTACCTTAGTTAAGCACTATAAGTAGTCCCTACGCGTTGTTCAATTACTGAAATGGAGGGGTGTGCTTGGGCCAGGGCCCGAAGCGCCCCCTGGACAGTCCGCCACGCCCACCTAGGTCCCGCGGGCCCCCACTATAAGGTATCTTCAATGCTGTTCTCCCCACCGTGGTATATAATCTTTGAGTGGTGAAGGTGATATCTTTGGCCTCAACCAAGAGAGGCAGGGACTACACTGCCTGTTTCCCAGGCTTCTTAGACCGAGGGGCCATTAGTGCTCGACCGAGGCGCACTTTAGCCTTGAAATGAGATGTAGGTTACCATCAGAAGCCTATTCATGTTGAGTGATGATACAGTGAGTGAGTACTTCCTCGACACAACAGCTCCGGAATTCAAGGGCTGTACCGCACTTCCAGCAGGATGTTATCCCGGCCAATCGTTGCATGCCGAATGACTCTCTGGGTTCAGCCAGATCCACCACCACAGCAATTGAACCTTGTCAGAGGCGTCATGTGCAACATGGCTGGCTTTCTGGTCACCCTTTGACGGCTGCCGCTCTTCCATGGCTCATACTCGAGGTGGACAATGCCGTGAGGCGGATGACGGTATGACCTCCAGCTTTGAAGCAAGCGAGCTTTATCATCCTGTTTACTAGTCCTTGATCAAACAAATCACAACACGAATGAATACATCTTGTGCTCTCCAATATCATTCATCAATATGTCTTTCGACAGTTATGCTAAGGTCAAAGGTCTCTTTGTACTAGGCATCACGACCTCGACTATTGCCTCCGGTTGGTCCGGAACACCCAGTCTTTGTCCCATACTGACCTGTGTATTAGGCGGGTTACTGTTTACTTCCTACGTCCACGTTCCGGGATATGTGAAGAACGCCAACGATGAGGTCCTACTAGATCAGTGGCAGACCATGGGTGCCATTGGCAAGTCGATTGTCCCACCGCTGGCGTTGATTGCTGGAGCGGCAAACTTGGCCAATTCGTACTTGACCCATACTCAACCGCAGCATTATCGCTTCATGGCTGCCGGTCTACTAAGCGTGGCTGTTCTTCCATATACGAATCTGTTCCTTGGGCCAACCAATGTTGAGTTGGCCGAGAGGACAAGTAAATCGCAGGACCACATCCCTGAATTGAAGGACCAGACTCCTATTCAACTGATTCAAAGATGGGCTGATCGCAGCGCGGTGAGGGGCTTTCTTTTACTCGCGAGCGCCTTGTTGAGTTTCGATGGAATGCTGCACTTGACATTTTGAACCTGACAAGTTGAACGTTGAGGAAGCAGATGTTATGCAGTCATGTATGCGCTATTTGTCTATAATCTCAGAATGTGGAGAGGGTGATTGTCTGGCTGAAGAATCGGCGACCTATCGCAGACCTTCGCTTGAATTTACTGTATGATTAATCGATACCTAGGTAGATACTTAGTTTTGTCGTTGTATGAAGCTCACAAGTCTGATATTCCATTGCTCGGGGCTGCGGAGGAGGCTCCAAGTGCAGCTCGGCACACCTTCCCCGAACGCCTTCTCGTTAACCAGATTATCGCATCGCCTTCGGATGAAAGAAACTCGTTGCAAGCACTTCTCTCTGAAATACTCAAACATCTGCCTCGAGTCTACAGAAGAGTCGGAAATCATTGTGAAATACCAGCTGCGCCCTACAAGCAGTCACTATCGCCGTTGGACTGTGAAATCTTCGAATCCCAGCATCCCCATCCTTCATCAAAAGCCTAATCGAGACTCCAGAATCATCAACTCATCTCCGATTCAAAAGTCTTTCTGTCAACATGTCATTCGGCGGATTTTTCGGGGGCGGAGGCTCTAAAAAGGGAGGCGAGCAAGAAACAAATGCATCAACCGTCACCGGCATATCATCGTCTCCATTCGAGTCCTCGTCGTCGCCCAGCGCAGTTAGACAAAAGATCCAATCTGCCATTGTTCTCCAAGGCAACGTCGAGAATGCAAAACTTTTGATTCAGAAGGTCAACGAGAATTGCTTCGAGCACTGTATATCCAACCCCGGCCCAAGTCTGACCTCCAAAGATCAGACCTGCTTGAGCGCTTGCATGGAAAAGTACATTGACGCCTGGAACCTGACGAGCCGGACGTACCAATCGCGCCTTCACCAGGACGCTCTCGGCGCCGGTCTTGGTGGCAGTGGCACGGCCGCATCAGCCACTGGCAAGGAGCTGTTTTAGATCAATTCGAAATCTGGATGGATCCCCAAAGAGGTTGATATTTACTGGCGGCAGTGCACCTGTTCGAGGTTGCAGCTTGATTCTCAGCCAAAGTCTTGCCGCCATTCGCTGGGTTTACCACTGATGTCACTTTCCCCAGGTGGTTTACCGGGATCAAGAGACCGACTTGATGACTCAATGTCTTCCACACACACATAGCCTAGCCTAGTAGCCTCGCACGGTCTCAAGGGCGGACTGAAGTTGGAATTCCATAAGAGCCATCCGGACAGTCCTTGCTTGGACCAAAAGCTCATCATGTATTTATACTTATAGCTCACTCTTGAGCTCAGAGGACGGGATTCTACTCTGTACAATAATTCAAAACAGTAGTATAGTTCTCCATTAGAACACCTAGTGAGGCCTATCTGGCGACCTGGAAGGCAATACGTCGAGAGGTTGAGTTCAAGTTTCGCAAGCTCTCAATTGTGCCAAAAATAACTTGATATTGATAGATTTTTAGAGATATCGCTCCAAGCTAACCATCGTTTGCGTCGCGCATGAATTTGATTTCCAAAAGGGACCCAACCCCGGGTTTCGTCCATTTTCTGCAACCAGACAACTGCACAGAACCAATGTCCAAGCACGTTGCTTTCTTTGCTTCCTCCAGAGCACCAACCTGACATACTTCGTTCCCGCAAGATTCAAAGTCGAAGGCAGGACAAAATTGAGCCTGCGACCAAAATTCAAATCCAGAACTGCTTCGTCGAATCTCAAAAATAGATAGCATCCGTACCCAAAGCTTCAGCATTAGCTGTAGCGCCCTTATAAAGCATGTCCTGTCTTGTGCTCATCGTCCTCTCCCCGTTAAGGATATTCACATGGCGGCATTTCTCTCTCCCAAGCATCTCCGTCATAAGACTCTTGCATTCGTTAAAAGTCGGTAAAGTAGTGTCCGTATCTGGTTGGCAGGGGTCAGTTTGGATAAGTCCGAGATTATGACCTAGGCTGGGTTACTCACGGATCATCTCCTTTCTTGCCGTACTCCTCCGTTTCCTCAGGGTACTTGTCGAATTGACTGGCATCGCCCGCACCGCCTTTGACGGGTGGTACGTAGGGAGCATCGATGTCCTTTTTGACCAAACGTTCCCATGTCACTTCTGCAAACCAGGGGTGGTTTTTGATGGCAGCTGGGCCTTCGTGCAGGTTGCCCAATCTCTTGGTCAAGTCGCTTGTGATGAGTTGTACGAGTAGATCCTGTGCATCTTGGTGAATATAAGGAGGGTACTTGACTCGTCCTTTCAGAATGTTCTCATAAATCTTGACAGGACTTCCTCCATCCCAAAACGGCGTGAAGCCACACAACATCTCAAAGATCAAGATTCCAAGCGACCACCTAAGAGATTGTTAGTAATTCATCAAGGCTGAGATGATGCGGGGTGGGTCGCTAACCAATCGACGGATTTGTTGTAGCCCTTGGAAGCCACCACCTCAGGGGCCAGGTAGTCAGGTGTGCCACAGAGAGTCCAGGTGATGTCTGGAACGTCTTTGGCAAAACCAAAATCCGTGATCTTGACATGGCCGTGTCTATCAAGGAGCAGATTTTCGGGCTTAAGGTCTCGATAGATGATGTTTTGTGCATGGAGGTATTCAAGGGCAAGGGTTACTTCGGCGGCATAGAATTTGGCAACCGGGTTGGGGAAACGCTGATTTGAGAGTCAGTCTCGGACAAGTAGCGATCGCATGTCGCCGTCTCACCTGTGATTTTCGAAGCAAGCTGAACAGTTCACCACCCTCTATGAAGTCCATGACCATATAGAGGTTTCTGGAGTCTTGAAATGTGCCCCAGAGGGTGATCAGGAAAGGATGTTTGACTCTTTGCAACATCCTCCTCTCGTCGTTTGTGTGCTCAATCTGCTTCATTTTGACCACTTGCGCCTTCTTCAAGACCTTGATCGCATAATAACGCTGGTTATGCTTTGACTGTACCAAATGCACACGGCCAAAGGAACCGGTGCCTAAAGTTCTTTGGAGGGTGAAGTCCGTCAGAGTGTATTTGCCCTTGGTCTGCCGGCCTGAGGCTTTACTTTCAACGGTGCCGCCTGCTGGGCTGACCAAGTTGGCAATGTTCATGTCGCCGTTGGTTTGAGAAGCTGAAGCATTGGGATCTGGGGCCGAGGTTACGGGCGCGGTGGCTGAGGAGGTCGTTGGGGCATTGGTGGATTGTGTCTTGGAGTTGACTGAAGAGAGGTTGTCCGATTTCTGTGACGATTTGTACTGAATAGGCTGATAACCGCCACCGCTGGCAGCTGCAGACTTGTCTTCGGAAGACTCCTTGGTCTTCTTTTTCTTGAGCAATCCTCCAAAGGTCGGCATTTGGGCGCTGGTGGGAAGCGCACGTTCCCGGAAGTTGGAATGTCAAACAATGAACCAGAGTGGTGAAAGAGAATCGTCTGAGCTTGGAAGCTCCTGATTCGATTCGATTCGCACCGGGTCTGGCAAGAGCCTGCAATGTACAATTGGTACAGTTGGCGTGATTGGGGTTGGGAGGACAGAGGAGTGTGGTGCAGCAATGCAGCTGTGGCAGCTGTGGCAGCGACAGTGGTGACGAAGAGGGGTAACCAGGTTAGAACTAGAGAGCACCGAGTGGTTCGGTTGAGAGTTGGGGGCAAGTCGTAATCCTGGGCGATAAGATCTACACAGTAACAATCGTGGTTCTGAATGGTCTGTGGGCGGGGGTGGGGATCTGGTCAGTAAGCAGATCGCACGTAGGGCGAGGGAGAGCAAGTAGTCCTAGGCTCGTGGTCGGTCGAGGCGCGAATTCTAAAGATGTAGGTGAGTGAAGAGGGAGCTGTCTGTTGATCTGGACCTGTACATGATCAAATAACGATGAGAACAGTTGTTGATGAGGGAGGAAGTGAACTGTGTGCAGTAAGTAGTAGTAGTAGTAGTTCCCAGTGACCACGATACACATGGAGGGGAGATGCACGAAGTGCCGCCAAAAGCAAGGACTCGAGCTCAGAAGCAGGAAAGCTGGTCCACGACGGAGTCCTACTTACCCTGTTGCGCTTGCACACCTGCAGACCACTCCGAACAGCTTGGGCTCGGACACGGGAAGTTTACCTGATGATCCTGGCGCTGCCATCAGACTCTGGTTGTGGATGATTATTGGCGACCAAAGAGGGCACCAGTGACCAGTGAGCATCCCACGAGCTGAGGTACGGGCTACGAGCTACGACCAGCCACTCTGGCACAAACTTACTTACAGTAAGGCACGCCCCCGAGCTTACGGAGTAGGTCCTCAGACACGGCCATAGAGACAAGGTTACAGCTAGGCAACAATCCAGAGCAACTAATAACATGGGGAATGATCACTTTAGTGATGGGTCGTGAGCTCCAGCCCTCTCTCTTGACACGCAAACTAGTCTTTTAGTCTGAGAGTTTATAAGGATTCCCACTGTCACTATACGAGCATGACAATTGTGCTGGTACCTGTGCCTGATGGGTCGACCATTTGAAGCCCATATAGGGGCCTGGACAACATTGTTCAAGCACAACGGGAAGTGCCTGAAGCCTCGTAGATATCGTTTCCAGGCACAAATTGGGGAACCCGGGGAAGCTCGTTTAACCACACGCGGCGTCCACCACCCAAAAGTACCTATCCACCTATAGAGTTATGCGATGTTTGTGACGATGTGACGAGCAACGCTCAATTTTATGCAGGCCCTTGGCAGATTTTTATCACCTACGGAGCTAGAGGACATCGCTTGAGGTACCTAGAGATAGACAACATTTCTATGGGAAGCTGAAGGTATAATCTAGCTCTATCAGTAGGATACGTACATTAATAAAAGCGAGGTATTAGGTACATCCTATAATGTGTAGCACTACATCGGTTGCTCTTCCCTCTCCTCGCTCTCCTCACTCTCCTCACTCACCCACTTTTATCTCGTCTTCAAAGGCCAGAAGCCACACTCGTCACATCCCCACTTTCCTTTTAATCATTCCAGCATTGACGACTTGACTGTCACAGTATGATGATGGGACGTAGCACGATACCTCTCGCGTGGTCCGGTACTACTCGTGACGAAGCGAGTTTATTGTTCACGAGTCGCTGTTCGCCAAATTCGACGATAAAATGAGAACAACAAGACCACACTCGTTCATCTTAATTCTTGCTCCCCGACATCAAAACATTCATATCTGAATACGCTACGTGTCTCATGTGAGGTCTACCGGCTCTTCGCAGGCCAAGCTTCGACCTAGGCTCTCGCTAATCTCATCTCCCGGATTACTTCATCGACAATCTCCTGAGCCTCTCCCGCAGTGCGTGCTTCAAAATCGTATCTCTTGGATTCATTGACCCTTCGAACAAGGACCCTTACAAGCTTGGAGTGCTTCGTGCTGACCTTGCATCGGAGGATGTCGTTGAAGGCGATCGAGCTGAATTTGGCGCTGGAGGTACTGTCCGCTGGCATCACATGAATTGTGTCTCCGTCAAAGACGAGCACCCGTTGACTCCCTTGCGCGAACGGTGCTAGCTGCTTCCGAGTGACATAGTATTTCTTGAAATTGCTGCTGCTTGACATGAGATCCTGCTTCTGCGCCAGTGGATGTAGCGATTGTCCCTTCTTGCCCTTTTTGACGCCCTGGATATCGAGCAGTAGAGGTGCATTAGGCGATGCACTTCCCGGCGACCCTGTCAGGCTGACCCCGGCGCCGAACCTTTTCCTCACAAGATCAAGGTCAGATCGGTTTCCGAGAGCTTCGATGGTCCGATCCAATGGTGCGACCGTATTGGTCCCGGCAACCTTGAGCAGGAAACCAGCTTTTTCCAAATTCCATCGCTTGCATACGTGATCCAAGATTTCTGCGATATAACTGTCCGCTGAAAGCTCCATGGTCATGGTCTGCGTGGCCATCTGAAGGTCGAAGTATCGTACTTTGATGGTTTTGGTGAGTCCCATTCGAGGAGTCGCCTGCGGTCCAGCAGGGGCAGGTCGATCCGCTGGGGTGAGAGCTGTGTTGGACAAGGCTGAGGTGAACGGTTGCCCCGCCAGAAGAATGTTCGTTTTCAAACCGGTGACACGTGCTGGCACCGGCCCATGCGACGGGGGTGAATCAAGGGACATGGCCGGGTTAGCAGTCACCTCTTCTGGGATAGGAGGCGTGAATTGTGGAGTTTCTTTATTGTTGGCCTCCAATTGCGTCGGAGAGGCTTCAACAAGAGCAAATTCATCAAAAGATTTCTCCCTGGAGCGAGCCCGACCTCCACGATTGTTGTTGTACGTGAAATCTGTCACTGGTCGCGTTCGACCTAGGGGAGGGAAATCGTCGTCCACTTCGCCATCCTCCACAATGCGCAGTGTCCATTTGTTGACATTGAGTTGCTCGGGCGCCAAGTTGGGTTGTCGCTCCTCCTCCCCGTATGTCCAGAGGCCGAATCCAATCAGTTCAGCGACACTCGGGGCGTTGCCATCTTGAGAATTTCGAGCCAATGGCATCTCGAGTGGCTCAGTGGCTCGGTCTGAAAAGGGAGCATACATTTTGATCCATAGAGGGTTCGGCGTCCCTTTGCCAGACATTGTTGCGAATGCTTGAATGGGGTTCTCTGGAGTCTTTTTCTGTGCATTGAACGCCGCAGAGAGAAGACTGGTAGGTTGCATCATACTGATAGGGCGTGGTGGAGGTAGCTCATGGAGAATAGAGACCGTGCGGTGCCTCCGGGGAGATTCAGGCACAGGCAATGGGAGTTCCGCGCCCGCTAGGCTATGCAAGCCTGGTGGTGACGATGTGAGAGTTGACTGAGTCATTGGGTTCAGGATAGATTCGGAGTCGACGGTGCCTCCAAGATCCGATGATAAAGCAGAGCCGTCGGAATCGGCATCGGAGTCGTCATGGAGGTCCCCACGCTCAGAGAGTGAAGGCAAATGGCGGATTGAATCATCTACTCCGGTTACTGGCAGCGTGCCAGATCGAGAACTATGGCTTTGATAGAGCTGGCGCCGTTGGAAGTAGGCTGGATCAACCTCGTTCTCGGATGACATGTCGCTACTAGTCGTCGTGTCTCTCCTTGCCCGAGCTTTCACCGCCTCAACCGCCCCGAGAGATCCAGTGCGGCGTCGATTATCGGTGAAGCGTTTAGAAGGCGAGGAGGTGAGTGCTTCTGGTCCATTTGAAGTACGGATGGGCGAGGAGTCAGCTCTATTGCGAGAAGGCATTTTGGCAAATCGGATTTGCTGAGCAGCTCTCTGAGCACCCTCGGCTTCTTCCTCCGATTCATCCGTCAAGTCACTGGAATCATCGTCCTCAACATGCTCCCTCTTCCTCCTTCGACGAGCGTTGAAACCGGGGCCGATGGTGTCATTGCTCGTGCGACCTGTGACGAGTCCGCCTTCATCATCCTCGTCTTGAGCAGATGTTGTTAGTTGTAGCTCGGCGGTGGTCTGAAAGTATTCTGAATTGATTGCGGTGGGTATTGGTGGGGAATAGGTCCGCTGAACTGGGTCTGCAGACCATCCAGCAGCACGAAATCCTGGGGTGTTTAATATTGATGAGTTGACGTTGATCAGTCGTTCTGCAACGCCGTCCTTAACACTTGCAAGATACGACGTCCGAAGATACCAGATGGCAAACCTTGACGTGCTGTAAGCGACTGGCTAGGAGAGAGATGTTATCAAGTCAGGGACAAATCAGCTTACTCTTCGTTTTGCAGTAGAGCCATCTCTGTTTAAATCGAAGGACAAGTATTTCGAGGGTCTATGGGAGACTCCAAGCTGTTGGGCAGTGATTATGCCAGGTTATGCCAGGCTTGTGTCTGTCTGCGCACCCTATGGAGAGGTTCAGCCCAAGCCTGTCCAGCGCGGATGTTGGCTGCGTTACTTAGCCCATGGAGGGAACAACGCGTGAAGAATCGAAAAGGGGGTCAGAGTCAATGGCCATAATACTATGAGACCAAACCATCGGGACAGTAGTGAGTCGAGGAGACGTTCATTTGAAGATGAAGTTGAACTCGATGAGTGACCAATCATATCAAAGGAGGCAACGGGAGGCGGAATTGCCGAGACCCTCCGCCTCTTTCTTCCATGAGCCCCAATTCCCCCTCGTTCTGCACAGTAACTGATGAGGCTGGAAGGCCACAACAAGTAGAATTGAATCTATGTAGTCACAGTTACAGTCACAGTTGGTCGTATATCACGTAAAATTGATGATCATTTGTACTCTAGCCCGAAACACAACCTGTCAGTCTGTGGTCTTGACCGTCTTTTCTTTCCATGAGGGCACATACATCACATCAGGTTACACGACTCGACCTGTGGCCATTATAATTCATTCTAGATTGGCCCAACACCCCACGTCGCCCACTCGACTAGATCTGCAGACCTGTGATCTTGGGGTCTACTTAAAGTCTGATTGTATGCATGCTAGCGACATAGGTGACCATGATTGGGTCTGCCGGGGTAGTCGAATGTGAAGGGGGCTTTAAAGTAAGACCGACCTGCACGCCATCCGCGACCACCATCCCATTCGAGGAATCAAGCAGCTTTCAGATGGGGTGGCTACCCTCCCTCTCTTGCCTAGTTCAAGTTCAAGGCAGCGCAAGATACAGAAGTTACAGCAATATCTTCACTTGAGGACTAGCCGTATCATGTCGTAGTCAAGCGGAGAATCGACCTCTTGGTAGACATGAGATAAGTCGATGGAAGTAGATAAAGAGGAGAAGATCCGAGGGACTTGAAGGTCACTCGGGCTTCGATGTTGAAAACAGACACCCAGACACTCACACACTCACACACTCAATGTTCTGCATGGCAGGCTCGTCACATTGATAATCGGTGCAGGTCAAAGGCATTATCCCATTAATCACTCATTGCCCCTGTCTACTTACTTTGGCGCACTTGCACTTACAATATTGGGTGAGATATCTTGCGCGCACACTTCAGATCCCACGTCTGATGCTGTAGAGCCATGCTGAGGTTGATCTCGCTATGAATCCCTTTCAATGCCACGTCTTGGACGAGGAGAAGAGACCTTCATCAAGCCCGAAGCTACAAAAGAGCTGTAAGAAAACCAAGTAAATGATCAACTGGGGTGACTAAACAATGTGCACAGAAGAACAGAGAAATATGAAAACGAACATCGGTATAGTATATGGATAGAATCCTAGGAGTATCTGGTTGGAGTTTGACGTCCAGGCTACTTACTTAGGTAGCCATCAGCTGGAGGCCGAGGCTCCCCACCATCTAGGGACTGGGTTAGCTGGACCACAGGCGCTTGGCCGGAGGATCCAGGCTCTTCGAACCGCCCCTGGCCTTTCGTAAGGGGTTTTGGGCGTCCCCCGGAGCCCCGGGTCCCTACTTAGGTCATATGGTTTGTCACCCATCCGCCCCTCACTGGCTGAACCCCAAACAGTGCCTTGACCGTTGTTGATCTCAATCGCTGCCCTTTCTGTCTTCCGAAACGTCGAGATATTCTACTGCTGACATTCTTAATCTCCATCCATGTAGGCACCTCGCAGTGGGTTCATTAAGCCTTCCAACACATCCATACGATCCATCCATACTTACAATGAGTCGCTCACTCGTGCCAGCTTGATATCTCCCACCCCGTCAGTCGAAGCAGACGACGAGCGAGACTCGTCGTGGGACGACTCACTCTACGACATGGACGACATGGACGATGCAGCCGATGCAACAAGGTTCGCTGACGAGGATACCCGCCCTACAAGTCAGAAGGAGCTATGGGGCTGGTACTCCTATGGCTGGGCTGCAGAGGTCTTTGCCATCTGCGCAATGGGTAGGTCATCCATCATTCTGCTTGCGCTCCGTTCAACAGACTGACCGTGTTACATCCAGGCTCCTTCTTGCCCATCACCCTAGAACAACTAGCCCGAGACAATGGAGTATTGCTGGAGAATAAAAACATCTCGTGTCAGGCTGGGTCTGCTTCACGGCCAAATCCAATTCCCCCAAATGCTCCCAAACACAGACACAATGAGTTGCCTTCTTGTGTCATTGACATCTTTGGATCCGAGATCAATACTGCAAGCTTTGCCATGTACACATTCTCCATCAGTGTCCTCATTCAAGCCCTCCTCATCATCTCCATGTCGGGCGCTGCCGACCACGGCCGTTTCCGGAAAACGTTCCTCCTTGCATTTGCTTTCACTGGTTCGATCGCGACAATGCTGTTTCTCGGCGTCATATCAAAATTATACCTTATTGGTGCCCTGCTGGCCATCATTGCAAACACCTGCTTCGGCGCCTCATTTGTACTGCTCAACTCGTTCCTGCCTTTACTCGTCAGGCATCATCCATCCATTCAGCAGAGCAGACGCGGCAACCATAGTGTCGCGGATGATGGACAGTATGAGGAGGAACAAGGAGACGAATCGGATCATCCTAATGAGCGAAACCTCAACTCGACCTCTGAGCTTTTGCCTCAAGACCGGCCAGATGAAACTTCGCCCTCGACTGAATCGCCCGCGGCAATCTCTCCCGAGCTCCAGCTATCGACCAGTATATCTTCCAACGGGATTGGAATAGGGTATATTGCAGGGCTACTGGTCCAGACCCTGGCCATTCTTCTGGTCGTTGCGACTGGCTCTACAACCTTTTCACTACGGCTTGTGCTTACGGTGGTCGGATTGTGGTGGTTTGCATTCACCATTCCTGCTGCCCTCTGGCTACGACCACGCCCAGGGCCACCTCTCCCCTCATCTCTGAAAGGTCACCGCGCTTGGGTAGCATACGTCATCTACGCCTGGAAGTCATTGTTCAAGACCATCGGGCATGCAAGGAGGTTGAAGGATATTGTCATCTTTTTGGCCGCCTGGTTTCTGTTGAGCGATAGCATCGCCACGGTGAGCGGGTAAGTTGACAGCGTCCGTGATTGTTCGATGGAAATGCTCACCAGATTTTAGAACCGCTGTGCTGTTTGCAAAGACGAGTCTTGGTATGAAAACCGAAGCCCTGGGTCTAATTAACGTGATTGCGACGATTGCAGGGGTTATTGGCGCATTCTATTGGAGCTACTTTTCTCGTATGCTCAATCTACGTGCTTCTCAGACCATCGTTGCCTGCATTTGCCTCTTTGAGGTGATTCCCTTGTATGGTATGCTTGGGTTCATCCCTGCAATCAAACGGTACGGAGTCTTTGGGCTGCAACAACCTTGGGAAATGTACCCTCTTGGGGTGATATACGGCTTTGTTCTCGGAGGTCTTTCGTCGTACTGCCGAGCATTCTTTGGCGAACTGATTCCCCCAGGATTTGAGGCGGCATTCTATGCGCTTTATGCTATCACAGACAAGGGGTCGAGCGTTTTTGGCCCAGCCATTGTTGGTGCAATAACAGATCGATATGGCGAGATTCGACCAGCATTCGTCTTTCTGGCTGTTTTGATATTCCTACCCTTGCCGTTGATGTTGATGGTTGATGTTGACCGTGGAAAAGCGGATGCTCAGATCATGGCATTGGAGTTAGAAGGGCAGCGCAAGGGAGGAGAGAGATATACTCCAATTCCGACAATTGTTCTCTCGGAAGAGGAAGATTGATGCCCTAGGCTTGGAAGTCGCCTCAGAAACTACGCAGGCTTGGGCCTGTTATTAGGCAGACATCAACTACACAAACATACACTCAATGATGTGAGCATTCGAATTTCCCGCGTTCTTTAAAACTGTCTTCAGCGTTTCAGCCGGAGTGGAATCGACGAGTCTCTCATTAACACGGAAGTCTATGTCGAATTTTTGCTGATGGGTTTATGCGACGGCTAAACTACGCATTCTGACTTAAGTAAGCATTACGAGGTATCGTTGGGGCAAAGGCTCTCTCAAGGTAGGGGATGGAGATGACAGGAAGACCTAAGTACCTAGTAGTGTAGACTCGAAGTGACACCCGCACGTAGGTTATGGTTGATGATGATCGTGAAGCATCATGGCAACCTGGCACCTAGGAGTGACACTTCGTGGGTGGCCCCGCCCCAAGCTGTTGCCGCTTGAAAGGCCACACTCGCCCCTATGCCCGAACGCCTCTCTGCCCCTTGTCTGGCGGGGATAGCGGCTGGTATTGGCCCGAGAGGCCCTCGGGCCCCCCTTAGGCCCGTTTGCCGGATTCACTTGTCAGAAAGGGGTACGAGGGATTACTAAAATTCACCGTTACCATTATTATTGTTGCCGCTTTCGTGGTTTCAGGTACAGTCAAGCCTGTCAAGGACCCTTTGTCCTTTGCCGACCCCCCCATGTCATCTTGTCCTTATCGCGGCATGAGCCATTGCACCTGCACACGGCCGCCTCTGTGCATCTTGCCTCTCCAAAAAAGTTGACACCTCTCCTCTCTGGAGACACTCAATTCTGGGCGAATCCACCCTTGCCTTTTGACCCTCGAGGCGCCGCATGCTTTCATCTCATATTACTTCTTGAGATTCATCCACCTCTCTCATCGTGAACTTATAGTTCTCGTTTACATTCCTTCCCATCTTCCCTTCCTTCCTCCACTTCTACACACCAACCACCCTCATAATGCGATCGTTCAAAGCGCTGGCCGCCACGGGCTTGACCCTTGCGGCTCTCGCCTCCGCAAGCGATGTCCATGACCTAACCGCAGATACCTTTAAGCAGTTTGTGTCGGACAACGACCTAGTCCTTGCAGAGTTCTTTGCTCCTTGGTGCGGCCACTGCAAAGCCCTCGCTCCCGAGTATGAAGAGGCTGCCACCACGTTGAAAGAGAAAAATATCGCCTTGGTCAAAGTCGACTGCACCTCCGAAGGAGACCTATGCAAAGACTACGGTGTCGAGGGATATCCCACAGTCAAGGTTTTCCGTGGCCTTGATAATATCAAGCCATACACTGGAGCCAGAAAAGCCCCTGCGTAAGTCGGATTGATTCACCCTTGTGCCTCCCATACATCAGATGCTGACGACTCTAGGATTGTCTCGTACATGACAAAGCAGGCTCTTCCTGCTGTCTCAATCCTCACTGCCGATACCCTCGAAGAGTTCAAGACCACAGACAAGGTTGTCGTTGTAGCTTACATTGCTGCCGACGATAAAACATCCAACCAGACATATACGGCCCTCGCCGAGTCATTACGAGATGACTACATCTTCGGCGCCACTAACGACGCCGCTCTTGCCACCGCCGAAGGTGTCAAGCAACCCTCGATTGTACTTTATAAGGAGTTCGATGAAGGCAAGAACATTTTCTCTGAGGCTTTCCAACAAGAAACCATTTCGTCCTTCATCAGCACGTCTTCCACTCCCTTGGTTGGCGAAGTTGGCCCAGAGACTTATGCAGGGTACATTAACGTGAGTTGTTCCCCCATTCAATTTCCATCCTCGGGGTCTGACCATGGTCAAGTCTGGTATTCCTCTCGCCTACATCTTTTCCGAGACTCCAGAAGAACGTGCATCTCTTGCCGATGAACTTCGATCCCTGGCCGAGAAACACAAAGGAGTGATCAACTTTGCGACCATCGACGCAAAGGCCTTTGGCGCGCATGCTGCCAACCTCAACCTACCAACGGATCAGTTTCCTTCTTTTGCCATCCAAGACACGGTCAAGAACGAGAAGTTCCCCTTCGAGGGCAGCTCGTTGACCGCCGACAAGATTGGTGCTTTCGTCAAGGACTTTGTTGACGGCAAGATTGCACCCAGCATCAAATCCGAACCCATCCCAGAGACACAGGAAGGCTCAGTCACAGTCGTTGTCGCTCATTCCTACAAGGACATCGTTTTGGACGACACCAAGGACGTTCTTTTGGAGTTCTATGCCCCTTGGTGTGGACACTGTAAAGCGTACGCGTGCTATCCTGTTCCATGTACTCTGATCAGTTCACTAATCATTTTATTAGCCTTGCACCAACCTATGAGAAACTCGGCGAGCTCTACTCCAGCCCCGAGTTCTCTTCCAAGGTGACTGTCGCGAAGATCGATGCCACTTTGAATGATGTTCCTGATGAGATCTCGGGATTCCCCACTATCAAGCTCTATCCAGCTGGTGCCAAAGACTCGCCGGTCGACTACTCTGGCTCTCGTACCTTGGAGGACCTTGCCGCCTTTATCAAGGATAACGGCAAGCATGGTGTGGACGGCCTCGCAGCTCAAGCGGCGGATGAGGACGTCGAGATGGAGGATGTCTCCACCGCTGCTGGCGAGACGCAGGCCAAGGCCGCTCCTGCTGCAACCACTGACGGTGAAGGTATCGTTGATGCCGTCAAAAGTGCCGTCAGTGGCGCCGCCGAGGCCGCGTCGACCTTCGTGGCCGACGACGACGTTGGAGTTGCAGAGCACGATGAATTGTAAAATAACTTACTCCATCCTGTCCATCTTTGGGATTGTACGTGGTCAGGTTTTGGTCACGTCATCGTGGCAATCTCATATAACGCTGTAAAATCATCATTTGATACTATGACTTTGTGTGTGCCTTTTTTTTTAACACCAGCGATGGTAGCTCCTGATCTCTATCATTCCGTCTCATCGCAGTCTCAGCACCGAGGGAACCAACATAACCCAGACACCTGGAGAGAAGCCATGTACCCTATGCTAGTCTTCACAATTTGCCTGCTACGATCCGTCACGGCTCATGGTCGCATGCTCCTGGCGATGCCAGCCACCGGGACCAAGGATTCCGCCGTCGGCAGCAGCGGCGTCCAAACTCCATTGTCTCAACGGCTGGCAATCCGGGGTTGCAGTGTACCCAGCTTCAAACATCTCCATGCCCGCCCACGCTATCATGGCTGCGTTGTCAGTGCAAAATTCGACCGGCGGGAAGATGAGATTGATGTGCCTGAACCCGCGTAGATCAAGCATGCGCCTGAGATGATATCGCAGAAACAGGCTCGAGGCCACGCCGCCAGATACCACCAGATTCGTTGGCGTCGGCATCGGAGTCATCGCGGCAGAAGCGTCCGAGGTCAGCTTTTCCAGAGCTATGATGGTCCGCGACCCAAGATGCTCAAAGGCTGATGACAGACAGCTACGCGCCAGGTGGATGCGTTCATCGTCGGACATGGCGGCCTTCGCGTCGCGCGAGGCTTGGATCCTTTTGACGGTGCTAGAGATGCCGCTAAAACTGAAAGCCAAATCTCTTGTCCGTACCATCGGCGTAGGGATAGTCCAACCAAAGGCATTCGCCGGCTTCTCAAGCTCCTCAGCCCGTGTACGAGGAATGGACCAGGCCTCAAACGACTCGCGTGTAGGGAAGGCATAGCTGGAGAGATATTTGGCATACGACGTGTCTTGCGTAGCAGATTTGATGTGCTCTGGTAAGATAAGGCGGCCACATTTGTCGAGTTCATCGCCAACCGCAACATCCGTGGTGGTCGAGAGGATCTTGTGCTCGGTCAGAGTATGCGAATGAAGGAGCAACGTGTGGCCTCCGGAGACCAGAAGCGTTAAAAACGGGAAGGATGGAGAGACGGTTGAGACGGATTTCTCGGACGCTGCGCCATTATCGGAGCCTTTGGCGGAGAGTGCGTCCACCATGCGCGAGGTGAGGGCATGTGCTTGCATGTGGTGGACACCGATAAAGGGGATCTGCCACGCCGTGGCCAACCCTTTGGCAGTGTTGAGTCCGACAGACAAATTGCCTGCCATGCCCGGTCCTCGAGTTACAGACACAAAGTCTGGTCGCCGTTTGAGTCTCCCATCTCTTAGTCGGATAGTTCGTAGGCTGGCCTTGGACATTACTCGAAGATTCCCATCTGGAGCGTCTGGCAGATTGGAGAGTGATCTGTCTAGAAGACTGGCAAGATTTCGATGGTGGCTGGATAGTGCTTCGACGGGCACAATTCCACCTTTGCCCGTATTCTCAGCAGTAATCTTCTCATTGAAGTGTAAGGTAGCATGGGGCTTCTGACGAGAAGGCTTGGAGAGTATGGCGACACACGTGTCGTCGCAGGAAGTTTCAATTGCCAATGTCAATAGACTGCGACGAGGTTGGTGAGTCGTAGTAGACCACGGTCCGCAGGCGTGGATTACAGGAATCTTCGGCCATCTTATGCTTGACGCTGACCTCGCACGGGAGACGTGGAGCATTGACTGGTGCTACTGAAAAGGGTCGTTTCCCTTCATCTGTAGATAGTCACTTTCCTTGACCGGGGAGGTTTAATCACGAAGTACAAGTCCGGGAGGCAATTCAGTAAATTAATTATTTACCTGGATGCATCGGATACAGCGGAGCATTTGACCATCACCCCTTTCTATGACAGCCCTGCATCACATCTCAACATGTACTAATATCAGATGAAAGCCATTCATTTGCATTTTTGCCAACGCGAGTATGCACAATAAATCATGTTACGACCATGGTGACCTGACTTCTCAAAGATTACAGACACCAGCAGGGGTGCAACGAAGGTCACAATACTGCGCCACTAGGCCGTTATATTAATGAGTGGATCTCTCGTCAGTCCATCAAGGCAATATTCAGGTTTTCCAAGAAAGAATCCCTCCCGGAGCCTGCTAAATTATGATGGATCGACAATTGCAGATCTGGTTGGACGGCTTTGGCTTTCAAAGTTTGGTCTGCTTTGATCGATGTGGTCACCCTGTCGTACACAACGACTGGGATACAGGGTCGAGACCGAGAGATCTGTGCAGGTTTGAAAGAATGAACGAATTTCGTGATTGTTTGTCCAGTAACAAGGATTCCGCGAACCTGGTGCGAATAAATCAACGATGTGTGGGCACTTTCAGGTAATAAATGTCTGGAATTGCTGTACAATGCAGATTGGATATGCTCGGCCAAAGCATATCACCTGTCCTTCATATCAATGGTGTTTTAACTCACGGTGGCCTCTATTTTCCTTTTGACACCAAGCTCTCTACTTTTTGCCTTGTCTCAGCAGTCGTTTCGTCCGCCCAGGTGACAGCCACGTTGGCATGGACTTTAGCTTGCCTCCAGGATTCCTTGACAAAGCCACTGATCTGCGCATGTGTTTCGCTGATAGCAGGGACCTTCTTTTCATATTCCCAAATCAAATCCGAAGTATTTCTCATCGTTACGGGGATCAACATCCAGCCAGCGGTAATGCCAACAGTCAACGGGGTTGCCGCGCGAAGAAATAGGCCTCGATTCCGTGAAACAATTGAGCCTGCTAGCGTAGCGACCAGGACGTAAATCGCGCCCGGAAGTAGCTGTTCTCCGGTTTCTGGAGCCGGAGCGAGGGAAGCAATCGTATTAGTGAAATTTGTTTCCTTTCGGAATGCCCAACTTAAAAGGTCATTAAAGCTGTTCTCGGCGGCAAGTGACTTGTCATAGACAAAGAGTCTGGCGGTCTTGACGTGGGAGGTTAATCTGTCGGTTGGGGTCGGTGACACTGGGTTCGAACTCGAGACTGGTGATGTTGGAGAAGGTTTCGGTGTCGTGGGAGCCACAGGATAGGATGAATATATAGGTTTCTTTTCTGGCAGCTTGAAGTCATGTCGAGTCAGTTTCATGTTTCGGACCGGAAGACAAGGCACCTTACATCGTCTTTGGGAGCTTCGGCATACACTGTTCTGAAGGGTGCTGGGAACTGAGTGAGTGTCGCACCGCCAAGTACCAAGAACGCTGCTCGACGTGACTGCACGAGAAGTCAGTAGATACAAAAACAGAGACCTGGGTGTTACTTACTGCCCCCATTGCTCTCAGGGGACTCATAATGTCGTGGGATGCTCACTGTATATGGGTGGTGTCTGATTGTCAACTTTCGCAAGAATTCCAATGGAGCTTCTCGCGTCGCCGTCTGCTAGGTCTTGGCAGCAATACTGCTATAGTGTCTGCTGTACTCTGCTGTAGGCCCCCTTGGGACTCGAAGCGCATTTCGTTGGCGTCACATGCGCGCACTGCGGGCTGCGGCTGCGGCTGTCGCTGAGTGCCTGCCTGATGAACAATTTAATCGAATGCACTTGCCTTCTCCGCGCTCTGCTCTCCGCATGGACATGCCTATCATCGAGGATTTTGCGCAGGCGCCCGATTCCACGATAAACCCTGGACAAACTGTACACAGGACAAGCTTCGTCACCATTCCAAAGTCCCTTCTTTGTACTGCAGCTTGAGAAGCACTCCTCAAGACATGCAGAAAGTTCGATGGCGTGCGCCCTCGATATGTGCCCGATGTCTCAGCAAGCAAAAGAGATTCAATTCCACTGCCACAGTTACTGCCACCCTCCCCGACCGCGATAACACCTTTGAATCCGCACACGTGCAGGACACGTCTACCCGACGACATGATTCTACCCTTCTGCGAGAGGTCTTCAATAACAAGGCATTATCATGGAGTGCTGGTGCAAAGAGCTCGGGACTGATAGGGAACCGCCACCTGACCAGCCCACGAGGCTTCCAGAGGTTCGCCGAAGTATCTGTTGCTCAATGCAAAAGACTGGTCGAAAGAACTCTTGCTGCCTCCACCGTTGAGCAGTACCGTAGAATTCCGCGAGATCTGGATAGACTGAGTGACTTGCTGTGTCGCGTCATTGATCTGTCCGATTTCATCAGAAGCATCCATCCTTCGGGCGATGTGGCTTCCGCCGCAACTGCTTCCTACTCGCTAATGTACCAGTACATGAATGAGCTCAATACCACCACAGGCCTCAATGAACAGCTTCGAACAGCATGGAATATGCCCACGGTCCAGAGTCATTGGACCGAAGAAGAGAAAATGGTGGCCCAGCTGTTGATGAAAGACTTTGCCAAATCAGGCATTGACCTTCCAGAGCGACAGAGGAAGGAGTTCGTCTCTCTATCGAACGAGATTGCTCAGGTAGGAACGGACTTTATCAATCAGATGGAACATGCCCGGGAAAATGTGTCCTTCACGGCCTCTTCATTGGCTGGTGTTGATCCTACTCTAGTCCAGGGATGGAAGAGGTGGGAGAGGGCGTCAATTCCAATCTACAGTCCTATATCCAAGATGGTCATGAGCTCCGCCACCGATCCTGCCGTCAGAAGAGAGCTTTACATTGCTGAAAGAACTGCATCGAAGAAGACTATAGGAAGGCTTGAGCGGTTACTTCTTCGCCGGGCTGAATTAGCGCAGTTAACAGGACATGACAGCTACGGCCAGATGTCGCTTGCGGACAAAATGTCCAAGACACCCGAAGCGGTGATGAACTTCCTCGAGTCTTTGAACCAAAGCAACAAGCCGCAGGTTCAGAAGGAGCTGGCGCCTTTAATGGAAATCAAACGCCAACTCATTCAAGGCGCCACATCAGTAGATGCATGGGATCATACGTACCTCCTGAGTAAGCTTGCACAGCAGCAGGCCAGACTGGGCCCAAGAACATCAAAATCCCGGCTCCGAGAAAATGTCAGCTCCTATTTCGCATTAGGTCATGTCATGCAAGGCTTGTCTGGTCTTTTTGAATCCCTGTACGGTGTCCGCTTGGTTCCAAGAGAAGTTCAGCAGGGGGAAACTTGGCATCCAGAAGTCCGCAGATTGGATGTGTACACGGAAAGCGACCAACATATAGCCACCATGTACTGCGATCTCTTCCTCCGTCCAGGAAAGCTCCCGAACCCGGCACATTTCACACTCCTTTGCTCGAGAGAGATCTCAGAGGAAGAGATCCAAGAATGTCGAGAGAAGAACGAGCCTATCAACGATGGAATGCCAACCTTGATGGATTCTACAACACCATCTGGCAATGCGACATGCCATCAGACGCCCATAATCGCGCTGGTTTGTGGCTTCCAGGGGCCAGCCACTTCTTCCGGCCCTTCCTTGTTATCACTACACAGTGTAACAACATTATTCCATGAAATGGGACACGCCATCCACAGCATTTTGGGACGCACATCTCTGCAGGGCATCTCTGGTACTCGGTGCGCTACAGATTTTGCAGAGCTTCCTTCCGTGTTAATGGAATATTTTGCGACCGATGCCGCGGTGTTGAAGAGTTTCGCCCGTCACTGGAAAACAGACGCTGTGATTCCAGACGAGATGATCAGCGCGCTGGCGCAAGAGAGATTAACGCTGGCAGAAACAACCGGTGGTTGGAATAACGAAGGCCAGATCCTGATGGCACTCCTGGATCAGGTATATCACTCGACGGATCCAGTCAAAGCTCTAGCCAGTGGCTCGTACAACTCGACAGATGTCTACCATGACGTCTGGAAGCGCTACGGAAGTGTCCATGAACCACCGCAGACCTCTTGGCAAGGATTCTTTGGACATCTCTATGGATACGGCGCAACCTATTACTCGTACTTGTTTGACCGAGCCATTGCGCGACAGGTGTGGAGAGCTGTGTTTCGGGACGGAGAGAACGCTGGCGGCTTAGATCGAGCTGCAGGAGAAAGATTCAAACAGGAGGTTCTTAGATGGGGTGGAGGACGGGACCCATGGCTATGCCTGGAAGGACTTATGGGCCAGGGCCAGGGCATTCTTGCTGAAGGTGGTGATGCTGCGATGCTAGAAGTTGGAAAATGGGGCATCGATGCATCTAGTGAAGGTGCCATGTAATGACCTGAATACTGATAATCTCCCTCCTCTCGACGACGACTCAACAATAAGTCCCTGTCGAAGCTAGTTGTACGTGTCAACAATCATACTGCGATAATGACATATAGAACAATAAGACCTTTGCTGACACCAATCTGGCTGCGGCTTCCTATGTGATATCACGTGCCTCATGTGGGTGGCCCCTGGTCGGCTTGGCACCTTCCACCTGACCACCCATCGCCGTTCTTTCCATTAGTACTAGCGGGACGATCTCTCTTTTGAGTCATTTTCCGACCCATTCCACGAAACATACATCTCATCTTATGTAAACAACCAGTATAATTCTCACAGATGCAAGTGGTTTGGGAAGCAGATACTGCAGCTTTTGCCAGTCGAAAGCGAGCGGCCAGGGCGTGTGCAAAGTGTCGCGCCGCAAAGAAACGTTGCCACCATACCTTTCAGAGGGATCCTGATCAACAAGCCGACACAGATGGCCTCGAGCGTGTACTCCCCAATCTAACCCACAAGGAACCGATTCGATTTGTGGGCGACCTCAATCCTGAGTCGATCCTGACAGACCTATCTTCGAGGCCAGATGGAGCGAAAAGAATCAGTCGAATAGGAACTTGGGTCGAACAGTCGCGACATGCTCGAGATGGACTTCCGGCTGAAGACCTTGGACCTGTTACCAAGGCAGGAGAGAAGACCCCGATCAATGTGGAAAAGTACGGCAAGGTTGAAGGGGGTCGGAGGGTCTTGACCGGCCACCAGCGCAACTATTTACAAGCAGTTGGGGCTTTCCGTGTCCTCCCCAAGGCCACACAAGATGCTTTGGTCTCGACTTACATTGCTTGCATTGACGGCATTCTTCCCATCATAGACGGCATCAAACTCCTAAAGGACTATACCGACGGAAAATGTTCGATCTTTCTGCTGCAGGCTATCTGCCTAGTCACCTGCAAGACCGAAGAGGCAGCGTCTTATCTTCGTTTATACGACGATGGACCTTTGCTCGACCCGATTCCATTTGCAAGGAGCCTCCATACTGGCCTCGACGCAGCCATGAAGGCTGACCTCGAGCCAGATCGTGTCACCAAGATTCAGATTTTGACTCTGATGCATCTACACAACGATGGTCCGGGAGGGATTGAGGAGTCCTCGTTGCATCTGTCACAGGCTATCCACGACGCATGGACAGCAGGCCTTCATATTCACACTCCTGGACGGACCGTCAAAGATTCTTCAAGCATGCTTTGGTGGACCATTTGGACACTGGATAAGATCAATGCATGCGTGGGAGGTAGGCCGATCATGATTGCGAATCGTGACATCGATATTGAGCGACCCAATGTTGAGGCCGAGCCAAAAAGTGTAGTTATTGCTGCATGGCTCCGTTTAGGGGATCTCTTGGATAAAGTGATTGAGTTCTACAGACCCACGGCAGACCCCAACTCGACTGGCTGGGAAACCGAATTTCCAACGTATCAATCTATCGTCGAGGGGATCGAACTCGACCTGCTGCCCCGTGCAGATAACAGTGAGTGTCAACCAGATTCAAGGTCAAATTGGAGCCTTGCTTACCCTGTCAATAGATATTCTCGAGATTTCCTACAATGTCATTGCCATCCTCAGCTGTCGAACTGGTGGGCCCACGACAGCGTCATACGCCCGGAGAATAGGAGCCTCGGATCGGATACAGCAACTTATCTCCAACGGAGGCCATACTGGCATGGCGCCAATCCCGCTAATCCCTTATGCCGTTGGGCTCTCCCTTACAGTAGCATACCGCGGTCTCCGAGATAACTACCTAGATGCCGAGCGTGCACAGGCAGACCTGGCGACACGATGTGAAACCCTCGAAAAACTCAGTACGTACTGGTGGACAGCAGATGCATTGGCACGGCTGGGGAGAAAAGCGCTTAAAAGTTTGCAACAGCCCGGGGTGCAGAAACATGCAATTGGAAGCATTGCCAATGCACTGGAGGCTGAGACTTCGCCATGCAAGTTTGGACCCTTTGAACAAAAGATCAAGCAGGTTGTACCTCAAGCGACGGTGAAGAGCCGTCAGGTGAACGGTAACGCTCTCCACGTTCTGTCACACGCCGCTGCTACGCACTCGAACCCGACAGGTGCAACACCACGGCCCAGCCCCTTGTCAAGTTCGGTGTCGACCCTGAGCACTCGGCCAGAGATGCCTACCCCACCAGCAGTTCGGATGGTCCTTGCTTCGTCGTCCAATAAGCCTTTCCCAACTGATGGAGGACCACTGGATATGAGCGTCTACGACAACTTCAACAACCTGGACAACCTTTTCGACGGCTTCTTTGATCTCTCCATGCCTACCATCTTCCAGGACCCCTTGTTTGACGGCGATACCTTTATCAATGCAAATGTGGACTTTGGGATTGGTGGGATGATGAACGAAAATGCCGACAGCATGGGCTTTGGTCCACACAGTTCGAATGCCGGTGGCTTCTACAATGGTGTCTATCCTGACATGGGACTCGGCGGAAGAGAGCATTGACAGGATGATGGGCGTTGAGGTCAGATGAGGCTTAGGTACATGGCATACACGTGATTCATCTGGTTTAGGGAAAGCGCAGCGATGGAGTTGAGAGATAGGGGTTCCATGATTTTGATGCTGAAGATGGTTACAGAATTCACACCGATTGGCAAGTAAATAGCGAGTTTCTAGCCGGCAGTTGAGCCTACGGAAAGGAAGAGGTGAGCGACCGTCCCAGTTATGAGGTGGACAATGGACATGGATCCCTGAGCAGGTGCAGTTGAACATACATACATTGTGACTTATTATCATAATGATTTTCTCATTACACATACGAAACATGATGACATCCCTTGGAACTGTTGAAGACATAATGCTCTCAACTTCACACTCGTGCATGCGTAGTGGGAATATCATTTACCGTATTCATAACAGCGTCACGTGGCTGCAATCGTGGACTGTGATAGACGCCACAAAAACTGCAGGTGCACTTGCCGCCTTCGTTCCAAAGATCAAACTCACGGAAGGAGGGCTCGCATCTCGGTGGTGATTTTGCCCGTCTGTGCCATTTGAAAAATGAAGGACATCTGGCATGCATGCATTTACGATGTTGCAAAGGACGGTAACGCCCAAGGTCGTCGTAAAGAAACGCGACGAGCGTGCTGAATGCGATTGGTTGAGAATACGAGAAGAGTCACAGTGGGGCATGCTTCGGTAGCTGGAGCTGCCAAACCGTCAAACAGCCCACCGAGTGGATTGCTTGTGAACATTTTGGGGGCTGTGGACTTGGTGAATTACTCAGCGCCAACCAACAATCAAGAAGCCATCCGACATTTCCTCCGATTGGCATAACTGGAGCTGACGGTGGATCCTTGGTAGTGTTGGCTTCGCGGCTGTGCAGGGTTGAGCTTTTGTGGGACGTACGATATGGATATGTGTAGGGATGGCGTAGTTCATGACGATGATGTGAACGGGGTTTCATCTGACTCCCACTGCTTGACCTCTCCCGCGGAATGGGACAACGGTTGCCGCTTGTCCAGCATGGGAGAGGTATTCGACTAGGGTAGTCGCATACGAATATGTACGCGTACAGAATAATTCTGAGCAACTTTGCAGTAGTCGACCGGTGTGTATGACATTGCACATGATAGGCGCTCAATGACTGGCTGATACAATCTACTGCCAGGTACGCGTCAGGCGTTCCATATCCTCTGAGACGGGACACCTAGATTTTGGTTGGGGAATATCCAAGTTCGCAACTCGTCATCCAAGACCGACCAAAAGAAAGGCAATGACATACTTGGTTTGTCCCATTCATGAAAAATACCTGCAGTGGGAATCGTCATCTTTGAAATAGGGATGGTTTTTCCAACTTGGACGGGCAACAGAGGGCGGGAAATATAATTGCTTCTTGACATTTTGAGGCCTTTTACTTTGCTTTAGAGTTTGGACCGGCTGGTCATTGCGCCGCATTGTTCACGTGATTGAGATGAAGTCGAGGCGACACAGCAGATCTTGGTTTGGAAACGGTTAGTGCATGAAGGCTACTGTGTGTGTACGGAGTACCTTATGTACTCCGTAGATGTACAATAATAACATCTGTACAAGGCTGATCTGGCGACTGTGGCCGACGGATTTCGCCTGACTCCACTAAGTACATCATATTGAACCATGTATTGTTTGGTAAGTGGTAGTCTGGAAATTGAAGAAAAACAAGGAACTCGCTCTCGTGTAGGATTCAGCTTGTTACTTACTGCAGGTAGCTGGCGTGATAACAGGCTATGAAGTACTCCGTACATGTTTGATAAAACCAAACATGGCTTGATTGGATTTCCTAGTTTATAAGTGGTAATAATGTTTAACGGGGGCACCGGGGGGCACGATGGGGCTCCTTAGGGCCTCAAAAGGTCATTCTTAATAGTGACATTTGCTAGAAATCCCCCGTCCTCCGGTGAGCGGAAGCCCCGGGGCCGAGTGGAGTTTACGGCCGGTGACAGGGTTTAAGAGCGAGTCAAGGCGGCAGCGTTATGTCCGCGCCACACTCGCCATTGGGCCAGTGCAGCGAAGCCAAAGGAAGGCCACAGACCAAAGGCGTGCGTGGGCGTGCCACATCCTTGCCAAGAGAATAGGCAGCACTGGTCCCAACTTCACATCATCAGCACCAAGTCACGCATACACACGCCCATCTTCTTTCCTCTCAATCCTTCCACACCTTTTTTCTCTCCTTGGGTCGTCTTTCATCTGGTTCAACTTCAACAGATACCTGAGGTTGCCACTCTGGCCTCAGACAACTCCCATCCGTTTCTTCCTTCCTTCTTTTCCCCCTACGGTACACCCTCAATCACAATCCCAACCCCAACCCTCAATCTCTCAACCACAATCAACCACGCCTTGATTCTATCAAACCATCCCGCCTCCCTCTCTTGACAAAGGACACATCACTCTCTCGAGTTACCCGCTGTATCATTACTCTGTTTTGCCCAACGAGACAAGGATATTCACCCAGCCCCGCCTCCCCCTTGCCCGAGACTACAAGCGTTCACGATAACCTCGTCTCTATCGACCCACTCCTCCTCAAACGTCGGCCACAACACCTCAAGTCATCTCTCCATCGGCCTTCAGTCATCGTACAGAGATTTACCGTCGAATACACACTTGTGAGTACACAGCGTCAACTGCGATACTTTGTTCCATCTCATTCTGGTCGATATCATTGGGTTCGGGTGAGTCACAACTTCTGTCCGCGGCCAGATTCCAGCCAATCGATTGCATTCTAACCCTCGGTCTAGTTCCGGGGTGTCATCTGCTCTCCTGTCTGATCCTGCTCGACTCTTCATATACTCAGCATGGCCTCCTCCACCATGCCTCCTCCTCCTACTCCTTTGGCTCATCGTCGCTCCCATCGCCTTGTCACCCAAAACTTGTCTTCCTCTTCAGTCTCCGCAGAGTCTTCAGCATGTCTCCTTCATAAGATGTCCAAAGCCGCTACATTCCACTTACCCTCGTCTCAGCCATCTGAGAGTGACCCGAGCCTGAGCATTCCTTACCTCGCTCGTCGTTCACCATCCTGCTCCTCCTCTACCTTGACCAGTTGGCTTTCAGAGAAAGGAGACGTTGCTCGATCTATAGCCGAATTTGAACAAACCTTTTCAGGCGCCCGCGGAACAAAGTCCTCGACCCGACGCAGATCAGCACAGAACTTTGACCACATTGTCCGTCGTGTTTCCCTCCCTTCAGACGAAGGCTTTGGTTCTTCCATCGGCCCTGATAAAGGTCTCTCTGCCACGTTGGATAAAGCCTTGGACTTGGCCTCGAATAGAGATAGTGGAATCGGGTCGTCAATCAGTGACTCAGCCGAAAAGATCGGGGGAAGCACCTGTGAAGAAGACGGTCTTGTCGTCCAAGACTTGATTCAAGGTTGGATTGCCCGCTGCATGGTCATGTGTGATGATGATGTTAACCTCTCCCCAACAGAAGCTGACTCTCCAGAATCAACCTCTCGCCGTCCTCGCCTAGTCAGCCGATCCGCTGTCACCCAAAGCATTGCACCGGCCTCAAGGCCTGTTGTTCGTCACCCTCAGCTAAGCTCGTTCGCCAAGAAGAAGGTCAAGGACTATATTATCACCCCTATCCTCGAAGAATCCCGATTTCAAACTCTCCATCCTCTCGTCACTGCTCTAGGAACTCGGACCAACAAATCCATCAGATCCTTGAGAGATCTTGAACAAAGCCTCATCTTCCAGCCATTGGTAAGCACGCTCATCTCCCGCTATCCAACACGGTCTGACATTCCTGGCAAGACTCTTGCCATCTCCACTCAATTGTATCGAAGCTTTGGTGAATTCACCATCCAGCTTGTCATCGACACATACCAACAACTCTCTGAGTCGGAGCAACGACGTGCTTCCGACCGCCCTTACGACAACGGATACTTCCTCGATCTGGTCCAGCAAGTTAACAGACTAGCCAGTCACATCGGATCTTCCAGTTCTGCCTCAGAATCTGCCACTGTCGAAGAATCCGACGACATGGCCTATTCTCCTGATGACGAGGTCACTCTCGAGGGTGGCCTTGACGAGACCGGCAATTTCGCCGAACTCGTCCGCTGGAAGGATGGCAAAGGCATCTCGCTAAGAACGGGACAGCCGTATGAACCTCTCGCTGGCCTCAAGAGGCAAAGCAGCACGGCTTTGGACGAGGACATTGCTCGTTCCATGGCTCGCAGAAAGAAGGGCTACATACCTGAACACATCGAGATGAAATGTAGTGACAAGACTTGTGACAAGACTTTCACGAGAAAATGCGACTTGTCCAAACATGAGAAGACACACTCTCGGCCTTACAAGTGTTCGGAGCCCAATTGCAAATATCATGAGCAGGGTCTTCCCACAGAAAAGGAACTCGAACGTCACTGGAACGATAAGCATTCAGCCGATCCCCTTTTCTACAAGTGCGAGTACTGCGAGTTCAAGACCAAGCGTGAGTCGAACTGCAAGCAGCACATGGAGAAGAAGCACGGGTGGACCTATGAGCGGGCCAAGGGCAAAGATAAGGCCATGGGCAGCGTCAAGATGACGCCCGGTCAGACTCCTCGCACTCCAGCCATGGACTATTCTCCCAGTCCTGCAGTGTCTCTGCGAACCGGATCCATCTGGGACGACAATAGCTCCGTTGCTGGTAGCATTGCCGGTAGTACTGCCATTACCCCGTTCGATCAGCCCATGAACACCTTTGACAGCAACTTTGGTCAAGGTGCTGTCACCTACTCCAATCCCATCTTTCCCAGGGCCACTCAGCCCATGCAGTATGCTCAGACCCTGGACGACTTTGACTTCAACACCTTTCCTCAGAGTTATTCCAACTCTGCTCAAGCCTATATCTCTCCCACCAACAGCACCCCGAGCTCTCACATGATGGGCACACCAATTACTCCAACCTACAGCAACATCACTGAGCCATCTCCATACAGCACCCATATAGACATGGCCGTCGACTGTCCAGAGCCAAGCACTTGGAACATTGGTCTGCAAACCCCTAATTCCTTTCTCCAACCTCATTCTCGCAATCCGTCCATGTCCAACTACTCTCCCATGGTTGCGGATACTTCGGTTCAATCCTTTGACGATGATGTCATGATGCCGACCGAGTTTGATCTTCCTCAAGGAGATTTCGCTCTATTTGGGGGAGATACTAGCGCTTTCTCCAACCTAGCTGGACCCGGTGCCACCTTGTTTCCAAGCGAGCCCGAGGCCTTTGCTGCCCTCGACAACAATCCCATTTTCAATGAGCAATGGGCGGATGACATGTTTGATTTCAACATGGAAGCCAAATTCGCTTAGAGAGAGCATCTAGAGTGCTACAGAAGTTGTGGTAATTCATGCCGCATTTTACTCTCTCCCCTTCAAACAAACATAAGAGCCCCCTTTCGCGGGCTCTCTCCCAAATTGGATCTCAAACCCAAAAATTGTCCCACTCTAGGGGCTTGGGTGAACCATTGATGATGGGTTCTGTTACGATTATGACATTTCATTTACATTTTCAAACTTCATCTTCTCAAGAGCTGAGAACGGAGTAAGAATGGACACAAGGAGGAGTTTTTACACAAGGACATGGTCCGGCGGTGATTATCCCGTGACATGGCTTAGGTTGAGAATGCAGAAACAAATAGCCCACTACTTGCTCGGTGATACGAGGGCGGCGTATTACGACTTGAAGGTTGAATCAAATCAGGGGTTGAAGGATAGGATACAATAGCTGTGTTAACCCTGTTACCAATATCATCCACCTCATTTCTTTTCATTAGACACCTCTATGCAAGACATCAGTGACTCGTCAGCAACATTCAGTCGTAATAATCGAAAGCACAAGGACCTAAACACAAAGCGAGGGACAAATTGCGCCCGAGACCAACCAATCGCCTACCCAAGCCTAGTGATATTCATCCATCACAAGGCGTTGTCACATGTCTGGCACAGCCTGATTCTTCAGCACCCTTGTAACGCTGCAGAGACTGGTCTAGTTCAGCATTAGTACGTGCACACAAGTCGTCATAGTAGGCCTGACCCTTGAAACCATGCTTCTCCTTGCTCACACGCCACTTATCAGCCCGTAGCATCTCGATGCGTTTTTTGCGTGCCAGGATCTGAGTATTATTACTCTGAGGAGGTAGCCGAGTGGGGAGTGCCCGGTCATTCGATGGTGTTGTTGCTATTGCCGTTGCCGTTGCTGTGGTCATTGCCGGCATCGACTGTTGTGAATCCACGGCTGGCTCGAATGACCAGAAACTCGCAAGACGGCAATTGCCCAAAGTTTTCTTGCGGCAATGCTCAAGCTGGAGGCGTTCTGTCTGTTGGATCTGGGCTGTCACGTCCGACAGCTGGACTCTAACCTCGTTCCGGAAGGAGGATAGCATCATGTTCAGCCTCGCCAGGCTGGCAGACGCAGGCGTCGATGGAGAATTTCTGGGAGCATTGTTTGGGGTTGAATGGGGTTTAAACGCTAAATGGATCATGTCGAAACGCGGGGTGATCGGTGTCGATGGATAAGGGGAAGATTGATGATGGGTGATTGTGGATGTTGGGCTGGCGGTGTCAGACAGAGGGAGTCTTTCTTCAAAACGTGCAATCAGAGTCTGTATGCCGGTCTTGCGTGTGTCATCAACCATTTTGGCCCTCGGGATCTGCTTTATGCGTGTGCCGACAATTTGGAAGCCAGCGTTATGGTTAAATGGAAGAGCAGGAAGGGGTCGTGATGTCGTCTCATCCGCGCCAGGTCCTCCTAAGGCGGACTTTCTGGTTCGGCTGAAGAGAGGTGACGGGACCAGCTCGTGGGCCAGGTTGTGCTTTACACTCAGGCTTTGGCTAAGTCTCGCTTTGTGATCTTTCCTCGGTGATGCAGGCGGCAAGACACTGATGCTGCGCAGATGTTGTGGCGACTCTCTCCGGACTTCAGAGGACGCTTTCATGTCACGTTCTGGCAGTGGTTGCGGACCGACGAGCATGAATGTTCCGGGCTCCTCCCAGTCGGTTAAAACACTGTACGAGGAAATCGTTCGAGGCAAACCCCGTGATGGCATGGATGGTGTTTGTGGGCTGAATTGGTTTAGACATGTCTGGTCCTTGCTGACAGGCGAGACCTGCAACCCAAAAGGTGATCCCTCTGGGAACTGATACCGCCCACGGGTGGTAATGGCAAAGGGGAGAGGTAGACATTGCAAGGCTGAATGTAGGCTGTCTCTCGCAATTTCGAGGAGCCGAAGCTTGTTGCTGGAAAGACTGTGCGTCGAGAGGCCCATGAATTCATGACAAGTGGCGTGGTAGTACCACAGGTAAGCCTGATATAGTGGTGGTAACTTTTCGTGGACGAGGGATGATGTTAGCCGTTGCTTTCACGAGATAGAGATGATCAAACAGGCTGAACGGTGGGCTTACATCTCGAGGCTGTAGAGATTCGCACAGGGCAGCGCACTTTTTGTATCTCCCTTTCATAAATGCCTCGCGTACCAGAGCGAGTTCCGTGTTGTAAACACAAGCTCGCCCTCCTAGCGGTGATGTGTCCTCAGTAACCATGGTTGCTATATCACGAACAGGATGGTTGTCATGGGCAAGAAGGTGAATGTTGGAAGTCCGCAGTTCGATAAGCGGTAGTGGTTTGATCTCAAGAATTCTGCCTGACCTTCACCACGAGGGTGGCAGAGTAATATGTGGCGCGATTCTGACGCGTTGCTCCAAACAATTACCTTTCTGCCACATATCAACCGTTCTATGTCGCGAATTCTCCTGCTAGTTTACCAAGTTCTCGTGATTAGCCCTTCATCAACCATGTCTTCCATCTGGGTTTGAATCCAAGTTTGGTCCTTGTTTTGCCCGAATTGTAGTGCAGCTTCAGGAAGAGAGACCTGTGCCTGAAGAGCCTGAGAGATGGCTGCTCTAAATTGTGATATGTCTCTCGCATCAGTTGACTGGAACAGTTTGCTCGCATTGCGATAAAAGACCTCTGCGTTCTTGAGAATTTGAGCCGCATTGGAGATAGCTTGCTGATAGAAGACAGGAGCTTGGCCCAACTGGTACAACAGAAGCGAAATATTTCCACGATTCAGGTGAGTGTCGGCTATCTCATCGGGAACAGGGTCTGATTTTTTTGCGGCTGCAGCCAGAAGATTGACAGCGGCGGACAGTGCATTCCATCGCTGGGATGATTGTGAAACAGAATCCGACCGTTGGGTTTCCATCAATGCTGAATTGAAGAGAATGAGACTTTGTGCGTTGGCAGTCAAAGAAGCATACGATTGATCCATTTTCAACTCTGGTGCCTGGAAAGCTTCATCACGCTCCCTCTTGTACGTTGAGGAGTCTAGAGAGCCGAGTCTATAGCCGGCTGCCAATAGGTGAGACATGAGGTTTGCTCTCGCCAAGGCAGCCTCCTGAAGGCGTTCGGAGTCAGCTTCTTTGAGAAGATGTGCTAATTTTGCACCGATGAGTTTTGAGGAAAATTCCTCGATCCATGCAAGCCCGTTGGAAGATGCGTGAATGGTTGCAGATGACAGAATGCTACAGAGAGTGGTCAAAGTGCCCAATTGAGCAAGAACGGTGTCGACCAGGGTATCGGTAGTGATAGGCTCGACAATGGAGAACCACTGTTCTTCAGCTGGATCCGGTTGACCAATTGTGCTTGTCGCAGCTGCTTGCGATTCATCGGCGCCGGAGTTGATGGTGGGTTGAGGCTGAGCGTCATATTCCTTTTGTTGTTGCGTTGATTCCTCAAGCTTGAGTTCTTGGACAGCTAGACAGCGTGATTGAAGTTCAAGTGCGTCTTCCAAGAATCTGATTGCATCACCTTCGGCTCCGTTGGCAGCACGAAGCTCAGCGATAGAGGTCAATACTTGGGCGGTATTGAAGAGGGTGTCGGGATTGTCACCATCGAGGTTCAAAGCATATTGATGGGCATCCAAGGCCTGTTGTAAAGCATCCGCGAGTGGGATTGGAAGATGATCCACTAGAAGTGGGTGAGTGGCAACCTCCAACAGGGTACGTGCTCTGTGGCTTGGTCAGTGATCAATCCAGACCGGACGGGGGGGGATCTGACTTGTTGTAGGCAAGGTCGAGGCTGCTGGGGTACTTTTGCAATCCTTGGTTGTAGACATCGACGGCTTTGGCAAAGAATCGCAGTGACTTTACGGCGTCACCTGCCCTCCATTTGCCGGCAGCTTCCTCAAAATCCACTCCGGCTGCCTGGAAATCATCGGCGGTCTCAAGAACCTAGATGGAATTAGCCTTGGGCAGAACTGGAGGTGTTGGTTTCCCAAACCTGCTGGGTTTTTTTCTTGGCCTTTGAATGTTTCAATAACGCCTTAGGCTTCAACATGGCGCGGGCGCTGGCGCTGGCGCTGAACTTGAAAGAAAGACGAGTGGACCAATGTTACCTTGAATTGGTGGAATGCTCAGAGACGCTGAAATTAGTCTCAGCGAGGTTGAAGATGGCTGCGTATTAGAACTGGCAACATGGATGTCGAAGACGTCCTGTCCAAAAGAGACCGTTAGCCAATGGGAGGAGATCTTAGCAACGACAACGACGAGGCTGAGGTTGAGGTTGAGGCTGGTTGGATTTGCTGACTCATCAGAAGCAACCAAAGCAGGCAAAGCAAGTCACGGGAGAGTCAGAGCACCTGACAGAAAAGTCTTGGGACAAAATCCAGGGGACCAGAGGGACCAGAAGGACGAGGGGACTACTGAGAGAGGGGACGAGGGAACAAAAGGGATGCCCGAGGCGCCTACACGCATCATTGAGTCCCACCCAAATGCCCCCGCTCGGTCGAGTTTGGCATCTGCAAGTCATCAAGACTGACTCTTTCGGAGGGCTTGAGATCTAAACTATCCTCCCTGGCACGAAGAGCATTCTACAGTACAATGAGTTTTCGGTTTCATTTAATGATTAATGATAATATTAATAAAATCGAGATCAAGGTCCACCATGGTAGCACATTCATAGCCACAGTGGCTACGAACCTTTCTTTAGCATGGACACACCGTTTGTGTCTGCCGACAAAATTTGATAGACCCACCAGCAAACATTTTTCCATCAACCGCACGCGTTACCAACACCGGCCAACATGATGGGAGAAACCTTCACCACACGTGCTGCGAAAAAGTATACTCGCTTATGAGTACACATGTAGGAAGATAGTTACACCTCCGATACAGGTCAAGCTTTGACACTAAAGCTTCCATGCATTCTAGAATCTATTACACCAATTCGACTTGATCGAGACTAAAGGCCATACAATCAGCCTGTCAGCAGGGGAGTTCAAGCTATTTATTAACACGTACAAATGGAAGTGTATCAACGGAAAGCTTGTATAGTAATGAATATCAGATACATACGAAATGGCTACGGTAGGAAAACACTACGGAGTATGTTTGGGCTTTCATGCCCCGTTGACCCGCGTCACTTTTAGACTCCTCGACCCTCGGTGAAGCCCCGAGGACGTCCCACGCCACACCCACGCCAAGTCCCCAAAATCAGTACGGAGGACAGATGCCAGGCTCTTACGGCTCTAAAACTACAACAAGGGCAGGGGTCTTTAGGGCCTCGGGCTGCCCGCCCGTCCCTCGTCCTTCATCTCTCGGGGCAGTTGGTCGCGGCATAATCCCACTCTCCCTCGCAATAGAGCCGATAGAGCCCTAAAACACAGACACAGACGCACAGACCAGGTTTAGCAGTAGTGACCAGCCCGATGCCCACCTCGCTTTTCCGAGAACTCGCTTTTCCTCATTAGCCAAACCACTCGCTCCAGCCCACCAACCCACCAACCCACCAACCCACCAGCTACTGCAGATGTACTCCGTACTCCGTACCTCTCCTACCGACTCTACTACGGACTATCTCTCCCCTTCTCCCTCTTCTGCCCTTGGATTCGCTGACCACCAAAGCCACCCCAACCTGCCTGCGCCATCGTCGCTAGATCTCTTCGACCTCACCTCTATCTCAACTACCTTGAATCTCGCTGTGTCAATCCCATCCAACCCTCAGTGATTCACTTCACCGACTTCCGTTGGTCACAATGAACCTCTGATTGTGGTGCTACTCCTGCCCGCCTTCCCGCAGCCCACCTGCGGGCGCAAAATTGACACCACTCTACCACCCGTGCGAGACCATGCCCCAAGAATCCGACCAGAACGTCATTTGGTCACAGGAAATGCAAGATGATCATATTGGAGTCGGTGTCGGCGTCTCCGACGACGATTTCACAAAGTTCCTCGACCTCGACAATGACTTTGCCCAGTTCGCCGCCGTGGGACAACACCCCTCTGGCCTAGACACTCCCATGGGCCGTCTGGGCTTTGGAAACCCCGAAACCAACATCAACTTTGCCTCTCAAGATCAGGTTGACTTGTCCATGGGGTCGGGCAACAATGCCGTTGCTTTCCAACATGGCATGCAGCCATCCCATGCCTATCCGCACTATCAACAGCACTTTCAACAGATGCAGATGCAGCCTCACTACCATGTTCCCCCAACTCCAGTGAGCGCTGAGATGCACGCGGCCAAATACACGCAGCACATGGGCAACAATGGCCAGATCCTCTTTGACCACCAACAGGTACTATCACTGCTCTTATCTCAAACCTACTTCTGGCTGATGTCTTTTCTTGCAGGTCTCCTTCACCCCTCTAGTCTCTCCGGCACAGACGCCCATGGACGGGGGCTTTGCCATGTCTGACTATGGTCTTACCGACGACTTCTTCAGTCCGCTGACCTCACCTGCCATCGAAGCTCAGAATGCGTACAACAGCACCACTGCCTCTCCCATCGACCTCAACATCGACATTGCAAATCCCAAGTCGTCGACCTCTGCTCCTAATCGTGCTCGAAGACGACTCAGCAATAATGCCCGTCCCGCATCTCGCAGTGTCAGGCAGTCGCCCGCCGTCAAACCCCAGATTCGCCGCAGGGTTCCGTCATCGAATTCTCTCGCGCTCGAAAAGGCGCCAGCCACGCCCACTCACCCAAATAAAAAGAGCTCCGATGTGCAGTTTTCGTCCGCCCCCAATAGTGCCATCTTCCAAACGAGTGATGATTCTGTCTCGCCAGAGGCTCTGTCCGACACCGCCATGAGACCCCCTCCAATTCCTCTCTCTTCTCGATCCCCGCAGCCACCTCCCATGGCGCAAAAAGACGCTGCCGGCAACCCTGTTACCCCGGCCACCTTGATGAGAATGCCAGCCGACCAGAACGATTCGTCGAATCAATTGACACACCATGCACCTGCCGCCACGGCAGATGAACTCATGGAGGATATCATGTTGCCTGCCGCCGTTTCCGGTGTCAAGCCCCCTTTATTACCCACCCTTGACACGAGCAACATCGATGATGGTGAGAGCACGCCGATCATGGCCGCCAAAACGGCCAAAACCAGCGCGGGAAGCACGCCACGCGGCCTCCTCGGCAAAATGACTGGGCAAGACCAATTTGCCAAACCAAGCAAAATTGAAGGCCGAGGTGGACGCGCTGGCAAGAAGAGGCAAAGCACCTCCTCCGCCGCCATTTCACCGGCCTTGCGACCCAAGATATCTCCCAGTATCTCACCATTAGTCCCTGCTACGGGTAAGTCGCGCATCTTGGAATCCGCTAACATGTGACTGACGATGTGATAGGAGCGGGAGTTCCGCATATCTCGGCCGATGCGAGTGCGCTGTATCTGGCATCCAAATCCAACTATCAGAATATTCTAGAAGGCACCCATTTGCCCGGAGTTTCTTATCCCGAGACCTTGGCCGAGAACCTGACTTCCAAACGGACATCGCACAAAATTGCCGAGCAAGGACGACGAAATCGAATCAACTTGGCTTTGAAGGAGATTGAGTCTCTGTTGCCGCCGTCCATCTCAGGGGCGAATGTCAAAAAGGAAAAGGCCAGCCCGGTCGAAGGCGAAGATGTTGAGGGGAAAGCGTCAGCGGCTGCCCAAGGTGCCAGCAAGGCCAGCACGGTGGAGATGGCCATCACCTACATCAAGAGCCTCCAGAGCGAGTTGGCCGAAACCAAGGAGAAACTGGAAGCTGCGGAAAAGCGTCTTGCTGACGGAACGAGCAGTGCTGGAAGCCAGGCCTCGGAAGGATAACCAGCAATGCACACAGCCTATGGACGACGAGCGCCTGCAACAATGACGCTTGATCAACATTAGTCATGAGCAACGTTTTAAATGCGGGGCTGGCACTACAGCACAGTGGCTATTGTTGGCCGGGCGTTCGGGTTGGGATTCTTGAAACCGCGTGGCAATCGTGCATTGCGAAACAGCGCCTTGTTATGGGCATACCTGCACATTGTAGAAAGATGGTTTCACCACACAACCACCAATATTGTCCCTCAGCAGACAGACGCCTTGCATCCGGCTCTTGTCCTGGGCGAGGTAAATAATGTGGCCGGCACTTATACTCAGATGTGAGGAGGTCGGTCTGTATAGAAATGCCAGAATCAGAATAGACTTGAAGTATCACTTGTATCTCTTGGCCTGCGAAGGGCAGAAACAGCTGAGGTCGCATATACACTATTGTCAGCTGTGAAGCAAGCAGTTTTGAGCCCTGGAGGAAATGCTCAGAGCTGTTTACCATGTCTGGGACCAGCCAGTCGCGTCACTGATGGCCATCAGGTGTCATTCAGGGTCATTATTAGGGTCATTAGGGTCATTAGGGTCATTAGGGTCATTAGGGTCATTA